TTTTCCTGTTGAGGAAATAAAACCGTAGATTTAAAAAAAAATACCCAAATATGTAAAACATAAAGCTATGAAAAAATAAGAATTTCGGTACAATTAATGTCATTCTCATTTAATAAAAATTTCAGAGTAATATACTTTTAAAAAATTGGGAAATTATTAAATCAAATGCTAACTGCTGCATTTCGGAAACTTCGACAACATTAATTCAATACAATTATAAGAAAAATAAGGTTAATTCAAATAGAGGAAAATTTTACAAAGTTGAATTAAAAAATAAAAATTCTTTTTAAAAAAAGAATCTTAAAACAAAGTATTTAAAATAACACAATCGAAGAAAAAAGTTTAATACTTATTCATTTATTTATATAGTAACGCTCTAGTATCATTACTTACACACACACACATACACACATAGTGATTTTGGCAAGCGTAGCTTAGATGTGGCACAAGGCCGAAAGCAGTGGGTACCCAGGGAGAATCGAACTCACTACTTAGTCGTGTTTGTTCTAGCGAGACAATTTTGCTAACCATTACACCGCCTAGAAGTGGCCACGCGCGCACACACACACACACACACACACACACACACACACACACACACATAGTGATTTTGGCAAGCGTAGCTTAGATGTGGCACAAGGCCGAAAGCAGTGGGTACCCAGGGAGAATCGAACTCACTACTTAGTCGTGTTTGTTCTAGCGAGACAATTTTGCTAACCATTACACCGCCTAGAAGTGTCCACGCGCGCGCGCACACACACACACATACACACATAGTGATTTTCCAAGCGTAGCGTAGCTTAGATGAACTCACTACTTAGGCACAAGGCCGAAAGCAGTGGGTAACCAGGAGAATCGAAACTCACTCACTTAGTCGTGTTTGTTCTAGCGAGACAATTTTGCTAACCATTACACCGCCTAGAAGTGTCCACGCGCGCGCGCACACACACACACATACACACATAGTGATTTTCCAAGCGTAGCTTAGATGTGGCACAAGGCCGAAAGCAGTGGGTAACCAGGGAGAATCGAACTCACTACTTAGTCGTGTTTGTTCTAGCGAGACAATTTTGCTAACCATTACACCGCCTAGAAGTGTCCACGCGCGTGCGCGCACACACACACACACACACACACATAGTGATTTTCCAAGCGTAGCTTAGATGTGGCACAAGGCCGAAAGCAGTGGGTACCCAGGGAGAATCGAACTCACTACTTAGTCGTGTTTGTTCTAGCGAGACAATTTTGCTAACCATTACACCGCCTAGAAGTGGCCACACGCGCACGCACACACACACTATATTATGATAATATTAACTTTATGGTTTATTTGCCTGATGAATGTGTTATCCAATGAAACTGTGAGTAGCGGTTATTTTTAATAATAATAATAATAATTATTATTATTATTATTATTATTATTATTTTTATTTTCTTTGATTTCTGGCGTTTACACATTTCTTTCCGGGTCCCGCCCAGGGACCTAAGGTTAGAAAATGGCGTCAGGACACTTTCCACTGACAAAAAAAAAAAAAAAAAAAAATTAAATTACATAGATAAAGCCCTTCGTAAGGGTGTGGGCTGTACTTGTGAGAACAATTTTTGTATCTCCTTGAGGCATGGACTTCCAGGAATCCCTTCAATTAGTCTACTGCAATCTTTTTCCAACCAGTCCTAGGGCTCCAACTACAACAGGGATTGTTGATGTTCCCATATGCCACATTTTCGAGATTTCTATTTCAAGGTCCTTGTACTTTGACAACTTTTTTATTATTATTATTATTATTATTATTATTATTATTATTATTATTATTATATTTAAGCCCTGCAGGCTTTGGTATTGAGGACTTTATTTTATATCTTATGCATTTAGCTTATTTTAAAATTTACCTTATATTTTATTAATATACACACACACAGATATATATATATATATATATATATACACACACACACACACTTCTGCAGAAAATTGTTGGTAGGATTGTACAAAAGTCGACCAGTGCGCACATCTACAGGTAAACAGTGTTTTTAAAATATTATTCTTCACCTTTCATAGTGGTAGAACTAAATAAATATTGTTATTTTTAATGTTACTGCTTGTGGGGGGGATTTTTGGGCGAAAAATTATCGCCCAACAATAAAGGGTTATTAAGAAAATAAGGATTCCTTGTATCAAGGTTGAATTTGACATGTGCGTTTGGTCTTTTGCATTATATATATATATATATATATATATATATATATATATATATATATATATATATATATATATATATATATATATATATATATATATATATATATATATATATATGTGACAATATTTCGCGGTACACTAAAAAAAGTGTGCCGCGGCATAGTGGTTGAGAATCACTTGTTTACCGGAATATCGTGAATAGATAACGACTGACCGTAGAGGTTAATTTTGTCGTGTTCGGAGAAGCTTTCCCGCAAGAATCTGTACTACAAAGTAGTGGTTCTTGGGTGGGGGATTTCGTGGTGAAATATCTTACCAAATCAATAAATTGGGAATGAGGGTGATTTACTGACGGTAGATGTAGCAACACCGGTCTTCATTGCGAAGGTCTGAGCCGGTGGCACAAAAGAATGGTTTCTCGTCTGAACATTTGGCATAGAAGTAATGATAAGCTGAATAAAATTCTCTTAACCATTCCTGTATAGTCGAAATGATTCGAAACAAATTTGCAGGTTAGTTTTTCATCCCCGCAAGAAACTGAGAACCTCTCTATCGAGCTGGGACTATTCATACGAGCTGCAATCCATTTGATACGGCCATAGACTACGAATGCAAAAGATAAGACTTTCCTCCCACAAGGCTCGTCATTCTGGTTATCTGAAAAGAAAATACGCACTCAAAATGGAGACGTTCACTCCGATTCAATGTATCTGAATAAAGGAATGTTTCTTTTTTACTTTCCTTATCGTTTTTTTTTTTTTTTTTTTTTTTTTTGAAAAACCGGTTGAGAAGAGGAACGATATAAAAAAAATTACGCAGGTGTGAAAATACAGAATATATTTCACATTCTCAACATTGACTTGGGTGTCTATTCCATCCCGTTTTCAGATAAATAGGTAGATATATACATAAAAGTCAAATACACGAACAGGACTGTGTGTGTCTGTGCGCGCGCGTGTGTGTGTGTGTGTGAAAGAGAGAGAGAAAATAGAAAAAAGTTTCGTCCATTAGGACTTCAGCAGTCCGTTAAATCCCTATGGGACGAAACGCGACAAACGAAAAATTTTCCGTTTTGATATACAACTTTCCTCCAAAACTGTTCTTGATGTATGAAAATTATATAACGTTATCTCATTCATATATATATATATATATATATATATATATATATATATATATATATATATATATATATATATACACTTTATGCTCTACTTTTGTATCGAGCACTATTATTTTTAAATAATAACAAAAATACTAAAGAACTTTGGATTATTTATCTAACGAGTTCTTCCCTATTTTCTATATATTTTTACACACACACACACACACACACACACACATATATATATATATATATATATATATATACTTACGGGGTGTAACAGCAAAATTGTCCAATTGTTAAATTAAGATCTGAACCGTTATATCTTAGAAATGATTAACAATATCTTGCTGGAATTCTCCGAGATTTTTATAACACTATTGGAGTCTACTTTGAGCTATGAGAATGTATAATTCCAGAATAACAGTTTAACAGAATAATCGTGAGGAAATGGCTGATAAACGAAAAATGACATGTTCATCATTTATTAATCATAGATAAAGATCGGAAGCGCATGAAGTATTGAAATAAAGTTCGTATGTATATATATATATATATATATATATATATGGTTGAATCCAGATCAGGCTATGCCGAAGGGCAGAGTCTCGTCGTGGAAGGTTGACAAACCCGACCCTGTGTATACGGGATATACGGGGAATTTTGGCTCCAGCCTACGGGCTCGCATCGCCCGACACAAAAATCGGCCTTGTGCCATATCCTTCCTCGTGGGGAGGTTGAGTAAATACCGGCTTGCTTTCCAGCAAGCATCAAAACGTCGAACTCTTTGTTTCCGGCAGAGAGGAATCCAGATCAGGCTATGCCGAAGGGCAGAGTCTCGTCTTGGAAGGTTGACAAACCCGACCCTGTGTATACAGGATCTACGGGGAAATTTGGCTCCAGCCTACGGGCTCGCATCGCCCGACACAAAAATCGGCCTTGTGCCATATCCTGCCTCGTGGGGAGGTCGGATATATATCGTTTGCTTTCCAGCTTCAGGCGAACTTGTAAATATCTACTTGTATTGTACTTGTTTAAAATAAGTCATTATAATTTGTAAGTTGATGTTCTAGCTTTTATTTTCATAACCACCCCGGACAACATTACAAAACCGTACATCTTCAGCCCACACCCCCGCTCCGAATCACGTACAAACAATTTTTGATGAAACTAAGATTTTTAGGGGCTTATAAATATGTAAAAAAGAGAAGAGGTAATGAGTCACACCCCTAGAGGTTAGCATCAGCCATGCTGATGGAAGGCACAAAAGATTCTTTAAAACGTACGAGATTTCAGGAAATAGATGAAACAAGATCAGATAATAACCTTGACTAAAATTGCAGCATGATTTTAGCAAAATAGTTTATTCATATGAATTCTTTTCTTTTAAATGCCGTATCAGTTCAAGACTTATGCGATCATAATTTTCGGCAGACTCCGTTTTTTATTATCTGTGAATTGCCACGTATTCTAAGGAAGGATAGTGGAGTGCTTTCTCCACGGAAGGAATTTAGAGTTCTGATTACTAACTAAAGCTCAAGAGTTCTTACTCTTAAACGGATTGCTAACCAAAACACGATAGTTCTTACTCTTAAATGGATTGCAAACCAAAACACGATAGTTCTTACTCTTAAACGGATTGCTAACCAAAGCACGATAGTTCTTTCTCTTAAACGGATTGCTAACCAAAGCACGATGGTTCTTACTCTTAAACGGATTGCTAACCAAAGCACGATAGTTCTTACTCTTAAACGGATTGCTAACCAAAAGACGATAGTTCTATCTCTTAAAAGGATTGCTAACCAAAACACGATATTTCTTTCACTTAAACGTATTGCTATCCAAAAGACGATAGTTCTTTCTCTTAAAGGATTGCTAACCAAAATACGATATTTCTTTCACTTAAACTTATTGCTAACCAAACACGATAGTTCTTTCTCTTAAACGGATTGCTAACCAAAGCACGATAGTTCTTTCTCTTAAACGGATTGCTAATCAAAACACGATAGTTCTTTCTCTTAAATGGATTGCTAACCAAAACACGATATTTCTTTCACTTAAACGTATTGCTAACCAAAACACGATAGTTCTTTCTCTTAAACGGATTGCTAACCAAAACACGATATTTCTTTCTCTTAAACGGATTGCTAACCAAAGCACGATAGTTCTTTCTCTTAAACGGATTGCTGACCAAAACACGATATTTCTTTCACTTAAACGTATTGCTTTAAAAAAACACGATAGTTCTTTCTCTTAAACGGATTGCTAACCAAAGCACGATAGTTCTTTCTCTTAAACGGATTGCTAACCAAAACACGATAGTTCTTTCTCTTAAACGGATTGCTAACCAAAACACGATGGTTCTTTCTCTTAAACGGATTGCTAACCAAAGCACGATATTTCTTTCTCTTAAACGGATTGCTAACCAAAACACGATATTTCTTTCACTTAAACGGATTGCTAACCAAAGCACGATAGTTCTTACTCTTAAACGGATTGCTAACCAAAAGACGATAGTTCTATCTCTTAAAAGGATTGCTAGCCAAAACACGATATTTCTTTCACTTAAACGTATTGCTATCCAATAGACGATAGTTCTTTCTCTTAAAGGATTGCTAACCAAAATACGATATTTCTTTCACTTAAACTTATTGCTAACCAAACACGATAGTTCTTTCTCTTAAACGGATTGCTAACCAAATCACGATAGTTCTTTCTCTTAAACGGATTGCTAACCAAAACACGATAGTTCTTTCTCTTAAACGGATTGCTAACCAAAGCACGATAGTTCTTTCTCTTAAACGGATTGCTAACCAAAACACGATAGTTCTTTCTCTTAAACGGATTGCTAACCAAAACACGATAGTTCTTTCTCTTAAACGGATTTAACCAAAACACGATATTTCTTTCTCTTAAACGGATTGCTAACCAAAAAACGGATTGCTAACCAAAGCACGATAGTTCTTTCTCTTAAACGGATTGCTAACCAAAACACGATATTTCTTTCACTTAAACGTATTGCTAACCAAACACGATATTTCTTTCTCTTAAACGGATTGCTAACCAAAGCACGATAGTTCTTTCTCTTAAACGGATTGCTAACCAAAACACGATAGTTCTTTCTCTTAAACGGATTGCTAATCAACACACGATATTTCTTTCTTTTAAACGGATTGCTAACTAAAAACACGATATTTCTTTCTCTTAAACGGATTGCTAAACAAAACACGATAGTTCTTTCTCTTAAACGGATTGCTTAAAACACGATAACCTTAAAACACGATATTTCTTTCTCTTAAACGGATTGCTAACCAAAACACGATATTTTTTTCTCTTAAACGGATTGCTAACCAAAACACGATATTTCTTTCTCTTAAACGGATTGCTAACCAAAACACGATAGTTCTTTCTCTTAAACGGATTGCTAAACAAAAACACGATATTTCTTTCTCTTAAACGGATTAACCAAAACACGATAGTTCTTTTTTTCTTAAACGGATTGCTAACCAAAACACGATATTTCTTTCTCTTAAACGGATTGCTAACCAAAACACGATAGTTCTTTTCTTAAACTTAAACGATATTTCTTTCTAAACTTAAACGGATTGCTAACCAAAAGCACGATAGTTCTTTCTCTTAAACGGATTGCTAGCAAAAAACACGATATTTCTTTCTCTTAAACGGATTGCTAACCAAAGCACGATAGTTCTTTTTTCTTAAACGGATTGCTAACCAAAGCACGATAGTTCTTTCTCTTAAACGGATTGCTAACCAAAAACACGATAGTTCTTTCTCTTAAACGGATTGCTAACCAAAACACGATAGTTCTTTCTCTTAAACGGATTGCTAACCAAAACACGATAGTTCTTTTCTCTTAAACGGATTGCTAACCAAAACACGATATTTCTTTCTCTTAAACGGATTGCTGCAAAACACGAAAGTTCACGATAGTTCTTAATTCTTTCTTAAAAACGCTAACCAAATTGCTAACCTTAAAAGACGATAGTTCTTTCTCTTAAACGGATTGCTAACCAAAACACGATAGTTCTTTCTCTTAAACGGATTGCTAACCAAAACACGATAGTTCTTTCTCTTAAACGGATTGCTAACCAAAGCACGATAGTTCTTTCTCTTAAACGGATTGCTAACCAAAACACGATAGTTCTTTCTCTTAAACGGATTGCAAACCAAAACACGATAGTTCTTTCTCTTAAACGGATTGCTAACCAAAACACGATAGTTCTTTCTCTTAAATGGATTGCTAACCAAAACACGATATTTCTTTCTCTTTAAACGGATTGGTTTCTTAAACGGACTAAAAACACGATAGTTCTTTCTCTTAAACGGATTGCTAACCAAAACACGATAGTTCTTTCTCTTAAACGGATTGCTACCAAAACACGATAGTTCTTTCCACTTAAACGGATTGCTAACCAAAACACGATAGTTCTTTCTCTTAAACGGATTGCTAACCAAAACACGTTCTTTCTTAAACATATTGCTAACCAAAACGGATTAAACGGATTGCCTTAACAAACCACGATAGTTCTTTCTTAAACGGTTGCTAACACAAAGCCACGATAGTTCTTTCTCTTAAACGGATTGCTAACCAAAAACGATAGTTCTTTCTCTTAAACGGATTGCTAACCAAAACACGATAGTTCTTTCTCTTAAAACGGATTGCTAACCAAAACACGATATTTCTTTCGATAGTTCTTTCTCTTAAACGGATTGCTAATCAAAACACGATAGTTCTTTCTCTAGCAAAAACGGATTAAACTAACTAAAAACACGATATTTCTTTCACTTAAACGGATTGCTAACCAAAACACGATAGTTCTTTCTCTTAAACGGATTGCTAACCAAAACACGATATTTCTTTCTCTTAAACGGATTGCTAACCAAAACACGATAGTTCTTTCTCTTAAACGGATTGCTAACCAAAACACGATATTTCTTTCACTTAAACGTATTGCTAACCAAAACACGATAGTTCTTTCTCTTAAACGGATTGCTAACCAAAACACGATATTTCTTTCACTTAAACGTATTGCTAACCAAAACACGATAGTTCTTTCTCTTAAACGGATTGCTAACCAAAACACGATAGTTCTTTCTCTTAAACGGATTGCTAACCAAAACACGATAGTTCTTTCTCTTAAACGGATTGCTAACCAAAACACGATATTTCTTTCTCTTAAACGGATTGCTAACCAAAACACGATAGTTCTTTCTCTTAAACGGATTGCTAACCAAAACACGATATTTCTTTCTCTTAAACGGATTTACAACCAAAACACGATAGTTCTTTCTCTTAAACGGATTGCTAACCAAAACACGATAGTTCTTTTCTTAAACGGATTGCTGACCAAAACACGATATTTCGATAGTTCTTTCTCTTAAACGGTTGCTATTGATAACTTTCTCTTAAAAACACGATAGTTCTTTCTCTTAAACGGATTGCTAAAAAAACACGATAGTTCTTTCACTTAAACATATTGCTAACCAAAACACGATAGTTCTTTCTCTTAAACGGATTGCTAACCAAAGTTCTTTCTCTTAAACGATAGTTCGATTTTCTCTTAAACGGTATTGCTAACCAAACACGATAGTTCTTTCTCTTAAACGGATTGCTAACCAAAACACGATAGTTCTTTCTCTTAAACGGACGCACGATAGTTCTTTTCTCTTAAACGGATTGCTAACCAAAACACGATAGTTCTTTCTTTAAACGGATTGCTAACCAAAAACGATATTCTTCTCTTAAACGGATTGCTAACGAAAGATAGTTCTTTCTCTTAAACGGATTGCTAACCAAAACACCGATAGTTCTTTCTCTTAAACGGATTGCTAACCAAAACACGATATTTCTTTCTCTTAAACGGATTGCTAACCAAAACACGATAGTTCTTTCTCTTAAACGGATTGCTAACCAAAAACACGATATTTCTTTCTCTTAAACGGATTGCTAACCAAAAACACGATCTTTCTTTTCTGGATTTAAACGGATTTCTTTAACCTTAAACGGTTGCTAAACGATAGTTCTTTTCTCTTAAACGGATTGCTAACCAAAACACGATAGTTCTTTTCTTAAACGGATTTAAACGGTTCTTTGCTTAAAACTAAAGCACGATAGTTCTTTCTCTTAAACGGATTACAACCAAAGCACGATAGTTCTTTCTCTTAAACGGATTGCTAACCAAAGCACGATAGTTCTTTCTTTAAACAGTTCTAACCAAAACGGTTTTCTCTTAAACGGAAAAAACGATAGTTCTTTAAACGGATTGCTAGCAAAAACGGATTCTTTCTCTTAAACGGACGATAGCAAAACACGATAGTTCTTTCTCTTAAACGGATTGCTAATCAAAACACGATAGTTCTTTCTCTTAAACGGATTGCTAACCAAAACACGATATTCTTTCTCTTAAACGGATTGCTAAGCAAACACGATAGTTCTTTCTCTTAAACGGATTTGCTAACCAAACACGATAGTTCTTTCGGTTGCTTAAAAACGATAATTCTTTGCTTAAACCAAAACACGATATTTCTTTCTTTTCACTTAAACGATATTGCTAACCAAAAGCACGATAGTTCTTTCTCTTAAACAGATTGCTAACCAAAGCACGATATTTCTTTTTTAAACTTACAAAACACGATAGTTCTTTTCTTAACTAACAAAAACGATAGTTCTTTCACTTAAACGGATTGCTAACCAAAGCACGATAGTTCTTTCTCTTAAACAGTTTGCTAAACCAAATCACGATAGTTCTTTCTCTTAAACGGATTGCTAACCAAAACACGATAGTTCTTTCTCTTAAACGGATTGCTAACTAAAAACGATAGTTCTTTCTCTTAAACGGATTGCTAACCAAAGCACGATAGTTCTTTTCTTAAACGGATTGCTAACCAAAACACGATATTTTCTTTCTCTTAAACGGATTGCTAACCAAACACGATAGTTCTTTCTCTTAAACGGATTGCTAACAAAAGCAGGATTCTCTTAAACGGATTGCTAATCAAAAACGGATTTCTTTTCTTAAACAAAAACACGATAGTTCTTTCTCTTAAACGGATTGCTAACCAAAACACGATAGTTCTTTTCTTAAACGGATTGCTAACCAAAACACGATAGTTCTTTCTCTTAAACGGATTGCTAACCAAAACACGATAGTTCTTTCTCTTAAACGGATTGCTAACCAAAACACGATAGTTCTTTCTCTTAAACGGACGGATTAACCAAAGCACGATAGTTCTTTCTCTTAAACGGATTGCTAACCAAAACACGATATTTCTTTCTCTTAAACGGATTGCTAACCAAAACACGATAGTTTCTTTCTCTTAAACGGATTGCTAACCAAAACACGATAGTTCTTTCTCTTAAACGGATTGCTAACCAAAAGCACGATAGTTCTTTCTCTTAAATCAAAACACGATAGTTCTTTCTCTTAAAACGGATTCTCTTAAACCAAAACACGATAGTTCTTTCTCTTAAACGGATTGCTAACCAAAGCACGATAGTTCTTTCTCTTAAACGGATTGCTAACTTAAACGGATTAAACGGATTGCTAACCAAAAGACGATAGTCTTTTCTCTTAAACGGATTGCTAAACCAAAACACGATATTTTTTTTCTCTTAAACGGATTGCTAACCAAAACACGATAGTTCTTTCTCTTAAACGGATTGATAGTTCTTTTCTCTTAAACGGATTGCTAACCAAAACACGATAGTTCTTTTTCACTTAAACGGATTGCTAACCAAAACACGATAGTTCTTTCTCTTAACAAAACGGATTGCTAAACCAAAACACGATATTTCTTTCTCTTAAACGGATTGCTAACCAAAACACGATAGTTCTTTCTCTTAAACGGATTGCTAACAAAAAATTTTTTCTCTTAAATATTGCTAATCAAAACACGATAGTTCTTCTCTTAAACGGATTGCTAACCAAAACACGATAGTTCTTACTCTTAAACTTAAACGGATTGCTAATCAAAACACGATAGTTCTTTTCTTAAATGATTGCTAACTAAAACACGATATTTCTTTCACTTAAACGATATTGCTAACCAAAACAAACGATAGTTCTTTCTCTTAAACGGATTGCTAACCAAAGCACGATAGTTCTTTCTCTAAACGGATTAAACGGATTCTCTTAACCAAAACACGATCTTTTCTTAAACGGATTTAAAACCTAAAAAAACGATAGTTCTTTCTCTTAAACGGATTGCTAACCAAAGAACGATTTCTTTTCTCTTAAACGGATTGCTAACCAAAACACGATATTTCTTTTCTTAAACGGATTAACCAAAACACGATAAAAATGGATTGCTAACCAAAACACGATAGTTCTTTCTCTTAAACGGATTGCTAACCAAAACACGATAGTTCTTTCTCTTAAACGGATTGCTAACCAAAACACGATATTTCTTTCTCTTAAACGGATTGCTAACCAAAACACGATAGTTCTTTCTCTTAAACGGATTGCTAACCAAAACACGATAGTTCTTTCTCTTAAACGGATTTGTTCTTTCTCAACCAAAACACGATAGTTCTTTCTCTTAAACGACACTGAAACCAAAGCACGATGGTTCTTTTCTTAAACGGATTTAAACGATAGTTCTTTGCTAAACCAAAACACGATAGTTCTTTTCTTAAACGGATTGCCTAACCAAAACACGATATTTCTTTTCTCTTAAACGGATTGCTAACCAAAACACGATAGTTCTTTCTCTTAAACGGATTGCTAACCAAAACACGATAGTTCTTTTCTCTTAAACGGATAAACTAACCAAAGCACGATAGTTCTTTCTCTTAAACGGATTGCTAACCAAAACACGATAGTTCTTTCACTTAAACGGATTGCTAACCAAACACGATAGTTCTTTCTCTTAAACGGATTAAACCAAAACACGATAGTTCTTTCTCTTAAACGGATTGCTAACCAAAACACGATATTTCTTTTCTTAAACGGATTGCTAACCAAAACACGATATTTCTTTCTCTTAAACGGATTACTAACCAAACACGATATTTTCTCTCTTAAACGGATTGCTAACAAAAACGATAGTTCTTTCTCTTAAACGGATTGCTAACCAAAACACGATAGTTCTTTCTCTTAAACGGATTGCTAACCAAAACACGATATTTCTTTTCTTAAACGGATTGCTAACCAAAACACGATAGTTCTTTTCTTAAACAGATTGCTAACCAAAACACGATAGTTCTTTCTCTTAAACGGATTGCTAACCAAAACACGATATTTCTTTCTTTAAACGGATTGCTAAGCAAACACGATAGTTCTTTTCTCTTAAACGGATTGCTAACCAAAACACGATAGTTCTTTCTCTTAAACGGATTGCTAACCAAAACACGATAGTTCTTTCTCTTAAACGGATTGCTAACCAAAACACGATAGTTCTTTTCTCTTAAACGGATTGCTAACCAAAACAGGATAGTTCTTTCTCTCTTAAACGGATTGCTAATAAACAAGCTAACCAAAAACAGATCTTTCTTTAAACTTTTAGCAAAAACGATAGTTCCAACTTAAACGGATTGCTAACCAAAAGCACGATAGTTCTTTCTCTTAAACGGATTGCTAACAAAAAGAACGATAGTTCTTTCTCTTAAACGGATTGCTAACCAAAACACGATAGTTCTTTCTCTTAAAAACGGATTGCTAAATCAAAACACGATAGTTCTTTTCTCTAGCCAAAAACGGATTCTTTCTCTTAAACCTTAAAACACGATAGTTCTTTCTCTTAAACGGATTGCTAACCAAAACAGACGATAGTTCTTTCTCTTAAACGGATTTAACCAAAAACGATAGTTCACGATACGGATTGCTAACAAAGAACGATAGTTCTTTCTCTTAAAACCTTAACCAAAACGGATTCTCTTAAACCAAAAAAACGATAGTTCTTACCTTAAACGGATTGCTAAACAAAAACGATAGTTCTTTCTCTTAAATGTTTAAACGGATTAAACGTAACCAAAACACGATAGTTCTTTTCTTAAACGGATTGCTAACCAAAAAACGATATTTCTTTCACTTAAACTTAAACGGATTAAACGGATTAACCAAACCACGATGGTTCTTTCTCTTAAACGGATTGCTAATCAAAAACGATAGTTCTTTCTCTTAAACGGATTGCTAACCAAAACACGATAGTTCTTTTCTCTTAAACGGATTGCTAACAAAACACGATATTTCTTTCTCTTAAACGGATTGCTAACCAAAACACGATATTTTCTTTCTCTTAAACGGATTGCTAACCAAAACACGATATTTCTTTCTCTTAAACGGATTGCTAACCAAACGATAGTTCTTTCGATAACGGATTGCTGACCAAAACGGATTGCTAAACCAAAACACGATATTTCTTTCTCTTAAACGGATTGCTAACTAAAACACGATATTTCTTTCACTTAAACGGATTTGCAAAAAATAGTTCTTTCTCTTAAACGGATTAAACGATAGTTCTTTCTCTTAAACGGATTGCTAACCAAAGCACGATAGTTCTTTCTCTTAAACGGATTGCTAGCCAAAACACGATATCTCTTTCTCTTAAACGTATTGCGAACCAAAGCACGATAGTTCTTTCTCTTAAACGGATTGCTAACCAAAACACCATAGTTCTTTCTCTTAAACGGATTGCTAATCAACACACGATATTTCTTTCTTTTAAACGGATTGCTAACCAATGTACGATAGTTCTTTCTCTTAAACGGATTGCTAACCAAAACACGATATTTCTTTCACTTAAACGTATTGCTAACCAAACGGATTGGGATAGTTCTTTTCTCTCAAACGGATTGCTAACTGAAAACACGATAGTTCTTTCTCTTAAACGGATTTAACCAAAACGGATTTCTTTAACCAAAACATTGCTAACCAAAGCAGGATAGTTCTTTCTCTTAAACGGATTTATAACCAAAACACGATAGTTCTTTCTCTTAAACGGATTGCTACCAAAGCACGATATTTCTTTCTCTTAAACGGATTGCTAACCAAAATATTTCTTTCCTTAAAAAAAAAAACGATAGTTTTTTCTCTTAAACGGATTGCAAACAAAACTTTCTCTTAAACGGATACCGTCCGTTTCTTTCTCTTAAACGGATTGCTAAAAAACGATAGTTCTTTCTCTTAAACGGATTGATAACCAAAACACGATAGTTCTTTCTCTTAAACGGATTGCTAACCAAAGCACGATAGTTCTTTCTTTCTAACTTAAACGATATTTCTTTTCTTAAACCTAAAGCACGATAGTTCTTTCTCTTAAACGGATTGCTAACCAAAACACGATATTCTTTCTCTTAAACGGATTGCTAACCAAAACACGATAGTTCTTTCTCTTAAACGGATTGCTAACCAAAACACGATATTTCTTTCTCTTAAACGGATTGCTAACCAAAACACGATAGTTCTTTCTCTTAAACGGATTGCTAACCAAAACACGATATTTCTTTCTCTTAAACGGATTGCTAACCAAACACGATATTTCTTTTCTTAAACGGATTGCTAACCAAAACACGATAGTTTTTTTCGGTTTCTTCAAAACACGATTTCTTAACCAATCACGATAGTTCTTTCTCTTAAACGGATTGCTAACAAAACGCGATAGTTTCTAACCTTAAACTATTGCTAAACGATAGTTCTTTCTCTTAAACGGATTGGTAACAAAAGCACGATAGTTCTCTTTTCTTAAACACGATATTTCTTTAACCAAAACACGATAGTTCTTTCTCTTAAACGGATTGCTAACCAAAACACGATAGTTTTTCTCTTAAACGGATTGCTAACCAAAACACGATAGTTCTTTCTCTTAAACGGATTAGTTCTTTCTTAACCAAAACACGATAGTTCTTTCTCTTAAACGGATTACTAACCAAAACACGATAGTTCTTTCTCTTAAACGGATTGCCCAACCAAACACGATAGTTTTCTCTTAAACGGATTGCTAACCAAAACACGATAGTTCTTTCTCTTAAACGGATTGCTAACCAAAACACGATAGTTCTTTCTCTTAAACGGATTGCTAACCAAAGAACGATAGTTCTTTCTCTTAAACGGTTGCTAACAAAAGCACGATAGTTCTTTCTCTTAAACGGATTGCTAACCAAAAACGATATTTCTTTCTCTTAAACGGATTGCTAACCAAAGAACGATAGTTCTTTCTCTTAAACGGATTGCTAACCAAAAACACGATAGTTCTTTCTCTTAAACGGATTACTAACCAAAACACGATAGTTCTTTCTCTTAAACGGATTGCTAATCAAAACACGATATTTCTTTCTCTTAAACTTATTGCTAACCAAAATGATTTTTTTTCTCTTAAACGGATTGCTAACCAAACACGATAGTTCTTTCTCTTAAACGGATTGCTAACCAAAACACGATAGTTCTTTCTCTTAAACGGATTGCTAACCAAAAACACGATATTTCTTTCTCTTAAACGGATTTTTTAACCAAAACACGATATTTCTTTCTCTAAACGGATTGCTAACCAAAACACGATAGTTCTTTCTCTTAAACGGATTGCTAACCAAAACACGATAGTTCTTTTTCTTAAACGGATTACTAACCAAACACGATAGTTCTTTCTCTTAAACGGATTGCTAACCAAAACACGATATTTTCTTTCTAACTTAAACATATTTCTCTTAAACAAAAGCACGATAGTTCTTTCTCTTAAACGGATTTGACCAAAACACGATAGTTCTTTCTCCTCTAAAACACGATATTTCTTTTCTTAAACGGATTGCTAACCAAAAAACGATAGTTCTTTCTCTTAAACGGATTGCTAACCAATGGTTCTTTCTCTTAAACGGACGATATTTCTTTCTCTTAAACGGATTGCTAACCAAAAACACGATAGTTCTTTTTCTTAAACGGATTGCTAACAAAACACGATAGTTCTTTCTCTTAAACGGATTGCTAACCAAAACACGATAGTTCTTTCTCTTAAACGGATTGCTAACCAAAACACGATAGTTCTTCTTAAACGGATTGCTAACCAAACACGATATTTCTTTCTTAAACGGATTGCGAAGCAAAGCACGATAGTTCTTTCTCTTAAACGGATTGCTAGCAAAACACGATATTTCTTTCCTTAAACGGATTGCTAACCAAACACGATATTTTCTTTCTCTTAAACGGATTTTTAAACCAATTTCTTTCTCTTAAAGAACTAACCAAAACACGATAGTTCTTTCTCTTAAACGGATTGCTAACCAAAACACGATAGTTCTTTCTCTTAAACGGATTGCTAAAACGGCACGATAGTTCTTTCTCTTAAACGGACACCAAAACATAGTTCTTTCTCTTAAACGGATTGCTAACCAAAAGCACGATAGTTCTTTCTCTTAAACGGATTGCTAACCAAAACACGATATTTCTTTCTCTTAAACGGATTGCTAACCAAAACACGATAGTTCTTTCTCTTAAACGGATTGCTAACAAAAACGATAGTTCTTTTCTCTTAAACGGATTGCTAACCAAAACACGATATTTCTTTCTCTTAAACGGATTGCTAACCAAAAAACGATAGTTCTTTCTCTTAAACGGATTGCTAACCAAAAACGATAGTTCTTTCTCTTAAACAGTTTGCTAACAAAACACGATAGTTCTTTCTCTTAAACGGATTGCTAACCAAAACACGATATTTCTTTCTCTTAAACGGATTGCTAACCAAAGCAGGATCTTTCTTTCTAACCAAAGAACGATAGTTCTTTAAACAAACAAAACACGATAATTCTTTCTCTTAAAATTGCTAAAAACACGATAGTTCTTTCTCTTAAACGGATTGCTAACCAAAGCACGATAGTTCTTTCTCTTAAACGGATTGCTAAACCAAACACGATAGTTCTTTCTCTTAAACGGATTGCTAACTAAAACACGATAGTTCTTTCTCTTAAATGGATTGCTAACCAAAACACGATAGTTCTTTCTCTTAAACGGATTGCTAACCAAAAAACACGATAGTTCTTTCTCTTAAAGGATTGCTAAACCAAAACACGATATTTCTTTCTCTTAAACGTATTGCTAACCAAAGCACGATAGTTCTTTCTCTTAAACGGATTGCTAACCAAAAGACGATATTTCTTTCTCTTAAACGGTTTGCTAACAAAACACGATATTTCTTTCACTTAAACATATTTAAGCAACACGATAGTTCTTTCTCTTAAACGGTTGCTAACCAAAACACGATAGTTCTTTTCTCTTAAACGGATTGCTAACAAAACACGATATTTCTTTCTCTTAAACGGATTGCTAACCAAAACACGATAGTTCTTTCTCTTAAACGGATTGCTAGCAAAACACGATATTTCTTTTCTTAAACGTATTGCTAACCAAAACACGATAGTTCTTTCTCTTAAACGGATTGCTAACCAAAAACGATATTTCTTTCTTCTTAAACGGATTGCTAACCAAAACACGATAGTTCTTTCTCTTAAACGGATTGCTAACCAAAAACGATAGTTCTTTCTCTTAAACGGATTTGCTAACAAAACACGATATTTCTTTCTCTTAAACGGATTGCTAACAAAACACGATATTTCTTTCTCTTAAACGGATTGCTAACCAAAACACGATAGTTCTTTCTTTCTTAAACGGATTTTAACCAAAAACACGATAGTTCTTTCTCTTAAACGGATTGCTAACCAAAAACACGATAGTTCTTTCTCTTAAACGGATTGCTAACCAAAACACGATATTTCTTTCTCTTAAACGGATTGCGAACCAAAGCACGATAGTTCTTTCTCTTAAACGGATTGCTAACCAAAACACCATAGTTCTTTCTCTTAAACGGATTGCTAACCAACACACGATATTTCTTTCTCTTAAACTCATTGCTAACCAAAATACGATAGTTCTTTCTCTTAAACGGATTGCTAACAAAACACGATATTTCTTTCTCTTAAACGGATTGCTAACCAAAACACGATAGTTCTTTTCTCTTAAACGGATTGCTAACAAAAGCGACGATATTTCTTTCTAAAGTTCTTTCTCTTAAACGGATTGCTAACCAAACCAGGATAGGATTGCTAATCAAAACACGATAGTTCTTTCTCTTAAACGGATTGCGAAGCAAAACACGATATTTTTTCTCTTAAACACCAAAACACGATAGTTCTTTCTCTTAAACGGATTGCTAACCAAAACACGATATTTCTTTCTCTTAAACGGATTGCTAACAAAAAACGATATGGATTGCTAACCAAAACACGATAGTTCTTTCTCTTAAACGGATTGCTAACCAAAACACGATAGTTCTTTTCTCTTAAACGGATTGCTAACAAAACACGATAGTTCTTTCTCTTAAACGGATTGCTAACCAAAGCACGATAGTTCTTTCTCTTAAACGGATTGCTAACCAAAGCACGATAGTTCTTTCTCTTAAACGGATTGCTAACCAAAAACGGATTTCTTTCTCTTAAACGGATTGCTAAAAAACACGATAGTTCTTTCTCTTAAACGGATCTTAACAAAGCACGATAGTTCTTTCTCTTAAACGGATTTGCTAACCAAAACACTATATTTTCTTTCTCTTAAACGGATTGCTAACAAAAACACGATAGTTCTTTCTCTTAAACGGATTGCTAACCAAAACACGATAGTTCTTTCTCTTAAACGGATTGCTAACCAAAACACGATAGTTCTTTCTCTTAAACGTATTTAAAACCAAAACACGATAGTTCTTAATCTAAACGGATTGCCTAACCAAAGAACGATAGTTTTTTTCTCTTAAACGGATTGCTAACCAAAACACGATAGTTCTTTCTCTTAAACGGATTGCTAACCAAAATACGATAGTTCTTTCTCTTAAACGGATTGCTAACCAAAAACACGATATTTCTTTCTCTTAAACGGATTGCTAACTAAAGCACGATAGTTCTTTCTCTTAAACGGATTGCTAACCAAAAACACGATAAGTTTTTCTCTTAAACGGATTGCTAACCAAAACACGATAGTTCTTTCTCTTAAACGGATTGCTAACCAAAGCACGATAGTTCTTTCTCTTAAACGGATTGCTAATCAAAACACGATAGTTCTTTCTCTTAAACGGATTTTCACAAAAAACGGTTCTTTCTCTTAAACGCTAACCAAAACACGATAGTTCTTTCTCTTAAACGGATTGCTAACCAAAACACGATAGTTCTTTCTCTTAAACGGATTGCTAACAAACACGATAGTTCTTTCTCTTAAACGGATTGCTAACCAAAACACGATAGTTCTTTCTCTTAAACGGATTGCTAACCAAAACACGATAGTTCTTTCTTAAACGTTCTTTACAACCAAAACGGATAGTTCTTTCTCTTAAACGGATTGCTATAACACGATAGTTCTTTCTCTTAAACGGATTGCAAAACCGAAAACTTAAACGATATTTCTTTCTCTTAAACGGATTGCTAACCAAAAAACGATAGTTCTTTCTCTTAAACGGATTGCTAACCAAAACACGATAGTTCTTTCTCTTAAACGGATTGCTAACCAAAACACGATAGTTCTTTTTCTTAAACGGATTGCTAACTAAAAACGATAGTTCTTTCTCTTAAACGGATTGCTAACCAAAAACACGATAGTTCTTTCTCTTAAACGGATTTCTTTAACTTAAACGTAAAACACGATAGTTCTTTTCTCTTAAACGGATTGCTAACCAAAACGATATTTCTTTCTCTTAAACGGATTGCTAACCAAAACACGATATTTCTTTCTCTTAAACGGATTGCTAACAAAACACGATAGTTCTTTACTCTTACATTATCTTTTTCTCTTAAACACTAACCAAAGACGATAGTTCTTTCTCTTAAACGGATTGCTAACCAAAACACGATATTTCTTTTTTACTCTAAAACGGATTGCTCAAAACACGATAGTTCTTTCTCTTAAACGGATTGCTAACCAAAACACGATATTTCTTTCTCTTAAACGGATTGCTAACCAAACACGATAGTTCTTTCTCTTAAACGGATTGCTAAAGTTCTTTCTTAAACGATAGTTCTTTTCTCTTAAACGGATTGCTAACCAAAACACGATAGTTCTTTCTCTTAAACGGATTGCTAACAAAGAACGATAGTTTTTCTCTTAAACGGATTGCTAACCAAAACACGATAGTTCTTTCTCTTAAACGGATTGCTAACCAAAACACGATAGTTCTTTCTCTTAAACGGATTGCTAACAAAACACGATAGTTCTTTTCTTAAACGGATTGCTAACCAAAAACGATAGTTCTTTCTCTTAAACGGATTGCTTCTTAAACCAAAACACGATAGTTCTTTTCTTAAACGGATTGTTCAAATCTTAAACAAAACACGATAGTTCTTTCTCTTAAACGGATTACAACCAAAACACGATATTTCTTTCTCTTAAACGGATTGCTAAACAAAACACGATAGTTCTTTCTCTTAAACGGATTGCTAAATCAAAACACGATAGTTCTTTCTCTTAAACGGATTGCTAATCAAAACACGATATTTCTTTTCTTAAACGGATTTAACCAACAAAACACGATAAGTTCTTTCTCTTAAACGGATTTGCTTAAACAGTTGCTAAAACACGATAGTTCTTTTTCTCTTAAACGTATTGCTAACCAAACACGATATTTCTTTCTCTTAAATGGTTTAAACGGATTTCTTTAACTTAAACGGATTACTAATCAATACGATAGTTCTTTCTCTTAAACGGATTGCTAACCAAAACACGATAGTTCTTTCTCTTAAACGGATTGCTAACCAAAGCACGATAGTTCTTTTTCTCTTAAACGGATTGCTAACCAAAACGATAGAATTGCTAAGCAAAACACGATAGTTCTTTTCTTAAACGGATTGCTAACAAAACACGATATTTCTTTCTCTTAACGGATTGCTAACCAAAAACACGATATTTCTTTCTCTTAAACGGATTGCTAACCAAAACACGATAGTTCTTTCTCTTAAACGGATTGCTAACAAAGACACGATAGTTCTTTCTCTTAAACGGATTGCTAACCAAAACACGATATTTCTTTCTCTTAAACGGATTGCTAACCAAAACACGATAGTTCTTTCTCTTAAACGGATTGCTAACCAAAACACGATAGTTCTTTTCTCTTAAACGGATTGCTAACTAAAAAGCAAAACACGATATTTCTTTCTCTTAAACGGATTGCTAACAAAGCACGAAACACTTAAATAGCAAAAGCACGATAGTTCTTTCTCTTAAACGGATTGCTAAACAAAACACGATATTTCTTTCTCTTAAACGGATTGCTAAATAAAAAACGATATTTCTTTCTCTTAAACGGATTGCTAACAAAAACACGATAGTTCTTTCTCTTAAACGGATTGCTAATCAAAACACGATAGTTCTTTTTCTTAAACGGATTGCTAACCAAAGCACGATAGTTCTTTCTCTTAAACGGATTGCTAACCAAAGCACGATAGTTTTTTCTCTTAAACGGATTGCTAACCAAAGCACGATAGTTCTTTCTCTTAAACGGATTGCCTAACAAAAACACGATATTTCTTTTCTCTTAAACGTATTGCTAACCAAAAACGATAGTTCTTTCTCTTAAACGGATTTAACCAAAACACGATAGTTCTTTCTCTTAAACGGATTGCTAACCAAAACACGATATTTCTTACTCTTAAACGGATTGCTAACCAAAACACGATAGTTCTTTCTCTTAAACGGAGTTTTTGCTAACCAAAACACGATAGTTTTCTTTCGATATTTCTTAAACGGATTGCTAACCAAAACACGATATTTCTTTCACTTAAACATATTGCTAACCAAAGCACGATAGTTTTTTCTCATAAACGGATTGCTAACCAAATTCTTTCCACGATAGTTCTTTCTCTTAAACGGATTGCTAACCAAAAGCGCGATAGTTCTTTCTCTTAAACGGATTGCTAACCAAAACACGATATTTCTTTCTCTTAAACGGATTGCTAACCAAAACACGATAGTTCTTTCTCTTAAACGGATTGCTAACCAAAACACGATAGTTCTTTCTCTTAAACGGATTGCTAACCAAAACACGATATTTCTTTCTCTTAAACGGATTGCTAACCAAAGCACGATAGTTCTTTCTCTTAAACGGATTGCTAACCAAAACACGATATTTCTTTCTCTTAAACGGATTGCTAACCAAAACACGATAGTTCTTTTCTTAAACAGTTTGCTAACCAAACACGATAGTTCTTTCTTAAATGGATTGCTAACAAAACACGATAGTTCTTCTTTCTTAAACGGATTGCTAATCAAAGCACGATAGTTCTTTCTCTTAAACAGATTGCTAACCAAAAACGATATTTCTTTCTCTTAAACGGATTGCTAACCAAACACGATAGTTCTTTCTCTTAAACGGATTGCTAACCAAAACACGATAGTTCTTTCTCTTAAACATATTGCTAACCAAAACACGATAGTTCTTTCTCTTAAACGGATTGCTAACAAAAACGATAGTTCTTTCTCTTAAATGGATTGCTAACAAAACACGATAGTTCTTTACTCTTAAACGGATTGCTAACCAAAAGACGATAGTTCTTTCTCTTAAACAGTTGCTAACCAAAACACGATATTTCTTTCTCTTAAACGGATTGCTAACCAAAAACACGATAGTTCTTTCTCTTAAACGGATTGCTAACCAAAACACGATATTTCTTTCTCTTAAACGGTTGCCCTAAACAAAGCGCGATATTTCTTTCTCTTAAAAAAACAAAACGATATTTCTTTTTAAAGCATTACTTAAACGATAGTTCTTTGCTATTGCTAACAAAAACGATAATTCTTTCTTAAACGGATTGGTAACCAAGCACGATATTTCTTTTCTCTTAAACGGATTGCTAACCAAAACACGATATTTCTTTCTCTTAAACGGATTGCTAACCAAAACACGATAGTTCTTTCTCTTAAATGGATTGCTAACCAAAACACGATAGTTTTTTCTCTTAAACGGATTGCTAATCAAAACACGATAGTTCTTACTCTTAAACGGATTGCTAACCAAAACACGATAGTTCTTACTCTTAAACGGATTGCTAACCAAAGCACGATAGTTCTTACTCTTAAACGGATTGCTAACCAACAGACGATAGTTCTTTCTCTTAAACGGATTGCTAACCAAAACACGATATTTCTTTCACTTAAACGTATTGCTAACCAAAACACGATAGTTCTTTCTCTTAAACAGTTGCTAACAAAAGCACGATAGTTCTTTCTTAAACAGATTTGCTAACCAAAAACACGATAGTTCTTTCTCTTAAACGGATTGCTAATCAAAACACGATATTTCTTTCTCTTAAACGGATTGCTAAGCAAAACACGATAGTTCTTTCTCTTAAACGGATTGCTAGCCAAAACACGATATTTCTTTCTTAAACATATTGCTAACCAAAACACGATAGTTCTTTTCTCTTAAACGGATTGCTAACCAAAACACCATAGTTCTTTTTCTCTTAAACGGATTGCTAACAAAAACGATATGTTCTTTCTTTTAAACGGATTGCTAACCAAGCGCGACGATAGTTCTTTCTCTTAACGGATTGCTAACCAACAGACGATATTTCTTTCTCTTAAACGTATTGCTAACAAAAACGATATTTCTTTCTCTTAAACGTTGCTATTGCTAATTTTTTTTCTCTTAAAACTTATTGCTTAACCAAACACGATAGTTCTTTCTCTTAAACGGTTGCTAACCAAAGCGCGATATTTCTTTCTCTTAAACGGATTGCTAACCAAAACACGATATTTCTTTCACTTAAACGTATTGCTAACCAAAGCAGGATAGTTCTTTCACTTAAACGGATTGCTAACCATAGCACGATAATTCTTTCTCTTAAACGGATTGGTAACCAAAGCACGATAGTTCTTTCTCTTAAACAGTTGGATAACCAAAACACGATAGTTCTTTCTCTTAAACGGATTGCTAACAAAGCACGATAGTTCTTTCTCTTAAACGGATTGCTAACCAAAACACGATAGTTCTTTCTCTTAAACGTATTGCTAACAAAACACGATAGTTCTTTCTCTTAAACGGATTGCTAACCAAAGACGATGGTTCTTTCTCTTAAACGGATTGCTAACAAAACACGATATTTCTTTTCTCTTAAACGGATTGCTAATCAAAGCACGATAGTTCTTACTCTTAAACGGATTGCTAACCAAAGACGATAGTTCTTCTCTTAAACGGATTTTGCTAACCAAACGATAGTTCTTTCTCTTAAACGGATTGCTAACAAAACACGATAGTTCTTTCTCTTAAACGGATTGCTAACCAAAACACGATATTTCTTTCACTTAAATGGTTCTTTCTCTTAAACTAACCAAAACACGATAGTTTTTCTCTTAAACGGATTGCTAATCAAAAGCACGATAGTTCTTTCTTAAACGGATTGCTAAAAACACGATATTTTTTTCACTTAAACGGATTGCTAACCAAAACACGATAGTTCTTTCTCTTAAACGGATTGCTAACCAAACACGATAGTTCTTTCTCTTAAACATATTGCTAACCAAAAACGATGGTTCTTTCTCTTAAAATTGCTAACCAAACAAATATTTCTTTCTCTTAACAAAAAACACGATAGTTCTTTCTCTTAAACTGATTTATTGCTAACCAAAAACGATAGTTCTTTCTCTTAAACGGATTGCTTACCAAAACACGATAGTTCTTTTCTCTTAAACGTATTGCTAAACAAAAAGACGATAGTTCTTTCTCTTAAACGGATTGCTAACCAAAGCACGATAGTTCTTTCTCTTAAACGGATTGCTATCCAAATCACGATAGTTCTTTCTCTTAAACGGATTGCTAACCAAAAACGATCGTTCTTTCTCTTAAACGGATTGCTAACCAAAACACGATAGTTCTTTCTCTTAAACGGATTGCTAAATAAAACACGATATTTCTTTCTCTTAAACGGATTACGATAATTAAAAAACACGATAGTTCTTTCTCTTAAACGGATTTCTAAACCAAAAAACGATATTTCTTTCTCTTAAACGGATTGCTAACCAAAAACACGGATGTTTCTTTCTCTTAAACGGATTGCTAACAAAACACGATAGTTCTTTCTCTTAAACGGATTGCTAAAAAAAGCACGATATTTCTTTCACTTAAACGGATTGCTAACCAAAACACGATAGTTCTTTCTCTTAAACGGATTTTAGCAAAACGATATTTCTTTCTTAAACATGTTGCCTAAAAACACGATGGTTCTTTCTCTTAAACGGATTGCTAACCAAAACACGATAGTTCTTTCTCTTAAACGGTTGCTAACCAAAAACTTTGATAGTTCTTTCTCTTAAACGGATTGCAAACCAAAACACGATATCCTTTCTTTCTCTTAAACGGATTGTTAACCAAAGCACGATAGTTCTTTCTCTTAAACGGATTGCTAGCAAAAATTTCGTTCAAAACACTAAAAACGATAGTTCTTTCTCTTAAACGGTTTGCTAACAAGCACGATAGTTCTTTCTCTTAAACGGATTGCTAACAAAAACGATATTTCTTTCACTTAAATATTTAACAAAAAACGATATTTCTTTCTCTTAAACGGATTGCTAACCAAACACGATAGTTCTTTCTCTTAAACGGATTGCTAACAAATGTACGATAGTTCTTTCTCTTAAACGGTTTGCTAACCAAACACGATATTTCTTTCTCTTAAACGGATTGCCCCCAAAACACGATATTTCTTTCTCTTAAACGGATTGCTAACAAAAGCACGATAGTTCTTTCTCTTAAACGGATTGCCCAAAACACGATAATTCTTTCTCTTAAAAGTTTACTAACAAAGCACGATAGTTCTTTTCTTAAACGGATTGCTAACCAAAACACGATAGTTCTTTCTCTTAAACGGATTGCTAACCAAAGCATGGGTTTTTTTCTCTTAAACGGTTGCTAAACCAAAACGATAGTTCTTTCTCTTAAACGGATTGCTAACCAAAGCACGATATTTCTTTCTCTTAAACGGATTGCTAACCAAAACACGATAGTTCTTTCTCTTAAACTGGATTGGTAACCAAAACACGATAGTTCTTTCTCTTAAACGGATTGCTAACAAAACACGATATTCTTTCTTAAACGGATTGCTAAACAAAACACGATATTTCTTTCTCTTAAACGGATTGCTAACAAAAACACGATAGTTCTTTCTCTTAAACGGATTGCTAACCAAAATACGATATTTCTTTCTTTTAAACGGATTGCTAACCAAAACACGATAGTTCTTTCTCTTAAACGGATTGCTAACCAAAACACGATAGTTCTTTTCTTAAACGGATTGCTAACCAAAAACACGATATTTCTTTCTCTTAAACGGTTTGCTAACCAAAAAAACGATAGTTCTTTCTCTTAAACAGTTTACTAAAACACGATAGTTCTTTCTCTTAAACGGATTGCTAACCAAAGAACGATATTTCTTTCTCTTAAACGGATTGCTAACCAAAACACGATATTTCTTTCTCTTAAACATATTGCTAACCAAAGAACGATAGTTCTTTCTCTTAAACGGATTGCTAACCAAAGAACGATATTTCTTTCACTTAAACGTATTGCTAACCAAAACACGATATTTCTTTCTCTTAAACGGATTGCTAACCAAAACACGATAGTTCTTTCTCTTAAACGGATTGCTAACCAAAACGATAGTTCTTTCTCTTCTTAAACGATATTGCTAACTAACCAAAACACGATAGTTCTTTCTCTTAAACGGATTGCTATTAAAGCAGACGATAGTTCTTTCTCTTAAACGGATTGCTAACTTAAAACACGATATTTCTTTCTCTTAAACTGATTGCTAACCAAAAAGAACGATAGTTCTTTCTCTTAAACGGATTATAACAAAACACGATATTTCTTTCTCTTAAACGTTGCTAACCAAAACACGATATTTCTTTCTCTTAAACGGATTGCTAACAAAAAACGATAGTTCTTTCTCTTAAACGGATTGCTAAAAAAACGATAGTTCTTTCTTTCACTAACAAAAACATATTTCTTTCTCTTAAACCAAAAAACGATATTTCTTTCTCTTAAACGGATTGCTAACCAAAACACGATAGTTCTTTCTCTTAAACGGATTGCTAACCAAAACACGATAGTTCTTTCTCTTAAACGGATTGTTTAAACGATAGTTTTTCTCTTAAAATTGCCAAAAGCACGATAGTTCTTTCTCTTAAACGGATTTGCTAACCAAACACGATATTTCTTTCTCTTAAACGGATTGCTAACTAAAAGAACGATATTTCTTTCTCTTAAACGGATTGCTAACCAAAACACGATATTTCTTTCTCTTAAACGGATTGCTAACCAAAACACGATAGTTCTTTCTCTTAAAAATTGCTAACCAAAAGACGATATTCTTTCTCTTAAACGGATTGCTAACCAAACACGATAGTTCTTTCTCTTAAACGGATTGCTAACCAAAACACGATAGTTCTTTCTCTTAAACGGATTGCTAACCCCAAACACGATATTTCTTTCTCTTAAACGGATTGCTAACCAAAACACGATAGTTCTTTCTCTTAAACGGATTGCTAAACAAAGACGATAGTTCTTTCTCTTAAACGGATTGCTAAAAAACGATAGTTCTTTCTCTTAAACGGATTGCTGTCAAAACACGATAGTTCTTTCTCTTAAACGGATTGTTTTAACCAAAGAACGATATTTCTTTCTTTAAACTTTTGCTAACCTAGCAAAACACGATATTTCTTTCTCTTAAACAGTTGCTAACCAAAACCACGATAGTTCTTTCTCTTAAACGGATTGCTAATCAAAACACGATATTTCTTTCTCTTAAATGGTTGCTAACCAAAACACGATATTTCTTTCTCTTAAACGGATTGCTAACCAAAGAACGATAGTTCTTTCTCTTAAACGGATTGCTAACCAAAACACGATAGTTCTTTCTCTTAAACGGATTGCTAACCAAAGAACGATATTTCTTTCTCTTAAACGGATTGCTAACCAAAACACGATATTTCTTTCTCTTAAACGGATTGCTAACCAAAGAACGATAGTTCTTTCTCTTAAACGGATTGCTAACCAAAACACGATAGTTCTTTCTCTTAAACGGATTGCTAACCCAAAACACATTTTCTTTCTCTTAAACATATTGTAACAAACACGATTTTTCTTTTCTCTTAAACAGTTGCTAACCAAAATGGCGATAGTTCTTTCTCTTAAACGGATTGCTAACCAAAAGCACGATAGTTCTTTCTTAAACGGATTGTAACCAAAACACGATATTTCTTTCTCTTAAACGGATTGCTAACAAAACACGATAGTTTTCTTTCTCTTAAACGGATTGCTAACCAAAACACGATAGTTCTTTCTCTTAAACGGATTGCTAATCAAAACACGATATTTCTTTCTCTTAAACGGATTGCTAACCAATGTACGATAGTTCTTTCTCTTAAACGGATTGCTAACAAAACACGATAATTCTTTTCTCTTAAACGGATTGCTAACCAAAAACACGATATTTCTTTCACTTAAACGTATTGCTAACCAAACACGATATTTTTTCTCTTAAACGGATTGCTAACAAAAAACACGATAGTTCTTTCTCTTAAACGGATTGCTAACCAAAACACGATAGTTCTTTCTCTTAAACGGATTGCCTAACCAAACACGATAGTTCTTTCTCTTAAACGGATTGCTAACCAAAAACAGATATATTTCTTTCTCTTAAACGGATTGCTAACCAAAACACGATAGTTCTTTTCTCTTAAACGTATTGCTAACCAAAGCAGGGATATTTCTTTCTCTTAAACGGATTGCTAACCAAAAACCGATAGTTCTTTCTCTTAAACGGAGTTCTTTTATTAACCAAAAACACGATTTCTCTTAAACGGATTGGTAACAAAAGCACGATAGTTCTTTTCTTAAACGGATTGCTAACCAAACCACGATATTTCTTTCTCTTAAACGGATTGCTAACCGAAAACGGATTTCTCTTAAACATTGCTAACCAAAACGATAGTTCTTTCTCTTAAACGGATTGCTAACCAAAACACGATAGTTCTTTCTCTTAAACGGATTGCTAACCAAAACACGATAGTTCTTTTCTCTTAAACGGTTTCTAAAACGGATTTCTTTCTAACAACCAAAACACGATGGTTCTTTCTCTTAAACGGATTGCTAACCAAAGACGATAGTTCTTTCTCTTAAACGGATTGCTTAAAACACGATATTTCTTTCAAAAACGATTGCTAACCAAAAACACGATAGTTCTTTCTCTTAAACGATTGCTAACCAAAAACACGATAGTTCTTTCTCTTAAACGGATTGCTAATCAAAACACGATAGTTCTTTTTTAAACGATTAAACGGATAGTTCTTACTCTTAAACGGACAAACCAAAAGCACGATAGTTTTTTCTCTTAAACGGATTGCTAACCAAATCACGATAGTTCTTTTCTCTTAAACGGATTGCTAACCAAAAACGATAGTTTCTCTTAAACAGTTACTGGCCAAAAACTTTTTAAACGGATTGCTAACCTTAAAAAGCACGATAGTTCTTTTTCTCTTAAACGGATTGCTAACAAAACACGATATTTCTTTCTCTTAAACGGATTTCTTATAACCAAAACACGATAGTTCTTTTCTTAAACGGATTGCTATAGTTCTTTCTCTTAAATTGCTAACCAAAAACGATAGTTCTTTCTCTTAAACGGATTGCTAACCAAAAACACGATAGTTCTTTCTCTTAAACGGATTGCTAACCAAAAGACGATAGTTCTTTCTCTTAAACGGATTGCTAACCAAAACACGATATTTCAATTTTCTTTTTCTTAAACGGATTGCTAACCAAAGAACGATATTTTCTTTCTCTTAAACGGATTGCTAACCAAAACACGATAGTTCTTTCTCTTAAACGGATTGCTAACCAAGCACGATTTTTCTTAAACTTAAACGGATTCTCAAAACGTAACCAAAAACACGATATTAATTCTTCTCTTAAACGGATTGCTAACCAAAGAACGATAGTTCTTCTCTTAAACGGATTAACCAAAACACGATAGTTCTTTTTCTTAAACGGATTGCTAAACCAAAAGAACGATCTTTTCTTCTTAAACGGATTGCTAACAAACACGATATTTCTTTCTCTTAAACTGATTGCTAACCAAGAACGATAGTTCTTTCTCTTAAACGGATTGCTAACCAAAGAACGATAGTTCTTTTTTTTCACTTAAACGTATTGCTAACCAAAAACGATATTTTTCTCTTAAACGGATTGCTAACCAAAAACGATATTTCTTTCTCTTAAACGGATTGCTAACCAAAGAACGATAGTTCTTTCTTAAACGGATTAAACGGATTGCTAACCAAAGAACGATAGTTCTTTCTCTTAAACGGATTGCTAACAAAAACACGATGGTTTTTCTCTTAAACGGATTGCTAACCAAAAACACGATATTTTTTTCTCTTAAACGGATTGCTAACCAAAAGAACGATAGTTCTTTCTCTTAAACGGATTGCTAACCAAAACACGATATTTCTTTTCTTAAACGGATTGTAACCAAAGTTTTCTTTCTCGATATTTCTTTCTTTCTTTTAAACGGATTGCTAACCAAAACACGATAGTTCTTTCTCTTAAACGGATTGCTAACCAAAAACGAGAGTTTCTTTCTCTTAAACGGATTGCTAACCAAAACACGATAGTTCTTTCTCTTAAACGGATTGCTAGCAAAACACGATAGTTCTTTCTCTTAAACGGATTGCTAACCAAAGCACGATAGTTCTTTCTCTTAAACGGATTGCTAACCAAAACACGATAGTTCTTTCTCTTAAACGGATTGCTAACCAAAACACGATAGTTCTTTCTCTTAAACGGATTGCTAAATTCTTTCTCTTAAAAGGATTGGTAACCACGATAGTTCTTTCTTCTTAAACGGATTGCTAACCAAAACACGATAGTTCTTTTTCTTAAACGGATTTACTAACCAAAGCACGATAGTTCTTTCTCTTAAACGGATTGCTAACCAAAACACGATATTTCTTTCTCTTAAACGGATTGCTAACCAAAAGCACGATAGTTCTTTTTCTCTTAAACGGATTGCTAAACCAAAACACGATATTTCTTTCCTCTTTAAACGTATTGCTAACCAAAGCAGGATATTTCTTTCTCTTAAACGGAAAAAACACGATAGTTCTTTTCTAAACGGATTGCTAAACAAAACAGGATAGTTCTTTCTTTAAACGGCTGACCCATAGCACGAAATTTTTCTCTTAAAATGATTGCTAACCGGATATCGAAGTTCTTTCTATTAAACGAATTGCTAACCAATGAACGAATTTCTTTCTCTTAAACGGATTGCTAACCAAAATACGATAGTTCTTTCTCTTAAACGGATTGCTCACCAAACCTCAAGATATTTTTTCTCTTAAACGGATTGCTAACGAAACCTTGAGTTTTTTTCTCTTAAACTGATTGCTAACCAAAGCAGGAAGCTTTGAATGGAGTGACCAAAACACGATAGTTCTTTTCTCTTAAACAGATTACTAACAAGTGCTAACGATATTTCTTTCTCTTAAACGGATTGCTTAAACGGATTTCTTTCACATAACCAAAACACGATAGTTCTTTTCTCTTAAACGTATTGCTAACCAAAACAGGGATAGTTCTTCTCTTAAATGGAACGGATTGCTGGACCAAAGCACGATAGTTCTTTATCTTAAACAGATTTCAACAAAAAACACGATATTTCTTTCTCTTAAACGGATTGCTAACCAAAAAACGAGAGTTCTTTCTCTTAAACGGATTGCTAAACCAAAACACGATATTTCTTTCACTTAAACGGATTGCTAACCAAAACACGATAGTTCTTTCTCTTAAACGGATTGCTAACCAAAACACGATAGTTCTTTTCTTAAAAGGATTACTAACCAAAACACGATAGTTCTTTCTCTTAAACGGATTGCTAACCAAAATATGATATTTCTTTCTCTTAAACGTATTGCTAACCGAACACGATAGTTCTTTCTCTTAAACGGATTGCTAACCAGAAAGCACGATAGTTTTTCTCGGATTTAAACGATATTTTTTCTCTTAAATCAAACCAACGATAGTTCTTTTCTTAAATGGATTGCTAACCAAAACACGATATTTCTTTTCACTTAAACGTATTGCTAACCAAAACACGATAGTTCTTTCTCTTGAAAACGGATTACGTATTTTCTTTTCTCAAAACACGATATTTCTTTTCTTAAACATATTGCTAACTAAAGAACGATAGTTCTTCTCTTAAACGGATTGCTAACCAAAGCACGATATTTCTTTCTCTTAAACGGATTGCTAACCAAAACACGATATTTCTTTCGATAGTTCTTAAACGGATTGCTATCCAAAAGACGATAGTTCTTTCTCTTAAACGGATTGCTAACCAAATACGATATTTCTTTCACTTAAACGTATTGCTAACCAAAACGATAGTTCTTTCTCTTAAACGGATTGCTAACCAAAGCACGATAGTTCTTCTCTTAAACGGATTGCTAATCAAAACACGATAGTTATTTTTCTCTTAAACGGATTACTAACCAAAAACACGATATTTCTTTCTCTTAACATATTGCTAACCAAAAACACGATAGTTCTTTTCTTAAACTCTTAAACAACCAACAATGATAGTTCTTTCTCTTAAAACGGATTTAAAACACGATAGTTCTTTCTCTTAAACGGATTGCTAACCAACACATGATATTTCTTTCTTAAACGGATTGCTAATCAACACGATAGTTCTTTCTCTTAAACGGATTGCTGAACAAAAACACGATATTTTCTTTCTCTTAAACGGATTGCTAACCAAAACACGATAGTTCTTTTCTTAAACGGATTGCTAACCAAAACACGATATTTCTTTCACTTAAACATATGCTAACCAAAAACGATAGTTTTTTCTCTTAAACGGATTGCTAACCAAAATACGATAGTTCTTTCTCTTAAACGGATTGCTAACCAAAGAACGATATTTCTTTCTCTTAAACGGATTGCTAACAAAAAACACGATAGTTCTTTTCTTAAACGGATTGCTAACCAAAACACGATAGTTCTTTCACTTAAACGGATTGCTAACCAAACACGATAGTTCTTTCTCTTAAACGGATTGCTAACCAAAAAACATATTGCTAACCAAACGATAGTTCTTTCTCTTAAACGGATTGCTAACCAAAACACGATATTTCTTTCTCTAAAACGGATTCCTAATCAAAACAATGATAGTTCTTTCTCTTAAACGGATTGCTAACCAAAACACGATATTTTTTCTTAAACGGATTGCTAACCAAAAAATACGATATTTCTTTCTCTTAAACGGATTGCTAACCAAACACGATAGATCTTTCGGATTCTTAAACGGATTGCTTAAACCAAAAATAACGATATTTTTCTTTCTCTTAAACGGATTGCTAACCAAAAGAACGATAGTTTTTTCTCTTAAACGGATTGCTAACCAAAACACGATAGTTCTTTCTCTTAAACGGATTACAACCAAAAGCGCGATATTTCTCTCTAAACGGATTGCTAACCAAAACACGATAGTTCTTTCTCTTAAAACGTATTGCTAACCAAAAGAAGGATAGTTCTTTTCTCTTAAACGGATTGCTAACCATAGCACGATAGTTTTTTCTTAAACGGATTGCTAAACCAGCACGATAGTTCTTTTCTCTTAAACGGATTGCTAACCAAAACACGATATTTCTTTCACTTAAACGGATTGCTAACCAAAGCACGATAGTTTCTTTCGGTTTCTAGCAAAAACGGATTTAAAACCAAAACACGATAGTTCTTTTCTTAAACGGATTGCTAACTAAAACACGATATTTCTTTCTCTTAAACGGATTGCTAACCAAAGCACGATAGTTCTTACTCTTAAACTGATTGCTAACCAAAAGACGATAGTTCTTTCTCTTAAACGGATTGCTAACCAAAACACGATATTTTCTTTTCTCTTAAACGTATTGCTAAACAAACAGGATAGTTCTTTTCACTTAAACATATTGCTAACCAAGAACGATAGTTCTTTCTTAAACAGTTTTAACCAAAACACGATTCTTTCTCTTAAACGGATTACGAACTAAAAAACGATAAGTTCTTTTCACTTAAACGGATTGCTAAACCAAAAAACGATAGTTCTTTCTCTTAAACGGATTGCTAAACCAAAAACACGATAGTTCTTTCTCTTAAATGGATTGCAAACCAAAACACGAGATAGTTCTTTCTCTTAAACGGATTGCTAACAAAAACACGATAGTTCTTTTCTTAAACGGATTGCTAACCCAAACACGATAGTTTTTCCTTTAAAACGGATTGCTAACCAAAACACGATAGTTTTTCTCTTAAACGGATTGCTAACCAAAGGACGATATTTCTTTCACTTAAACATATTGCTAACCAAAACAACGATATTTCTTTCACTTAAACGTATTGCTAACCAAAGAACGATAGTTGAATGGTTATTTTGACCTAGCACGATAGTTCTTTCTCTTAAACGGATTGCTAACCAAAACACGATAGTTCTTTCTCTTAAACGGATTGCTAAATAAGCACGATAGTTCTTTCTCTTAAACGGATTGCTAACCAAAACACGATAGTTCTTTTCTTAAACGGATTGCTAACCAAAACACGATAGTTCTTTTCTCTTAAACGGATTGCTAACTAAAACACGATAGTTCTTTCTCTTAAACGGATTGCTAACCAAAAACGATATTTTCTCTTAAACGGATTACGATAACCAAAACATATCAGATAGTTCTTTCTTTTAAACGGATTGCTAACCAAAGAACGATAGTTCTTTTCTCTTAAACGGATTGCTAAACACGATATATTTTTTTCTCTTAAACGTATTGCTAACAAAACACGATATTTTTTCTTAAACGGATTAAAAACCAAAGAACGATAGTTTTTCTCTTAAACGCATTGCTAACTAAAACACTATAGTTCTTGCTCTTAAACGGATTGCAACCAAAGAACGATATTCCTTTTCTCTTAAACGGATTGCCAACCTAAAACACGATATTTCTTTTCTTTAAACGGATTGTTAACCAAAGAACGATATTTCTTTCTATTAAACGGATTACTAACCAAAACACGATAGTTCTTTCTCTTAAACGGATTGCAAATCAGCACGATATTTCTTTTTCTCTTAAACAGATTGCTCAACAAGCCCTCGATATTTCTTTCACTTAAACGTATTGCTAACCAAAGCAGGATAGTTCTTTCACTTGAATGGATTGCTGACCCTAGCACGATAGTTCTTTCTCTTAAACAGATTGCTAACCAAAACACGATATTTCTTTCACTTAAACGGATTGCTAAATAAAAAACGAGAGTTCTTTCACTTAAACGGATTGCTAACCAAAGCACGATAGTTCTTTCACTTAAACGGATTGCTAACCAAAACACGATAGTTCTTACTCTTAAATGGATTGCAAACCAAAAACACGATAGCGTTCTTACTTAAACGGATTGCTAACTAAAACACGTTATCTTTTTCTTAAACGGATTGCTAACCAAAACACGATATTTCTTTTCACTTAAACATATTGCTAACCAAAAACACGATAGTTCGTTCTTAAACGGATTTACAACAAAGCACGATAGTTCTTATCTTAAACGATTGCTAACCAAAACACGATAGTTCTTTTTCTTAAACGGATTGCTAACTAAAACACGATGTTCTTTTCTTAAACGTATTGCTAAACCAAACAGGATAGTTCTTTTAACTTAAACGGATTTACAACCAAGCACTATAGTTCTTTCTCTTAAACGGACAACTAAAACCAAAACACGATAGTTCTTTCTCTTAAATGTATTGCTAACAGTGCCATCGATATTTTTTTCTTAAAATGATTACAACTGAAAACGGAAGTTCTTTTTCTCTTAAACGAATTGCTAACCAATGATCGAATATTATTTCTTTCACTTAAACGATATTGCTTAAACAGATTGTCACCAAAACCTCAAGAATTCTTTCTCTTAAACAGATTGCAAACCAAGCACGATATTTCTTTTTCTTAAACGGATTGCTAAACGTATTGCTAAAAGACGAGAGTTCTTTCTCTTAAAGGATTGCTAACCAAAATACGATATTTCTTTCTCTTAAACTTATTGGAGTTCTTTCTCTTAAACCTAAAAGCACGATAGTTCTTTCTCTTAAACGGATTGCTAATCAAAAGCAGTGATAGTTCTTTCTCTTGAATGGATTGTTGACTTAAACGATATTTCTTTTCTTCAAACAGTTCTTTCTTAAACTGAACTAACAAAACGATAGTTCTTTCTCTTAAACGGATTGCTAAAAACGATATTTCTTTCTCTTAAACGGATTCTAACCAAAGCACGATAGTTCTTTCAATTTAAACGGATTACTAACCAAAACACGATATTTCCTTTCATAAACGGATTGCTGCTTAAAACACGATAGTTCTTTCTTAAAAAGGATCTTCTTTGCTAACCAAAACACGATAGTTCTTTCTTCTTAAACGGATTACAACTAAAATACGATATTTTTCACTTAAACGTACTGCTAACCGAACACGATAGTTCTTTTTCTCTTAAACGGATTGCTAACCAAAGCACGATAGTTCTTTCTCTTAAACGGATTGCTAACCAAAACACGATAGTTCTTTCTCTTAAATGGATTGCTAGCCAAAACACGATATCTCTTTCTCTTTTAAACGTATTGCTAACCAAAACACGGATAGTTCTTTTCTCTTAAACGGATTGCTAACTCAAAACACCATTTCTTCTCTTAAACATATTGCTAATAAAAAGAACGATATTTCTTTCTCTTAAACGGATTGCAAACCAAAGCACGATATTTCTTTTTCTTAAACGGATTATATAACCAAAACACGATATTTCTTTCACTTAAACGTATTGCTATCCAAAGACGATAGTTTTTTCTTAAACGGATTGCTAACCAAAGAACGATAGTTTTCAATTTAAACTTATTGCTAACCAAACACGATAGTTCTTTCTCTTAAAACGGATTGCCCTTAAAGCGCGATAGTTCTTTCTCTTAAACGGATTGCTAATCAAACACGATAGTTCTTTCACTTAAACGTATTGCCTAGCAAAGCGGATGGTATTTTCACTTAAACGTATTTTAACTAACTTAGCGAGATAATTCTTTCTTAAACGGATTGCTAACCAAAACACGATAGTTCTTTTCTTAAACGGATTGCTAACCAAACACCAACATTTAAATGATATTTCTTTCTCTTAACGGATACAACCAAACAGATAGTTCAACTTAAAATGGATTACAACTAAAATATGATAGTTCTTTATCTTAAAAACGGATTGCTGAACAAAACACGATATTTTTTCTTAAATGATTGCTAAACTAAAACACGATAGTTCTTTCTTAAACGGATTCACAACCAAAACACGATATTTTCTTTCACTTAAAACGTATAACAACCAAACACGATAGTTCTTTTTTCTTAAACGGATTGCTATCAGATAGTTCTTCTTTTCTTAAAACGGACGTTAAATTCAAAAATTTCGATATTTCACTTAAACGGATACTGCTAAACCAAAGAACGAGGAGTATTTTCTCTTAAACGGATTACTAACCAAAACACGATAGTTCTTTTTTTCTTCTAAACGGATTGCTAACCAAAGCTCGATATTTCTTTTCTTAAACGGATTACTAGCCAAAACACGATATTTCTTTTCTTAAACGTATTGCTGAACCAGAATGATAGTTTTACTCTTAAACGGATTGCTAACCAAAAACGATATTTTCTCTTAAACGATTGCTAATCAAAAGACGATTTTCTTTCTTTAAACGGATTGCTAACCAAAGCATTTATGTTTCTTTCTTAAACGGATTGCTAACCAAAACATGTATTTTTTTTACTTTAAACGTATTGCTAACCAAAAACGATAGTTCTTTCTTTTAAACGGATCACAACCAAAACACGATGGTTCTTTCTCTTAAACGGATTGCTAACCAAACACGATAGTTCTTTTCTCTTAAACGGATTGCTAACCAAAACACGATATTTCTTCTCTTAAACGGATTATAACCAAAACACGATAGTTCTTTCTCTTAAACGTATTGCTAACCAAAAGAACGATATTTCTTTTTAAACTCTAAACTAAACGGATTACTTAAACGGACTGCAAACAAGATATTTCTTTCTCTTTAAACGGATTGCCAACCAAGCACGATAGTTCTTTCTTAAACGGATTGCTAACCAAGCACGATATTTCTTTCTCTTAAACGGTTTACTAACCAAAAACGATATTTCTTTCTCTTAAACGTATTGTAAAAAAACACGATAGTTTTTCTCTTAAAACGGATTGCTAAAAAACACGATAGTTCTTTTCTCTTAAACGGATTTTAACCAAAGAACGATATTTTTTCTCCTAAATGGATTGCCAACTAAGCTATCGATAGTTCTTTTCTTAAAAGGATTTGCTAACCAAGAACGATATTTCTTTCTCTTAAACGGATTGCTAACAAAAACACGATAGTTCTTTTTCTTAAACGGATTGGGTTAACCAAACACGATATTTCTTTCTCTTAAACAGTTTACAAACAAAAACACGATAATTTTTTTCTTAAAACGATTACAACAAAAACGATAGTTCTTTTTCACTTAAACGGATTGCTAACCAAAGCACGATAGTTTTCTTAATGGATTGTAACCAAAACGATAGATTCTTTCTCTTAAACGGATTGCTAAATAAAACACGATAGTTCTTTCACTTAAACGGATTGCTAACCAAACACGATAGTTCTTTCTCTTAAACGGATTGCTAATCAAAACACGATAGTTCTTAATTTAAATGGATTACAAAACCAAAAACACGATAGTTCTTTTAAAACGGATTTTAACCAGTTATCGATACAGTTCTTTCTTTATCTTAAACAGATTCCTAAACCAAAACACGATATTTTTTTCACTTAAACGGATTGCGAACAAAGGCACGATAGTTCCGTTTTCTTAAACGGATTTGCCCCGCTAGCAAAGCACGATAGTTCTTTCTCTTAAACGGATTACAACCAACACACGATAGTTCTTTTTCTCTTAAACTCATTACAACCAAAAACGATGTTTCTTTCTCTTAACGGTATTAAATCCAAACACGATGGTTCTTTCACTTAAACGATTGCAAGCTTAAAACACTGATAGTTCTTGCTCTTAAACGGATTGCTAACCAAAGCAAAATATCGATATTTTCCTTCTCTTAAACGTATTACAAGCAAACACGATAGTTCTTTCTCTTGAAATGTAGATTGCTAACCAAAACACGATTCTTTCTAGTAAACAATTATAACCAGTCAGATAACTATTTCTCTTAGACTGATTATTAGCAAAATACGATATTTCTTTCTCTTAAACAGATTGCTCAAAACGATATTTCTTTCTCAAAACACGATATTGCTTTTTATTTCCAACTTAAAGATTGCTAACCAAAAACGATAGTTCTTTTCTTAAAACAAACAAAACACGATATTTCTTTCTTAAACGGATTGCTAACCAAAACACGATATTTCTTTTCTTAAACGGTTTGCTATCCAACGATAGTTCTTTTCTTTCACTTAAAACAAAGAACGATAGTTCTTTCTCTTAAACGGATTGCAAACCAAAGCACGATATTTCTTTCTCTTAAACGGATTGCTAACCAAAACACGATAGTTCTTTCTCTTAAACGGATTGCAACCAAAACACGATAGTTCTTTCTCTTAAACGGATTGCTAACAAAACACGATAGTTCTTTCTCTTAAACGGATTGCTAACAAAACACGATAGTTCTTTTCTCTTAAACGGATTGCTAACCAAGCACGATAGTTCTTTCTCTTAAACGGATTGCTAACCAAAACACGATAGTTCTTTCTGCTTAAATGGATTGCTAACCAAACGTCTTCTTCACTTCGCGATTGCTAGCAAAACACGATTTCTTTCTTCTTAAACGGATTGCCTAACTAAACATATATTTTTTCACTTAAACGGATTGCCTTAAGAACGATAGTTCTTTCTCTTAAACGGATTACCAAACCTGTGACGATAGTCTCTTAAACGGATTTGACTACAAAACACATATTTCTTTCACTTAAACGTATTTGCTATCCAAAAGACGATAGTTCTTTCTCTTAAAGGATTGCTAACCAAAATACGATATTTCTCCCACTTAAACTTATTGCTAAACCCAAACGATAGTTCTTTCTCTTAAACGGATTAGTTCTTTTCTCTTAAACGGATTGCTAATCAAAACACGATAGTTCTTTCTCTTAAATGGATTGCTGACCAAAACACGGTATTTCTTTCAATAAACGTATTGCAATCAAAACACGATAGTTTTTCTCTTAAACTGATTGTATGTAAAACCAAACACATGATATTTTCTTTTCCTCTTAAACGGATTGCTAACAAAGTACGATAGTTCTTTCTCTCTGCTGAACAAAAACGGATTTCTAACCAAAACACGACATTTCTTTCTCTTAAACGGATTGCAACCAAAGCTAACAAAAACCATAGTTCTTTCTTAAACGGATTGCTAAACGGATTTCTTTCACTTAAAAACACGAACGATCTTTTCTTTCTTAAAACGGATTGCAAAACCAAACATGACAGGTTCTTTTCTCTTAAACGATTACTAACCAAAGCACAGATAGTTCTTTCTCTAAACGGATTGCAAAACCAAAAACAGATAGTTCTTTCTCTTAAACGGATTTACAACCAAAACACCATCGTTCTTTCTCTAAACGGATTGCTAACCAAAACAACAGTTCTTTCTCTTAACGCTAATATTTTCTTTTTCTTTTAAACGGTTATAACCAATACGATAGTTCTTTCTCTTAAACGGATTGCTAGCAAAACACGATATTCTTTCTCACTTAAACGGATTGCTAACCAAAACACGATATTTCTTTTCTCTTAAACGGATTGCTAACCAAAAACGATAGTTTTATCTGAATGATTTGAATTCAAAAAACGTGGTTCCTTTCTCTTAAACGGATTGCTAACAAAGCGCGATATTTCTTTTTCTCTTAAACGGATTGCTAACAAAACACGATATTTCTTTTTCTTAAACGGATTGCTAACCATAGCAATAGTTCTTTCTCTTAAACGGATTGCGAACTAAAAATTCTTTCTGCGGATTGGTAACCAAAGCACGATAGTTCTTTCTCTTAAACGGATTGCTAACCATGGCACGATATTTCTTTCTCGCCAAACGGATTGGTAACCAAAGCACGATAGTTCTTTCTCTTAAACGGATTGCTAACCAAAACACGATATTCTTGTTCTTAAACGGTTGCTAGCAAAAAACGGATTCTTAAACGGATTGCTAACCAAAGCACGATAGTTCTTCTCTGAAAGCTGATTTGTAACCAAAAGACGGATTGCTAGCCAAAACACGATATTTCTTTCTCTTAAACGTATTGCGAACCACCATAGCACGATAGTTCTTCTCTTAAACAGTTGCGAACTAAAACACGATAGTTCTTTTCTCTCTTAAACGGATTGCTAACCAAAAACGATAGTTCTTTCACTTAAACGGATTGTAGAACCAAAGCACGATAGTTCTTTCTCTTAAACGGATTGTTAAAGCAAAAACGAGAGTTCTTTCTCTTAAATGGATTGCTAACCAAAAACGATAGTTTTTTCTTAAAACAGTTAAAACCAAAAACGATAGTTCTTTTAAACGGATTGCTAACCAAAAAACGATGTTTTCTTAAACGACTATAATCAAAACACGATAGTTCACTTTCTTTAAAACGGATTGCTAACTTCAAAACACGTTCTTTCCGCCAAACATATTGCTAACCAATGACGATTTCTTTCTCTTAAACGGATTACTAAACAAAACACGATAGTTTCTTTTTGCCCAAAACATATTGCTAACCAAAGAACGATAGTTCTTTCTTATGGTTGCTAACCAAAAACACGATATTTCTTTCTCTTCAGTTTAAACGATTTCTCTTAAACGGAAAACACGATGGTTCTTTCTCTTAAACGATTTGCTAACTAAAAACGAGATGTTCTTTCTCTTAAACGGATTGCTAACCAAACACGATATTTCTTTCTCTTAAACTAAACGGATTGCTAACCAAAAAAACACGATAGTTACTTTCTCTCTTAAACGGATTGCTAACCAAATCACGATATTTCTTTACTGCTAGCAAAAACTGTTCTTTCCTCTTAAACCAAAAGACGATAGTTCTTTCTCTTAAAAGCATTACTAACCCAAAACACGATAGTTCTTTCTCTTAAACGTATTGCTAACCAAAGAACGATATTTCTTTCTCTTAAACGGATTGCTGACCATAAACACGATATTTCTTTTCTTAAACAGTTTGCTAACCAAAGAAATGTTCTTTCTCTTAAAATTGCTTCAACACGATAGTTCTTTCTCTTAAACGGATTGCTAACCAAAAACGAGAGTTTTTTTCACTTAAACGGATTTGCAAAACTCGATATTTCTTTCATAAAAATTTGCTAACCAATGATAGTTCTTTTTCTCTTAAATGGATTGCTGAAAAACACGATGGTTCTTTTCTCTTAAACTGATTGCTAACAAAACACGATTTCTTTCACTTAATGGATTATAAATAAAAAAACGAGGTTCTTTAGTTTTTGCTAACTTAAAACGGATTGCTTAAACGGATTCTAAACAAAACACCATAGTTCTTACTCTTAAATGGATTGCCAACCAAAACACGATAGTTCTTACTCTTAAACGGATTGCTAACCAAAACACGATAGTTTTTCTCTTAAACGGATTGCTAGCAACAGACGATAGTTCTTTTTCTTAAACGGATAGTTCACGTTCTCTTAAACGGATTTAACCAAAAGCACGATAGTTCTTTCTCTTAAACGGATTGCTAACCAAAGAACGATAGTTCTTTTCTCTTAAAAGTTGCCAACCAAAAACACGATATTTCTTTCTCTTAAACGTATTGCTAACCAAAAGCAGGATAGTTCTTTAAAAACATTGCTAACCAAATATTTATAGTTCTTGCTCTTAAACATATTGCTAAAACCAAAAACACGATAGTCTCTTTCATTTTAAACGAAATGATTTCGCTAACCAAACACGATATTTCTTTCTATTAAACGAATTATTGATCGAATAACTCTTAGACTGATTGTTAAGAAATACGATATTTCTTTCTCTTAAACGGATTGCTTACCAAACTCGATAGTTCTTTTCTTAAACGGATTTCTAAACAAAACACGATAGTTTTTCTTTTGAAAACTGATTACAAACCAAAGCTTGAGAGTTCTTTCCTGTAAACAGATTTAAACGGATTTCTTTCTCTTAACAACTAAACAAAACACGATAGTTCTTTCTCTTAAACGGATTGCTAACCAAAGCAGGATAGTTCTTTCACTTGAACGGATTACTGACCCTAGCACGATGGTTCTTTTCTCTTAACGGTGATTGCTAACCAAAACACGATATTTCTTTTAAACGGTTCTTAAAACGAGTTCTTTCACTTAAACGGATTGCTAAAACACGATATTTCTTTTTAAACACTTAAAAGCGGATTAAGCGGTTAACCAAAGCACGATAGTTCTTGCTCTTAAAAGGATTGCTAACCAAAAGACGATAGTTCTTTCTCTTAAAACGGATTGCTAACCAAAACACGATATTTCTTTCACTTTCAAAACGTATTGCTATCCAAAAGACGATAGTTCTTTCTCTTAAAGGATTGCCAACCAAAGCACGATAGTTCTTTCTCTTAAACCTATTGCCAACCAAAACACGATAGTTCTTCTCTTAAATGGATTGCTAACCAAAACGGATTGCTAACCAAAACACGATAGTTCTTTCTCTTAAACGGATCAAGGACCAAACACGATATTTCTTTCTTTCACTTAACGTAGTTCTTTCTCAACAGATTGCAAACCAAAGCACGATATTTCTTTCTCTTAAACGGATTGCAAACCAAAACACGACGTATTGCTGTCAAAGACGATAGTTCTTTCTTTAAAACATATTGCTAACAAAACACGATAGTTCTTTTCTTAAACTTATTACAACCAAACACGATAGTTCTTTCTCTTAAACGGATTACAACCAAAGAACGATAATTCTTTTCTCTTAAACGGATTGCTAATCAAAACACGATAGTTCTTTCTCTTAAAACGGATTGTAAATTTCTTTCAAAACGTACGATATTTCTTTCTCTTAAACTGATTTATAGCAAAACACATAGTTCTTTCTCTTAAACGTATTATGAACACTTTCTCTTAAACGGATAACAAAGTACGAGTTCTTTCTCTTAAACGGATTGCTAACCAAAACACGATATTTCTTTTAAACGTATTGCCAGCAAAATGGTTCTTTCTGCCGACGGTTGTAATCAATAAACACGATATTTCTTTCTCTTTTTAAACGGATTGCTTAAACATACTGCCAACGAAGAACGATATTTCTTTCTCTTAAACGGATTGCTAACCAAAACACGATAGTTCTTTCACTTAAACGGATTGCTAACAAAACTCGATAGTTCTTTTTCTTTTAAACGGATTGCTAACCAAAAGAACGATATGTTTTTTCTCTAAAACGGATTTCGTTAACCAAACACGATAGTTCTTTCTCTTTAAACGGATAGTTCAACCAAACGGATTGCTAATCAACACGATATTTCTTTTTTTAAACGGATTGCTAACCAATGTACGATATTTCTTTCTCTTAAACGGATTGCTAACCAAAGAACGATATTTCTTTCACTTAAACGGATTGCTAACCAAACATCGATATTTCTTTTCTTAAACGGATTGGTAACAAAAAAGTTTTTTCTCTTAAACGATAGTTCTTTTATCTTAAACGGATTGCTAACCAAAGCACGATATTTCTTTCTCTTAAACGGATTGCAAACGGTTCTTTCTTAAACCACCAAAACACGAGGTTCTTTACCTTAAACGGATTGCTAACCAAAACAATGATAGTTCTTTCACTTAAACGGATTGCTAACCAAAAGCACGATAGTTCTTTCTCTCTTAAACTGATTTACAACGGATTGGTAAAAGACGATAGTTCTTTTCTTAAACGGATTGCTAAAGCAAAACACGATATTTTCTTAAACGGATTGCTAACCAAAACACGATAGTTCTTTCTCTTAAACGGATTGCTAACCAAACACTTATAGTTCTTTCTCTTAAACAGTTTGCGGAACTAAATCACGATAATTTTTTCTCTTAAACGGATTGCTAGCAAAACACGATATTTTTTCATCAAACGGATTACAACCAAAAGAAGGATAGTTCTTTCTTAAACGGATTGCTGACCAAAACACGATAGTTCTTTCTCTTAAATGGATTGCAACCAAAACACGATAGTTCTTTCTCTTAAACGGATTGCTAAATCAAAACACGATAGTTCTTTTCTTAAACGGATTGCTAACCAAAACACGATAGTTCTTTACTTAAACGGATTGCTAAGCAAAACACGATATTCTTTCTTCTAAACGGATTGCTAACCAAAACACGATATTTCTTTCTCTTAAACATATTGCCAACCAAAGAACGATAGTTCTTTTCTTAAACGGATTGCTAATCAAAACACGATAGTTCTTCTTTTTGCACTTAAACGGATTAAACAAACAAAACAAAGCACTATAGTTTTTTACTCTTAAACGGATTGTAACAAAACACGATAGTTCTTTCTCTAAACGGATTTTTCTAACTAAAACACGATACTTTCACTTTAACAACAACAAAGAACGATAGTTCTTTTTCTCTAAACGGATTGCTAACAAAAAACACGATAGTTCTTTCTAATTCTTAAACGGATTGCTAAACCAAAACACGATAGTTCTTTTCGGATTGCTCGATATCTCTTTTTTTAAACGGATTGCTAACCAAAACACGATATTTCTTTCTCTTAAACGTATTGCTAACAAAACACGAAGGTTCTTTCTCTTAAACGGATTTAAACGGATTCTCTTAAACCAAAAAACACGATATTTCTTTTCTCTTAAACGGATTGCTAACCAAAAAACGATAGTTTCTTTCTCTTAAACGGTTGCTAACCAAGAACGATAGTTCTTTCTCTTAAACGGATTACTAACCAAAACACGATATTTCTTTCTTTATTCTTAAACGGATTGCTAACCAAAGAAACGATAGTTCTTTCTCTTAAACGGATTGCTAACCACAAAGAACGATATTTCTTTCACTTAAACGTATTGCCTAACCAAAAACATGATATTTCTTTTCTCTTAAATGGATTACTTCTAAAGCACGATATTTCTTTCTCTTAAACGGATTGCTAACCAAAACACGATATTTCTTTCTCTTCTAAACGGATTGCTAACTAAAGCACGATAGTTCTTTTTAAACTTAAACGGATTTCTTTCTCTTAACCAAAACACGATATTTCTTTCACTTAAACGTATTGCTTTAACCAGGATACGTTCTTTCACTTAAATGGTTGGACCCTAGCACGGTTCTTTCTCTTAAACAAAAACACGATATTTCTTTCACTTAAACATATTGCTAAATAAAAACACGATAGTTCTTTCTCTTAAACGGATTTTGTTCAAACCAAAACACGATATTTTTTTACCTTAAACGGATTGCCAACCAAAACACGATATTCTTTCTCTTAAACGGATTTTTGAACCAAAACACGATAGTTCTTTCTCTTAAACGGATTGCTACAATCAAAACACACGATAGTTCTTTTCGAGTTCTTAGCAAAAACGGATTGCTAACCAAAACACGATATTTTTTCTCTTAAACGCATTGCTAACTAAAGCACGATAGTTCTTTCTCTTAAACGGATTGCAATCAAAACACGATAGTTCTTTCTCTTAAACGGATTGCTAAACTTAAAAAACACGATAGTTTTTCTCTTAAAACGGATTGCCAACCAAAACACGATATTTTTTCTCTTAAACGGGATTACAAATCAAAGCACGATAGTTCTTTCTCTTAAACGGATTGCTAACCAAAACACGATATTTTTTCTCTTAAACGGATTGCTAACTAAAACACGATATTTCTTTTCTTAAACGGATTTGCTAATCAAAACACGATATTTTTTTCTCTTAAACGGATTGCTACTTAAAACACGATAGTTCTTTTTCTTAAACGGATTGCTAACTAAAACACGATAGTTCTTTTCTTAAAAAACGATATTTCTTTACTTAAACCAAAACACGATAGTTTTTCTCTTAAACGTTTTGCTAACTAAAGCACGATAGTTCTTTCTCTTAAACGGATTTGGTTGACCAAAACACGATATTTCTTTCTCTTAAATGGATTGCTAACCAAAAACACGATAGTTCTTTCTCTTAAACGGATTTGCTAATAAAAACACGATATTTCTAGTTCTTAAATGGATTGCTAAACAAAACACGATATCTCTTTAAAACGGATTGCTAACCACAAAGTAATGATAGTTCTTTCTCATATTTAAACGGATTCTCTAACCAAAACACGATATTTCTTTCTCTTAAACGGATTGCTAACCAAAGAACGATAGTTCTTTCTCTTAAACGGATTGCTAACCAAAACACGATAGTTCTTTTTCTCTTAAACGGATTGCTAACCAACACATTGATATTTCTTTCTCTTAAACGGATTGCTAACCAAAGTACGATAGTTCTTTCTCTTAAACGGATTACTAACCAAACACGATGGTTCTTTTCACTTTGGATTCTCTTAAACGATAGTTCTTTCTTAAATCAAAGCACGATATTTCTTTTAAACGGATTGCTAAATAAAAACGGATTAAGGTTAACTAAAACACGATATTTTTTTTCACTTAAACGGATTGCAAAACACGATGGATTCTAACCTTAAAAAACCAAGCACGATAGTTCTTACTCTTAAACGGATTGGTTAACCAAAACACGATCTTTCTCTTATCGGTTATAGCAAAAACGTATTGCTAATTGCTAAAAACACGATATTTCTTTTCTTAAACGGATTTAAACGATAGTTTTTCTTAAACGATTGCTAAAAAGACGATAGTTCTTTCTCTTAAACGGATTGCTAACCAAAATACGATATTTCTTTCTCTTAAACTTATAATTTAAGTAAATCAAAACACGATAGTTCTTTTTTCACTTAAACGGATTGCTTCAACCAAAAACACGATAGTTCTTGCTCTTAAACGGATTGCTAGCAACAAAAACATATAGTTCCTTCTCTTAAACTTAAACGATTTCTCTTAAAATGATTGCTAACTAACCAAAACACGATAGTTTTTTCTCTTAAACGGATTGTTAACCAAAGCACGATATTTCTTTCTCTTAAACGGATTGCTCACCAAACCCAAAACTAACGATAGTTTTTTCTCTTAAAAGGATTGCTAACCAAAACACGATATTTCTTTCACTTAAACATATTGCTAACCAAAGAACGATAGTTCTTTCTTTCACTTCAACGGATTGCTAACCAAAACACGATAGTTCTTTTCTCTTAAACGGATTTTGCAAACCAAAGCACGATATTTCTTTTAAACGGATTCTTAAACGGATCTTTCACTTAAACGGAAAAACACGATAGTTCTTTCTTAAACGATTACAACCAAAACACGATAGTTCTTTCTCTTAAACGATTGCTAACCAAAAACACGATCGTTCTTACTCTTAAACGATTGCTAACTAAACACGATATTTCTTTCTCTTAAACGGATTGCAACAAAACACGATAGTTCTTTTTTAAACGGATTACAACTAAAACACGATATTTCTTTCACTTAAACGCGATTGCTAACCAAAACACGATATTTCTTTTCTCTTAAACGGATTGCTATATTTCTTTCATAAACATATTGCAAAAAGACGATAGTTTTTCTCTTAAACGGATTGCTAACCAAAACACGATAGTTCTTCTCTTTCAAAATTTAAAACGGATTGCTAACAAAAACGACGATTTTTCTTTTGCTCTTAAACGGATTTCCAACCAAAACACGATAGTTCTTTCTCTTAAACGGATTGCTAACCAAAGCACGATAGTTCTTTCTTTTAACGGATTGCCTAATCAAACGATAGTTCTTTCTCTTAAATGGATTGCTAATCAAACACGATATTTTTTTCTTAAACGGATTGCTGTTCAAAACACGATAGTTCTTTCACTTAAACGGATTGCTAACCATAGCACGATAGTTCTTTCTCTTAAACGGATTGCTAACCAAAGCATGATATTTCTTTCTCTTAAACGGATTGCTAACCAAACACGATAGTTCTTTTCTCTTAAACGGATTTCTTTAACCAAAACACGATAGTTCTTTCTCTTAAACATTGCTAACCAAAACACGATAGTTCTTTCTCTTAAACGGATTGCTAATCAAAAACGATAGTTCTTTTTCTTAAACAGGATTGCTAGCCAAAACACGATAGTTCTTTCTCTTAAACGGATTGCTTTAAAACGATATTTCTTTCTCTTAAACACCTAACACGATAGTTCTTTCTCTTAAACGGATTGCTAATCAAAGCAGGATAGTTCTTTCTTAAACGGATTGCTAGCAAAGCACGATAGTTCTTTCTCTTAAAGGATCTCTTTCTCTTAAACGTAAAACACGATATTTCTTTCACTTAAACGGATTGCTATCCAAAAGCACGATAATTCTTTCTCTTAAACGGATTGCTAACTAAAAACGATAGTTTCTTTCTCTTAAACGGATTGCTAACCAAAACACGATAGTTCTTTCTTAAACGGATTGCTAAATCAAAACACGATAGTTCTTTTCTTAAAACGGATTGCTAATCAAAACACGATATTTCTTTCTCTTAAACGGATTGCTAACCAAAACACGATAGTTTTTCTCTTAAACGGATTGCTAATAGTTCTTTCTCTTAAATAGCAAACCAACGATAGTTCTTTCTCTTAAACGGATTGCTAACCAAAACACGATATTTCTTTCACTTAAACATATTGCTAACCAAAGAACGATAGTTCTTTCTCTTAAACGGATTGCTAACCAAAACACGATAGTTCTTTCTCTTAAACGGATTGCTAACCAAAACACGATAGTTCTTTCTCTTAAACGGATTGCTAACCAAAACACGATATTTCTTTCTCTTAAACAAAGATTGGTAACTTTTCTCTTAAACGGATTGCTAACCAAAACACGATAGTTCTTTCTCTTAAACAAAATACGATATTTCTTTCTTTTAAAAAACGATAGTTCTTTCTCTTAAACGGATTGCTAACAAACGAAAACTTAAACGGATTGCTAACAAAACACGATAGTTCTTTATCTTAAACGGATTGCTAACCAAAAACGAATTTCTTTCTCTTAAATATTTAACAAAACACGATGGTTCTTTTTCTTAAACGGATTGCTAACCAAAGCACGATAGTTCTTTCTCTTAAACGGTTTGCGAACCAAAACACGATAATATCTTTCTCTTAAACGGATTTCTAACTTAAACGGATTGCTAACCAAAAACGATAGTTCTTTTCTCTTAAACGGATTGCCAACCCAAAAACTCGATATTTTCTCTTAAACGGATTGGTAACCAAAACACGATAGTTCTTTTCTTAAACGGATTGCTAACCAAAACACGATAGTTCTTTCTCTTAAACGGATTTGTAACAAAAACGATGGTTCTTTCTCTTAAACGGATTGCTAACCAAAGCATGATAGTTCTTTCTCTTAAACGGATTGCTAACCAAAGCGGAATTTCTTTTTAAACTCTGAATAAAAACGGATTTCTTTGCTAACCAGCAAAACGATAGTTCTTTCTCTTAAAATAGTTTGCTAACAAAACACGATATTTCTTTCACTTAAACATATTGCTTCTTCCACGATAGTTCTTTTCTCTTAACAGTTGCTAAGCAAAACACGATATTTCTTTAGACAAACTCTTAAACGGATTGCTTTCTTAAGCACTATAGTTTTTTCTCTTAAACGGATTGCTAACCAAAGCTCGATAGTTCTTTTTCTTAAAGCCGGATTGCTAGCCAAAACACGATATCTCTTTCACGTATTAAACATAGTTCTTTCTCTTAACCAAAACACCATAGTTCTTTCTCTTAAACGGATTACTAATCAACACGATAGTTCTTTTCTTAAACGGATTGCTAACCAATGTACGATAGTTCTTTTTCGGATTCTTCAAAAAAACACGATATTTCTTTCCTTAAAACACGATATTTCTTTTCTTAAACGGATTGCTAGCCAAAGAACGATAGTTTTTCTCTTAAACGGATTGCTGCCAAAAACACGATAGTTCTTTTCTTAAACGGATTGCAGCAAGCGCGATATTTGCTTTCTCTTAAACAAAACACGATATTTCTTTCGCCAAACGTATTTCTTACCAAGCGGATGGTGATTCGCCAAACCTAACCATAGCACGATAATTCTTTCTCTTAAACGGATTGCTAACCAAAAGCACCATATTTCTTTTCTCTTAAACGGATTGCTAACCAAAGAACGATATTTCTTTCTCTTAAAACACGATAGTTCTAAACTTAAAACAAGCGATATTCTTATTCTTTTCTTCTAAAGCGATAGTTCCTATGAAAAAGGATTTGTAAACGATAGTTCTTTCTCTTAATTGTTTAGCAAAAGGCGATAGTTCTTTCTTAAACGTATTGCTAGCAAAACACGATATTTCTTTCTCTTAAACGTATTTGCTAACCAAAAGAAGGATGGTTCTTTCTCTTAAACGGATTGTGACCAAAGCACGATAGTTCTTTCTCTTAAACGGTTTGCTAACTAAAAACGTGCTATCTTTCTCTTAAACGGATTGCTAACCAAAACACGATAGTTCTTTTCTTAAACGGTTGCTAACCAAGAACGATATTTCTTTCTCTTAAACAGCGTTCTTCTTTGCTTACAACAAAAAACGATAGTTCTTTCTCCAAACGGATTGCTAACCAAACACGATGTTTCTTTCAGTTCTAATAAACAGTTCTTCTTTCTGTTAACTAAAACACGATAGTTCTTTCCTTAAACGGATTGCTAACTAAAGCAGGATAAGTTTTTACTCTTAAATGGATTCTGACCCCTAGCCCGTGGATTCTTTCTCTTAAACGGATTCTTCAGCAAAACTGCGATATTTCTTTTTCATAACCAAAGAACGGTAGGTGCTTTCTTCAAATCGGATTGTAAAACACGATAGTTCTTTCTCTTAAACGGATTGCTAAAAAGCACGATAGTTCTTTTCTTAAACAGTTGCTTCAAAACACGATATCTTCTCTTAAACGGTTTAACCAAAACGAAAATAGTTCTTACTTTCTTAATCGTATTGCCCCAACTTTAAAACACGAAAGGTTCTTCTCTTCTTAAAACGGATTGCTAACAAAGCGGTTACAACAAATATTTCTTTCTCTTAAAAGGATTGAACTAACCTTAAACGGAAACACGATAGTTCTTTCTCTTAAAAGGTTGCTAGCAAAACACGATGTTCTTTCTCTTAAACGGATTGCCAACCGAACATTAGTTCTTTCTCTTAAGCATTGCTAGCAAAACGTAGTTCTTTCTCTTAAACGGATTGCTAGCAAAACACGATATTTCTTTCTCTTAAATGGTTGCTAACCAAAACACGATAGTTACTTTTCCTTAAACCGGATTGCTAACCAAAAACGATAGTTCTTTCTCTTAAACGGATTGCTAGCAAAAATGGTTCCTAAACGGTTGCTAAAACACGATATTTATTTCTCAGTTGTTAGCAAACGGATTTCTTTAACAAATTGCACGATGGTTCTTTCTCTTAAATGGATTGCTGACCCAAGCACGATAGTTCTTTCTCTTAAACAGATTGCTAGCAAAACACATGATATTTCTTTCACTTAAAACGGACGCCCCTAACCAAAGCACGATAGTTCTTTCTCTTAAACGGATTGCTAACCAAAACACGATAGTTCTTTTCTTAAACGGATTGCTAACCAAAACACGATATTTCTTTCACTTAAACGTATTGCTAACCAAACAGGATAGTTCTTTCACTTAAACGGATTGCTGAACAAAACACGATAGTTCTTTCTCTTAAACAGATTGCTAACCAAAAACACGATAGTTCTTTCTCTTAAACGGATTGCTAACCAAAACACGATAGTTTTTTCACTTAAACGTATTGCTAACCAAAGCACGATAGTTCTTTCTCTTAAACGGATTGCTAACCAAAGCACGATAGTTCTTTCTCTTAAACGGATTGCTAACCAAAACACGATATTTCTTTCACTTAAACGGATTGCTAACCAAAACACGATAGTTCTTTCTCTTAAACGGATTGCTAACCAAAACACGATATTTCTTTCACTTAAACATATTGCTAACCAAAGCACGATAGTTCTTTCTCTTAAACGGATTGCTAACCAAACACGATAGTTCTTTCTCTTAAACGGATTACTAACAAAGAACAGTAGTTCTTTCTCTTAAACGTTTGCTAACCAAAAAACACGATGGTTCTTTCTCTTAAACGGATTACTAGCAAAAAACATAGTTCTTTCTCTTAAAATGTATTGCTAGCAAAACCAGGATAGTTCTTTTGCATAAACGATAGTTCTTTTGCTAACCAAAACACGATAGTTCTTTCTCTTAAAGCGGTTCTTCTATTATACCATAGTTTCTTTCCTTAACATGTTAGCAACCAAAGCGAAATTTTTCTAGTTGTAACAAACGATGGTACTTTCAAGCAGTTGGGATATCACGAAGTTCTTTCTATTAAACGATTACTAACCAATGATCGAATATTTCTTTCTCTTAAACTGATTACTAACCAAAACTCGATATTTCTTTCTTAAACGTATTGCTCACCAAACCTGGTTCTTTCGCGAATGGATGCTGACCTTAGCACGATGGATTATTAAACGGTGCTTAACAAAACTTGAGATTTTTTCACTTAAACGGATTGCTAAATAAGCACGATAGTTCTTTTCTTAAAAGTTTGGATTACTAACCAAAGCACGATATTTCTTTTCACTTAAACGGATTGGTAACCAAAGCACGATAGTTCTTTCTCTTAAACGGATTGCTAACCAAAACACGATAGTTCTTTTCTCTTAAACGGATTGCTAACCAAAACACGATAGTTCTTTCTCTTTTCTTAAACGGATTCCTAATCCAAAGTAGCAAAACACGATAGTTCTTACTCTTAAACTGATTGCTAACCAAAAGACGATAGTTCTTTCTCTTAAAAGGATTGCTAACCAAAACACGATATTTCTTTCACTTAAACGTATTGCTAAACAAACAGGATAGTTCTTTCACTTAAACGGATTGCTGACCATAGCACGATAGTTCTTTCTCTTAAACAGTTTGCGAACTAAATCACGATAATATCTTTCACTTAAACGGATTGCTAACCAAAAAACGAGAGTTCTTTCACTTAAACGGATTGCTAACCAAAGCACGATAGTTCTTTCTCTTAAACGGATTGCTAACCAAAACACGATAGTTCTTTCTCTTAAACGTATTGCTAACCAAAACACAGTTCTTTCACTTGAACGGATTGCTGACCAAAACACGATATTTCTTTCTCTTAAACATATTGCTAACCAAAGACGATATTTCTTTCTTAAACGTTTTTGCCTAAATAAAAACACAGAGTTCTTTCATAAACGGATTGCTAACAAAACACGATAGTTCTTTCTCTTAAACGGATTGCTAACCAAACACGATAGTTCTTTCTCTTAAACGGATTGCTAACCAAAGCACGATAGTTCTTTCTTTCTCTTAAATGGTTCTTTGCTTAAGCTGTAAAAACGATAGTTCTTTTCTTAAATGGTTTTAACCAAACGTCAATGTTTCTTTCAAAACATTGCTAACCAAACGAATATTTCTTTCTCTTAACGGATTGCTACAGATATTTCTTTCGCCCAAACATGGCAACCAAGGAACGATAATTCTTTGCAACCAGGATTACCAAACAAAACTTCGATATTTCTTTCTCTTAAACGGATTGCTAACAAAACACGATAATTTCTATCTTTCTCTAAAAACGATATTTCTAACCAAAAACGACTATAGTTTCTTTCTCTTAAACTTATTGCTACCAAAACACGATAGTTCTTTTCTCTTAAACGTATTACCTAAACAAAGCACGATAGTTCTTTTTCGCCAAACACGATGGTTCTTTCTCTTAAATGGATTTGCTAACCAAACACGATAGTTCTTTCTCTTAAACAGTTTGCGAAGCTAAAACACGATAGTTCTTTCTTAAACGGATTGCCTAACCCAAAAAACGATAGTTCTTCTCTTAAACGGATTGCTAGCAAAACACGATATTTCTTTCCAAACGGATTGCTAACAAAAAGTTCGATGGTTCTTTCTCTTAAACGGATTGCAAACAAAAAACGATATTTCTTTCTTAAACGTATTGCTAACCTTAAAACTATAATTCTTTCTCTTAAACAGTTGCTTACCAAAACGGATTTCTTTAAACATGATTTAAACAAAAACGATAGTTCTTTCTCTTAAACGGATTGCTAGCAAAACACGATAGTTTTTTCTAAACGGATTGCTAACCAAAAGAGACGATAGTTCTTTCTCTTAAACGGATTGCCTAAAAAACCCATTCGTTCTTTCTCTTAAACGGATTGCTAAACCAAAACACGATAGTTCTTTCTCTTAAACGGATTGCTAACCAAAAGCACGATATTTCTTTCTCTTAAACGTATTATCTCTTTCTCTTAAAATAAACAAAACAGGATAGTTCTTTCTCTTAAACGGATTGCTGACCAAACACGATAGTTCTCTTCGGATTAAATAGATTTCTTTCTTTTTAAACCAAAACACGATATTTCTTTCACTTAAACGGATTGCTAACCAAAAACGAGAGTTCTTTCTTAAACTTAAACGGATTGCAAACCAAAACACGATAGTTCTTTTCTCTTAAACGGATTGCTAATAGTTCTTTCTCTTAAAAAACCAAACGATAGTTCTTTCTCTTAAACGGATTGCTAACCAAAACACGATATTTCTTTCACTTAAACATATTGCTAACCAAAACACGATAGTTCTTTCTCTTAAACGGATTGCTAACCAAAACACGATATTTCTTTCACTTAAACATATTGCTAACCAAAGAACTATAGTTCTTTCTCTTAAACGGATTGCTAACCAAAACACGATAGTTCTTTCTCTTAAACGGATTGCTAACCAAAGCACGATAGTTCTTTCTCTTAAACGGATTGCTAGCCAAAACACGATATCTCTTTCTCTTAAACGTATTGCGAACCAAAGCACGATAGTTCTTTCTCTTAAACGGATTGCTAACCAAAACACGATATTTCTTTCTCTTAAACGGATTGCTACCAAAAACGATAGTTCTTTCTCTTAAAAGTTGCTAAAAAACGATAGTTCTTTTCTCTTAAACAGATTGCTAACAAAAACGATATTTCTTTCACTTAAACATATTGCTAACCAAAACACGATAGTTCTTTCTCTTAAACGGATTGCTAACCAAATAGTTCTTTCTCTTAAACAGTTTGCGAACTAAATACGTAGTTTTCTCTTAAACGGATTGCTAACCAAAAACGATATTTCTTTCTCTTAAAACGGATTGCTAACCAAAACACGATATTTCTTTCTCTTAAACGGATTGCTAACCAAAGACGATAGTTCTTTCTCTTAAACGGATTGCTAACCAAAACACGATAGTTCTTTTCTTAAACTTGCTAATCAAAACACGATTTCTAATAGCAAACAAAGCCAAAACACGATAGTTCTTTCTCTTAAACGGATTGCTAACCAAAACGATATTTTTTTCTCTAACCAAAAACGATATTTCTAACTTAAACATTTTCGGATTTCTTTCCTTAAACTAATTGCTAACCAAAACACGATAGTTCTTTCTCTTAAACGGATTGCTAACCAAAACACGATATTTCTTTCTTTAAACGGATTCTTAAACGGAGTTCTTTCTCTTAAACGGTTGCTAAAACACGATAGTTCTTTCTCTTAAACGGATTGCTAACAAAACACGATTCTTTCTCTTAAACAGATTGCTTTAAAACACGATAGTTCTTTCTCTTAAACGGATTGCTAACCAAACACGAAAACAAACGATAGTTCTTTTCTCTTAAACGGATTGCTAACCAAAACACGATATTTCTTTCACTTAAACGGATTGCTAATCAAAGCACGATAGTTCTTTCTCTTAAATGGATTGCTGACCAAAACACGATAGTTCTTTTCTCTTAAACGGATTGCTAACCAAAACACGATATTTCTTTTCTTAAACGGATTGCTAACCAAAAACGATAGTTCTTTCTCTTAAACGGATTGCTAAGCAAAAAACGATAGTTCTTTCTCTTAAACGGATTGCTAAACAAAACACGATAGTTCTTTCTCTTAAACGGATTGCTAACCAAAACACGATAGTTCTTTCTCTTAAACGGATTGCTAAACCGAAAACACGATAGTTCTTTCTCTTAAACGGATTGCTAACCAAAAGCACGATATTTCTTTCTCTTAAACGGATTGCTAACCAAAAATACGATAGTTCTTTCTCTTAAACGGATTGCTAACCAAAACACGATAGTTCTTTCTTAAACGGATTTTAAAAACGATATTTCTTTCTCTTAAAATTTGCTAACGATAGTTCTTTCTCTTAAACGGATTGCTAACCAAAACACGATAGTTCTTTCTCTTAAACGGATTGCTAACCAAAACACGATATTTTTCTTTCTCTTAAACGGATTGCTAACCAAAACACGATAGTTCTTTCTTAAACGGATTGCTAACCAAAACACGATATTTCTTTCTCTTAAACGGATTGCTAACCAAAAACACGATAGTTCTTTCTCTTAAACGGATTGCTAACCAAAGCACGATATTTCTTTCTCTTAAACGGATTGCTAACCAAAAACGATAGTTCTTTCTCTTAAACGGATTCTAACAAAAACGATATTTCTTTCTCTTAAACGGATTGCTAACCAAAAACACGATAGTTCTTTTCTCTTAAACGGATAGTTCTTTCTCTTAAAACACGATATCAAAGCACGATAGTTCTTTCTCTTAAACGGATTGCTAACCAAAACACGATATTTCTTTCACTTAAACGGATTGCTAAATAAAAAACGAGAGTTCTTTCACTTAAACGGATTGCTAACCAAAGCACGATAGTTCTTTCTCTTAAACGGATTGCTAACCAAAACACGATAGTTCTTACTCTTAAGCGGATTGCTAACCAAAACACGATAGTTCTTACTCTTAAACGGATTGCTAACCAAAACACGATATTTCTTTCTCTTAAACTGATTGCTAACAAAATACGATAGTTTTCTTTTAAACGGATTGCTAACAAAACACGATTGCTTAAACGTTTTGCTAAACAAAACACGATAGTTCTTTCTCTTAAACGGATTGCTAACCAAAGCACGATATTTCTTTCTCTTAAACGGATTGCTAACTAAAACACGATATTTCTTTCACTTAAACGGATTGCTAACCAAAGAACGATAGTTCTTTCACTTAAACGGATTGCTAACCAAAGCACGATAGTTCTTTTTTAAACTCTAAACCAAAAACGGATTTCTTTCACTTAAACGGATTGCTAACCAAAAAACGAGAGTTCTTTCACTTAAACGGATTGCTAACCAAAGCACGATAGTTCTTTCTCTTAAACGGATTGCTAACCAAAACACGATATTTCTTTCTCTTAAACGGATTGCTAACCAAAACACGATAGTTCTTTCTCTTAAATGGATTGCTAACCAAAACACGATAGTTCTTTCTCTTAAACGGATTGCTAATCAAAACACGATAGTTCTTACTCTTAAACGTATTCTAACAAAAACGGAGTTCTTTCTCTTAAACCAAGCAAAAGCACGATAGTTCTTTCTCTTAAACGGATTGCTAACCAAAACACGATATTTCTTTCACTTAAACGTATTGCTAACCAAAACACGATATTTCTTTCTCTTAAACGGATTGCTAACCAAAGAACGATAGTTTTTTCTCTTAAACGGATTGCTAACCAAAACACGATAGTTCTTTCTCTTAAACGGATTGCTAACCAAAGCGCGATATTTCTTTCTCTTAAACGGATTGCTAACCAAAACACGATAGTTCTTTCTCTTAAACGGATTGCTAACGAAAACACGATATTTCTTTCTCTTAAACGGATTGCTAACCAAAAACGATAGTTCTTTCTCTTAAACGGATTGCTAATCAAAACACGATAGTTCTTTCTCTTAAACGGATTGCTAACCAAAACACGATAGTTCTTTTCTCTTAAACGGATTGCTAACAAAACACGATAGTTCTTTCTCTTAAACGGATTGCTAACCAAAACACGATATTTCTTTCTCTTAAACGGATTGCTAACAAAACACGATAGTTCTTTCTCTTAAACGGATTGCTAACCAAAACACGATAGTTCTTTCTCTTAAACGGATTGCTAACCCAAAAACACGATATTTCTTTCTCTTAAAATTGCTAACAAAACACGATATTTCTTTCTCTTAAACGGATTGCTAACCAAAACACGATAGTTCTTTCTCTTAAACGGATTGCTAACCAAAAGACGATAGTTCTTTCTCTTAAACGGATTGCTAACCAAAACACGATAGTTCTTTTCTCTTAAACGGATTGCTAAACAAACACGATAGTTCTTTCTCTTAAACGGATTGCTAATACTCTTAAAATTGTAACCAAGATATTTCTTTCTCTTAAACGGATTGCTAACCAAAACACGATAGTTCTTTCTCTTAAACGGATTGCTAACCAAAAGCACGATATTTCTTTTCTCTTAAACGGATTGCTAACAAAAACACGATAGTTCTTTTCTCTTAAACGGATTGCAAACCAAAACACGATAGTTCTTTCTCTTAAACGGATTGCTAAAAAACGATAGTTCTTTCTCTTAAACGGATTGCTAATCAAAAAGAACGTTATTTTTCTCTTAAACGGATTGCTAACTAAAAACACGATAGTTCTTTCTCTTAAACGGATTGCTAACCAAAGAACGATAGTTCTTTCTCTTAAACGGATTCTTAAACGGATTCTCTTAAAAAAAACACGATATTTCTTTTCTTAAACGGATTGCTAACCAAAACGATAGTTCTTTCTCTTAAACGGATTGCTAACCAAAACACGATAGTTCTTTTCTTAAACGGATTGCTCTTAAACAGGATAGTTCTTTCTCTTAAACGGATTGCTAACCAGCGATAGTTTTTTCTCTTAAACGTATTGCTAACCAAAGCAGGATAGTTCTTTCACTTAAACGGATTGCTAACCATAGCACGATAATTCTTTCTCTTAAACGGATTGGTAACCAAAGCACGATAGTTCTTTCTCTTAAACGGATTGCTAACCATAGCACGATATTTCTTTCACTTAAACGGATTGGTAACCAAAAAACGATAGTTCTTTCTCTTAAACGGATTGCTAACCAAAACACGATATTCTTACTCTTAAACGGATTGCTAACCAAAACACGATAGTTCTTACTCTTAAACGGATTGCTAACCAAAGCACGATAGTTCTTTCTCTTAAACGGATTGCTAACCAAAACACGATATTTCTTTCTCTTAAACGGATTGCTAACCAAAGAACGATAGTTCTTTCTCTTAAACGGATTGCTAACCAAAACACGATATCTTTCTTTCTCTTAAACGGATTTCTTTAACCAAAACGGAACTAAAACATAGTTCTTTTCTCTTAAACGGATTGCTAACCAAAAACGATAGTTCTTTCTCTTAAACGGATTGCTAACCAAAACACGATATTTCTTTCTCTTAAACGGATTGCTAACCAAAGAACGATAGTTCTTTCTCTTAAACGGATTGCTAACCAAAGAACGATATTTCTTTCACTTAAACGTATTGCTAACCAAAACACGATATTTCTTTCTCTTAAACGGATTGCTAACCAAAGAACGATAGTTCTTTCTCTTAAACGCATTGCTAACCAAAACACGATAGTTCTTTCTCTTAAACGGATTGCTAACTAAAACACGATAGTTCTTTCTCTTAAACCAAAACACGATAGTTCTTTCTCTTAAACGGATTTCTCTTAACCAAAACACGATAGTTCTTTCTCTTAAACGGATTGCTAACCAAAACACGATAGTTCTTTCTCTTAAACGGATTGCTAACCAAAACACGATAGTTCTTTCTCTTAAACGGATTGCTAACCAAAACACGATATTTCTTTCTCTTAAACGGATTGCTACCAAAAACGATATTTCTTTCTCTTAAACGGATTGCTAAAAGCACGATAGTTCTTTCTCTTAAACGGATTGCTAATCAAAACACGATAGTTCTTTCTCTTAAACGGATTGCTAACCAAAACACGATATTTCTTTCTCTTAAACGGATTGCTAACCAAAACGATAGTTCTTTCTCTTAAACGGATTGCTAACCAAACGATAGTTCTTTCTCTTAAACGGATTGCTAACCAAAACACGATATTTCTTTCTCTTAAACGGATTCTTAAACGGTTCTTTGCTTAAAATTGCTAACCAAAACACGATAGTTCTTTCTTTCTCTTAAACGATATTGCTAACCAAAACACGATAGTTCTTTCTCTTAAACGGATTGCCTAACCAAAACACGATATTTCTTTCTCTTAAACGGATTTGCTAACCAAAACACGATAGTTCTTTCTCTTAAACGGATTGCTAACCCAAACTCAAATTTCTTTCACTTAACATATTTCTTTCTCAAAACGGAGTTTTTCTCTTAAAAACACGATATTTCTTTCTCTTAAACGGATTGCTAACCAAAGCACGATAGTTCTTTCTCTTAAACGGATTGCTAACCAAAACACGATAGTTCTTTCTCTTAAACGGATTGCTAACCAAAACACGATAGTTTTTTTTAAATGGATTCTAACCAAAAACGGCTCTTAAACGGTTAGTTCTTTCTAAAACCAAAACACGATATTTCTTTCTCTTAAACGGATTGCTAATCAAAACACGATAGTTCTTTCTCTTAAATGGATTGCTTAAAAACGGATATTTTTTTCTCTTAAACGGATTGCTAAAAACACGATAGTTCTTTCTCTTAAACGGATTGCTAACCAAAACACGATAGTTCTTTCTCTTAAACGGATTGCTAACCAAAAACACGATATTTCTTTCTCTTAAACGGATTGCTAACAAAAGATACGATAGTTCTTTCTCTTAAACGGATTGCTAACAAAACACGATATTTCTTTCTTAAACGGATTGCTAACCAAAACACGATATTTCTTTCTCTTAAACGGATTTGCTAACCAAAACACGATATTTCTTTTCACTTAAACATATTGCTAACCAAAACACGATAGTTCTTTCTCTTAAACGGATTGCTAACCAAAACACGATATTTCTTTCTTAAACTTAAACATATAGTTCTTAACAAGCAAAAACGATATTTCTTTCTCTTAAACGGATTGCTAACCAAAAACGATAGTTCTTTCTCTTAAACGGATTGCTAACCAAAACACGATAGTTCTTTCTCTTAAACGGATTGCTAACCAAAAACACGATATTTCTTTCTCTTAAACGGATTGCTAAACAAAAGCACGATAGTTCTTTCTCTTAAACGGATTGCTAACCAAACACGATAGTTCTTTCTCTTAAACGGATTGCTTAACCAAAAACGGATTCTTTCTCTTAAACGGATTGCTAACTAAAACACGATAGTTCTTTCTCTTAAACGGATTGCTAACCAAAACACGATAGTTCTTTCTCTTAAACGGATTGCTAACCAAAACACGATAGTTCTTTCTCTTAAACGGATTGCCCCTAACAAAAAGAACGATATTTCTTTCTCTTAAACGGATTGCTAACCAAAACACGATAGTTCTTTCTCTTAAACGGATTGCTAACCAAAACACGATAGTTCTTTCTCTTAAACGGATTGCTAACAAAACACGATATTTCTTTCTCTTAAACGTATTGCTAACCAAAGAACGATAGTTCTTTCTCTTAAACGGATTGCTAACAAAACACGATATTTCTTTCTTAAACGGATTTAAACGGATTGTTCTCTTAAACGGATTGCTATCAAAACACGATAGTTCTTTCTCTTAAACGGATTGCTAACCAAAAAACGATAGTTCTTTCTCTTAAACGGATTGGTCTTAAAACTAAAAGCACGATAGTTCTTTCTCTTAAACGGATTGCTAACAAAACACGATAGTTCTTTCTCTTAAACGGATTGCTAACCAAAACGATATTTCTTTCTTAAACGTATTGCTAACAAAACAGTTAGTTCTTTCTCTTAAACGGATTGCTAACCAAAACACGATAGTTCTTTTTCTCTTAAACGGATTGCTAACCAAAACACGATATTTCTTTCTCTTAAACGGATTGCTAACCAAACACGATAGTTCTTTCTCTTAAACGGATTGCTAACCAAAACACGATATTTCTTTCTCTTAAACATTGCTAACCAAAACTCAAGAATTCTTTCTCTTAAACGGACGATAGTTCTTTCTCTTAAACGGATTGCTAACCAAAACGATATTTTTTCTCTTAAACGGATTGCTAACCAAAACACGATAGTTCTTTCTCTTAAATGGATTGCTACCAAAAACGATATTTCTTTTCTTAAACGGATTGCTAACCAAAACACGATAGTTCTTTCTCTTAAACGGATTGCTAACCAAACACGATAGTTCTTTCTCTTAAACGGATTGCTAACCAAAGCACGATAGTTCTTTCTCTTAAACGGATTGCTAACCAAAACACGATATTTCTTTCTCTTAAACGGATTTAAACGATATTTCTTTCTCTTAAAAGTTGCTAAAAACACGATAGTTCTTTCTCTTAAACGGATTGCTAACCAAAACACGATATTTCTTTCTCTTAAACGGATTGCTAACCAAAACACGATAGTTCTTTCTCTTAAACGGATTGCTAACAAAACACGATATTTTCTTCTCTTAAACGGATTGCTAACCAAAACACGATAGTTCTTTCTCTTAAACGGATTGCTAACCAAAACACGATAGTTCTTTCTCTTAAACGGATTGCTAACCAAAACACGATAGTTCTTTCTCTTAAACGGATTGCTAACCAAACACGATATTTCTTTCTCTTAAACGTATTGCTAACCAAAACAGGATAGTTCTTTTCTTAAACGGATTGCTAACCAAAGAACGATAGTTCTTTCTCTTAACTGATTGCTAACCAAAACACGATATTTCTTTCTCTTAAACGGATTGCTAACCAAAACACGAATTCTTTCTCTTAAACGGATTGCTAACCAAAAACGATATTTCTTTCTTAAACGGATTGCTAACCAAAGTTCGAGTTCTTTCTCTTAAACGGATTGCTAACCAAAACGATAGTTCTTTCTCTTAAACGGATTGCTAGCAAAACACGATAGTTCTTTCTCTTAAACGGATTGCTAACCAAAGCACGATAGTTCTTTCTCTTAAACGGATTGCTAACCAAAAACACGATAGTTCTTTCTCTTAAACGGATTGCTAACCAAAACACGATATTTCTTTTCTCTTAAACAGATTGCTAAACAAAACAGGATAGTTCTTTTTAAACGGATTGCTTTAACCATAGCACGATAGTTCTTTCTCTTAAACGGATTGCTAACAAAACACGATATTTCTTTCTCTTAAACGGATTGCTAACCAAAAACACGATAGTTCTTTCTCTTAAACGGATTGCTAACCAAAACACGTTCTTTCTCTTAAACTTTCTAACAAAAACACGATAGTTCTTTCTCTTAAACGGATTGCTAACCAAAACACGATAGTTCTTTCTCTTAAACGGATTGCTAGCAAAAACACGATAGTTCTTTTCTCTAAACCAAAACGTTCTTTCTCTTAAACCAAAACACGATATTTCTTTCTCTTAAACATATTAAACAAACACGATATAAACGATTGCTAACCAAAGCACGATAGTTCTTTCTCTTAAACGGATTGCTAACCAAAACACGATATTTCTTTCTCTTAAACGGATTGCTAACCAAAGAACGATAGTTCTTTTCTCATTTAAACGGATTTAAACGGATTGCTAACCAAAGCACGATAGTTCTTTCTCTTAAACGGATTGCTAACCAAAAACACGATAGTTCTTTTCTTAAACGGATTGCTAACCAAAACACGATATTTCTTTCTCTTAAACGGATTGCTAACCAAAACACGATAGTTCTTTCTCTTAAACGGAGTTCTTTTGCTAACCAAAGCACGATATTTCTTTCTCTTAAACGGATTGCTAACCAAAACACGATATTTCTTTCATAAACGTATTGCTAACCAAAACACGATATTTCTTTCTCTTAAACGGATTCTACGAAACGGAGTTCTTTTCTTAAACGGATTGCTAACCAAAACACGATAGTTCTTTTCTTAAACGGATTGCTAACCAAAACACGATAGTTCTTTCTCTTAAACGGATTGCTTAAAGCACGATATTTCTTTCTCTTAAACGGAAACCAAAACACGATATTTCTTTCTCTTAAACGGATTGCTAACCAAAACACGATATTTCTTTCTCTTAAACGGATTGCTAACCAAACGTTATTTCTTTCTTAAACGGATATTTTCTTTTTCTTAAACGGATTGCTACCCAAAACACGATAGTTCTTTTTCTCTTAAACGGATTGCTAACCAAAACACGATAGTTCTTTCTCTTAAACGGATTGCTAAATAAAAACACGATATTTCTTTCACTTAAACGATTGCTAACCAAAACACGATAGTTCTTTTTAAACTTAAACGGATACCATAGTTCTTACCCAAAACGGATTGCTAACAAAGCACGATAGTTCTTTCTCTTAAACGGATAACCAGCAAAACACCATAGTTCTTACTCTAACCAAAACACGATAGTTCTTTCTCTTAAACGGAAACAAAATTGTTCTTTCTCTTAAACGTATTAAACCAAACACGATAGTTCTTTCTCTTAAACGGATTGTAACCAAAACACGATATTTCTTTCTCTTAAACGGATTGCTAGCAAACCGAAACACGATAGTTCTTTTTCTCTTAAACGGATTCTTTAACCAAAACACGATAGTTCTTTCTCTTAAACGGATTGCTAACCAAAACTTAAAAACACGATAGTTCTTTCTCTTAAACGGATTGCTAACCAAAAGACGATAGTTCTTTCTCTTAAACGGATTGCTAACCAAAACACGATATTTCTTTCTCTTAAACGGATTGCTAACCAAACAAGTTCTTTTCTTAAACGATAGTTCACGATTTCTTTCTTAAACGGATTGCTAACCAAAACACGATAGTTCTTTCTCTTAAACGGATTGCTAACCAAAACACGATATTTCTTTCTCTTAAACGGATTGCTAACCAAAACACGATAGTTCTTTCTCTTAAACGGTTGCTAACAAAACACGATAGTTCTTTCTCTTAAACGGATTGCTAACCAAACACGATAGTTTCTTAAACGGTTCTTAACCAAAACGGATCTTTTCTTAAACGGATTACTAAAAACACGATAGTTCTTTCTCTTAAACGGATTGCTAACAAAACACGATAGTTCTTTCTCTTAAACGGATTGCTAACCAAAACACGATAGTTCTTTCTCTTAAACGGATTGCTACCAAACACGATATTTCTTTCTCTTAAACGGATTGCTAACAAAAACGATAGTTCTTTCTCTTAAACGGATTGCTAACCAAAACACGATATTTCTTTCTCTTAAACGGATTGCTAACCAAAGAACGATAGTTCTTTCTCTTAAAAATCCAAAACACGATATTTCTTTCTCTTAAACGGATTGCTAACCAAAACACGATAGTTCTTTCTCTTAAACACGATATTGCTAAAACGGAAAACACGATAGTTCTTTCTCTTAAACGGATTGCTAACCAAAACACGATAGTTCTTTCTCTTAAACGGATTGCTAACCAAAACACGATAGTTCTTTCTCTTAAACGGATTGCTAACCAAAACACGATAGTTCTTTCTCTTAAACGGATTGCTAACCAAAACACGATAGTTCTTTCTCTTAAACGGATTGCTAACCAAAACACGATATTTCTTTCACTTAAACGTATTGCTAACCAAAACACGATAGTTCTTTCTCTTAAACGGATTGCTAACCAAAGCACGATAGTTCTTTCTCTTAAACGGATTGCTAACCAAAACACGATAGTTCTTTCTCTTAAACGGATTGCTAACCAAAACACGATATTTCTTTCTTAAACGGATTAACCAAAAACGATAGTTCTTTCTTAAACTTAAACGCATTTCTTTGCTTAAAACCAAAACACGATAGTTCTTTCTCTTAAACGGATTGCTAACCAAAGAACGATAGTTCTTTCTCTTAAACGGATTGCTAACCAAAAACCAAAACACGATATTTTTTTCTCTTAAACGGATTGGCAAACCAAAACACGATAGTTCTTTCTCTTAAACGGATTGCTAACCAAAACACGATAGTTCTTTCTTAAACGGATTGCTAACCAAAACACGATAGTTCTTTTCTCTTAAACGGATTGCTAACCAAACACGATAGTTCTTTCTTAAACGGATTGCCTTAAATTTCTTTCTCTTAAACGATTGCTAACCAAAACACGATAGTTCTTTCTCTTAAACGGATTGCTAACCAAAACACGATAGTTCTTTCTCTTAAACGGATTGCTAACCAAAACACGATAGTTCTTTCTCTTAAACGGATTGCTAACAAAAACACGATAGTTCTTTCTCTTAAACGGATTGCTAACCAAAAACGATATTTCTTTCTCTTAAACGGAAACACGATAGTTCTTTTCTCTTAAACGGATTGCTAACCAAAACACGATAGTTCTTTCTCTTAAACGGATTGTTAACCAAAACACGATAGTTCTTTCTCTTAAACGGATTGCAAACTAACCAAAACACGATACGATATTTTTTTCTCTTAAACGGATTGCTAACCAAAAAACGATAGTTCTTTCTCTTAAACGGATTGCTAACCAAAAACACGATAGTTCTTTCTCTTAAACGGATTGCTAACCAAAACACGATAGTTCTTTCTCTTAAACGGATTGCTAACCAAAACACGATAGTTCTTTCTCTTAAACGGATTGCTAACCAAAACACGATATTTCTTCTTAAACGGATTGCTAACCAAAAGCACGATTTCTTTCTCTTAAACGGATTGCTAACCAAAAACGATATTAAACGGAACCAAAGCACGATAGTTCTTTCTTAAACTTAAACGGATTGCTAAAACCAACAGACGATAGTTCTTTCTTCTTAAACGGATTGCTAACCAAAAACACGATATTTCTTTCTCTTAAACGTATTGCTAACCAAAAACGATAGTTCTTTCTCTTAAACGGATTGCTAACAAAAAACACGATAGTTCTTTCTCTTAAACGGATTGCTAACCAAACACGATAGTTCTTTCTCTTAAACGGATTGCTAACCAAAGCACGATAGTTCTTTCTCTTAAACGGATTGCTAACCAAAACACGATAGTTCTTTCTCTTAAAAGGATTGCTAACCAAAACACGATATTTCTTTCACTTAAACGTATTGCTAACCAAAACACGATAGTTCTTTCTTAAACGGATTGCTAACCAAAACGATAGTTTTTTCTCTTAAACGGATTGCTAAAAACACGATAGTTCTTTCTCTTAAACGGATTGCTAAACAAAAACACGATATTTCTTTCTCTTAAACGGATTGCTAACCAAAACACGATAGTTCTTTCTCTTAAACGGATTGCTAACAAAAACACGATAGTTCTTAAACGGATTGCTCTTAAACGGATTTCTAACCTTAAACGGATTACTAGCAAAAGACGATAGTTCTTTCTCTTAAACGGATTGCTAACCAAAATACGATATTTCTTTCTCTTAAACGGATTGCTAACCAAAACACGATAGTTCTTTCTTTTCTCTTAAACGGATTGCTAACCAAAACACGATAGTTCTTTCTCTTAAACGGATTGCTAACTAAAACACGATATTTCTTTCTCTTAAACGGATTGCTAACCAAAACACGATAGTTCTTTTCTTAAACGGATTGCTAACAAAAACACGATAGTTCTTTCTCTTAAACGGATTGCTAACCAAAACACGATAGTTCTTTCTTTCTTAAACGGATTGCTAACCAAAAAACGATAGTTCTTTCTCTTAAACGGATTGCTAACCAAAACACGATAGTTCTTTCTCTTAAACGGATTCTAACCAAAACACGATATCTCTTTCTCTTAAACGGATTGCAGACAAGCACGATAGTTCTTTCTCTTAAACGGATTGCTAACCAAAGCGCATAGTTCTTTCTGCCAAACGGATTGCTAACCAACACACGATATTTCTTTCTCTTAAACTCATTGCTAGCAAAATACGATGGATTCTTTCATAAACGGATGCCTTTAACAAAACACGATATTTCTTTCTCTTAAACGGATTTGCCTTAAAGCACGATATTCTTTCTCTTAAACGGATTTAGCAAATACGTACTCTTTCCATAGGCAAAACACGATATTTTTCTCTTAAAACGGCCTTTAACCAAGCACGATAGTTCTTTCTCTTAAACGGTTGCTAGCAAACACGATAGTTCTTTTCACCCAAACGAGTTGCTAACCAAAACACGTATTTCTTTTCTTAAACGGATTGCTAACCAAAGAACGATAGTTTTTTTCTCTTAAACGGATTGCTAATTTCTTTCATAACATACACGATAGTTCTTTCTCTTAAAACAGTTGCTAACCAAGCGCGATATTTTCTTTCTCTTAAACGGTTTGCTAGCAAAACACGATATTTCTTTCCTTCAAACGTATTGCTAACAAAGCACGATAGTTCTTTCCTAACCAAAATAAACGGATTTATAACCAAACACGATAGTTCTTACTCTTAAACGGATTTACTAACCAAAACACGATAGTTCTTTCTCTTACAACAAATAAAGCGATAGTTCTTTTGCAAATGGAACAAAACACGATATTTCTTACTCTTAAACGGATTGCTAACCAAAACACGATAGTTCTTTCTCTTAAACTGATTGCTATCAAAAACACGATGGTTTCTTTTCTTAAACATTTGCTAACCAACACAACGATAGTTCTTTCTCTTAAACGGATTCTTAACCAAAATTTTAGGTTCTTTCTCTTAAACGGATTGCTGAACAAAGCACCATATTTCTTTCTCTTAAACGGATTGCTAGCAAAACACGATAGTTCTTTCTCTTAAACGGATTACTAACCAAAACACGATATTTCTTTATGGCATATTGCTATATTTCTTTCTCTTAAACGGTTACTAACTAAACGATATTTCTTTCTCTTAAACGGTTGCTAACCCAAAGCACGATAGTTCTACTCTTAAACGGACTGCTAACAAAGAACGATGTTTCTTTCTCTTAAAGATTGCTAACCAAAAACACGATATTTCTTTTTCTATCCAAAGCGATAGTTCTTTCTCTTAAATTGCTAACCAAATACGAACCAAAGCTCGATAGTTCTTTCTCTTAAACGGATTGCTAACCAAACACGATAGTTCTTTCTCTTAAAAACGTATTGCTTAAAACATATTGCCCTAAAACACGATAGTTTTTCTCTTAAAAAGATTGCTAGCAAAACACCATAGTTCTTTCTCTTAAACGGATTGCTAATGTACGTAACAAAACACGATAGTTCTTTCTCTTAAACAGTTGACATGTTACTAGCAAAACACGATATTTCTTTCTCTTAAACATATTGCTAACCAAAGAACTATAAAGTTCGATAGTTCTTTCTCTTAAACGGATTACCAACCAAAACCCGAGTTTCTTTCTCTTAAACGGATTGCTTAAAACACGATAGTTCTTTCTCTTAAACGTATTGCTAACAAAAGCGATATCTCTTTCACTTAAACGGATTGCTAACCAAAGCACGATAATTCTTTCTCTTAAACGGATTGGTAACCAAAAAACATAGTTTCTTTCTCTTAAACGGATTGCTAACCAACACGATATTTCCTTTCACTTAAAACGGTTGCTAACCAATGTACGATAGTTCTTTCTCTTAAACGGATTGTAGCAAAACACGATATTTCTTTTCTTAAACGTATTTGCTAACCAAAACACGATAGTTTCTTTATCTTAAACGGAGTTGCTAATTGCCCAAAAGAACGATAGTTTTTCTCTTAAAGGATTACTAACAAAACACGATAGTTCTTTCGCCAAACTCTTAAACGGAGTTCTTTGCTAACCCATAGCGCGATAGTTCTTTCTCTTAAACAGTTTGCTAACTAAACACGATAATATCTTTCGCAAACGGATTGCTAACAAAAAAGGATAGTTCTTTCATAAACGGATTGCTAACCAAAGCGCGATAATTCTTTCTCTTAAACGGATTGCTAATCAACACACGATATTTCTTTCTCTTAAACGGATTGCTAACCAAAACACGATAGTTCTTTCTCTTAAACGGTTACTAACAAAACACGATAGTTCTTTCTCTTAAACGGATTGCTAATCAAAACACGATATTTTCTTACTCTTAAACGGATTGCTTAAAACACGATAGTTCTTTCTCTTAAACGGATTGCTAACCAAAACACTATAGTTTTTACTCTTAAACGGATTGCTAACCAAAAGACGATAGTTCTTTCTCTTAAACGGATTGCTAGCCAAACACGATATTTCTTTCATAAACGTATTGCTAAACAAACAGGATAGTTCTTCCATAAACGGAGAACGATAGTTCTTTTCTCTTAAACAGTTTGCTAACTAAATCACGATAATTCTTTCTCTTAAACGGATTGGTAACCAAAACACGATAGTTCTTTCTCTTAAACGGATTGCTAACCAAAACACGATATCTTTCTCTTAAACGGATTGCTACTTAAAACACGATAGTTCTTTTCTTAAATTTCTCTTAAACGGATTGCTAGCAAAACACGTTCTTTTCTTAAACGGATTGCTAACCAAAACACGATAGTTCTCTTTTACTCTTAAACGGTTCTTTTCTCTTAACTAAAACACGATATTTCTTTCTCTTAAACGGATTGCTAACCACCAAAAGACGATATAGTTCTTTCTCTTAAACAGTTGCTAACCAAAAACGATATTTCTTTCATACTTAAACCGATATTGCTAACCAAAAGCTACTTAAAACGATAGTTCTTTCTCTTAAACGGATTTAACCAAAACACGATAGTTCTTTCTCTTAAACGTATTGCTAAACAAAAACGATAGTTCTTTCTCTTAAACGGATTGCTAACCAAAGCACGATATTTCTTTCTCTTAAACGGATTGCTAACAAAAACACGATAGTTCTTTCTCTTAAACGGATTGCTAACAAAAAACGATATTCTTTTTCTTAAACGGATTGCTAACCAAAACACGATAGTTCTTTCTCTTAAACGGATTGCTAAAAACACGATAGTTCTTTCTCTTAAACGGATTGCTAACAAAACACGATATTTCTTTTAAACTCTTAAACGATAGTTCTTGCTAATGGTTGCTGAAAGAACGATAGTTCTTTCTCTTAAACGGATTGCTAACCAAAACACGATAGTTCTTTCTCTTAAACGGATTGCTAACAAACGATATTTCTTTCTCTTAAACGGATTTGCTAACCAAAACACGATATTTCTTTCTCTTAAACTTATTGCTAACAAAACGATAGTTCTTTCTTAAACGGATTGCTAACAAAACACGATAGTTCTTTCTCTTAACGGATTGCTAACCAAAACACGATAGTTCTTTATCTTAAACGGATTGCTATCAAAACACGATAGTTCTTTCTCTTAAACGGATTGCTAAGCAAAACACGATATTTCTTTCTCTTAAACGGATTGCTAAGCAAAACACGAGTATTTCTTTCTTAAACGGATTGCTAACAAAACACGATAGTTCTTTCTCTTAAACGGATTGCTAACCAAGGACGATATTTCTTTCTCTTAAACGGATTGCTAACCAAACACGATATTTCTTTCTCTTAAACGGATTACTAAAAAAGAACGATAATTCTTTCTCTTAAACAGTTGCTAACCAAAACACGATAGTTCTTTTCTCTTAAACGGATTGCTAACCAAACACGATATTTCTTTCTCTTAAACGGATTGCTAACCAAAAACGATATTTCTTTCTCTTGACATATTGCTAACCAAAACAGGATAGTTCTTTCTCTTAAACAGTTGCTAACACGATATTTCTTTCTCTTAAACGGATTGCTAACCAAAACATAGTTCTTTCTCTTAAACGAAACCTAAGAACGATAGTTCTTTCTCTTAAAAATTTGCTAAAAAACACGATAGTTCTTTTCTTAAACGGATTGCTAAAAATGCACGATATTTCTTTTCTCTTAAACGGATTGCTAACAAAAAAATTTCTTTCTCTTAAACGATAACAAAACACGATATTTCTTTCTCTTAAACGGATTGCTAACCAAAACACGATAGTTCTTTCTCTTAAACGGATTGCTAACCAAAGCACGATAGTTCTTTCTCTTAAACGGATTGCTAACCAAAACACGATATTTCTTTCACTTAAACGTATTGCTAACCAAAGCAGGATAGTTCTTTCACTTAAACGGATTGCTAACCATAGCACGATAATTCTTTCTCTTAAACGGATTGCCCCCTAACCAAAAACACTAAATAGTTCTTTCTCTTAAACGGATTGCTAACCAAGCACGAGATTTCTTTCTCTTAAACGGATTGCTAGCAAAACAGGATAGTTCTTTCATAAACGGATTATACAAAAACCGATAAACTCTTAAACGGATAAAAACAATCTCTTTCTCTTAAACGGATTGCTAACCAAAACACTAAAGCAAAATAGTTCTTTCTCTTAAACGGATTGCTCTTTCTCTTAAACGGTTTGTAGCAAAACACGATAAAATGGACTAACAAAATATTTCTTTCTCTTAAATGATTGCTAACCAGGATAGTTCTTTCACTTAAACGGATTTGAGGAATAGTTCTTTCTCTTAAACGGATTTGCAAAACCAAAACACGATAGTTCTTTCTCTTAAACTGATTTGCTAACAAAAACACGATATTTCTTTCTCTTAAACGTATTGCTAACCAAACCTTAACGATAGTTCTTTCTCTTAAACCTGACAAAACGATTTCTTTCTCTTAAAACGGATTGCTAGCAAACGAATATTTCTTTCCTTAAACGTATTTCACGATAGTTTTCTCTTAAACGGATTGCTAAGCAAAACACGATAGGTTCTTTCTCTTAAACGGATTGCTAACCAAAGCACGATAGTTCTTTCTCTTAAACGGATTGCTAACAAAACACGATAGTTCTTTCTCTTAAACGGATTGCTAACAAAACAGGATAGTTCTTTCACTTAAACGGATTGCTAACCAAAAGCACGATAGTTCTTTCTCTTAAACAGATTGCTAACCAAAACACGATATTTCTTTTCTTAAATGGATTGCTAAATAAAAACGATAGTTCTTTCTCTTAAACGGATTGCTAACCAAACACGATAGTTCTTTCACTTAAACGGATTGCTAACCAAAACACGAGGTTCTTTCTCTTAAACGGATTGCTAACCCAAACACGATAGTTCTTACTCTTAAACGGATTGCTAACAAAAACACGATAGTTCTTTCTCTTAACGGATTGCTAACCAAAATACGATATTTCTTTCTCTTAAACGTATTGCTAACAAAACACGATAGTTCTTTCTCTTAAACGGATTGCTAACCAAAGCACGATAGTTCTTTCTCTTAAACGGATTGCTATCAAAACACGATAGTTCTTTCTCTTAAATGGATTGCTAACAAAAACACGATATTTCTTTCTTAAACAATATTGCTAACAAAAACACGATAGTTCTTTCTCTTAAACGGATTGCTAACCAAAACACGATATTTCTTTCTTAAACATTGCTAACCAAGAACGATAGTTCTTTCTCTTAAACAGATTACCAAACCAAACACGATATTTCTTTCTCTTAAACGGATTGCTAGCAAAACACGATATTTCTTTCTCTTAAACGTATTGCTAACCAAAAGACGATAGTTCTTTCTCTTAAACGGATTGCTAACCAAAAAACACGATAGTTCTTTCTCTTAAACGGATTGCTAACCAAACACGATATTTCTTTCTCTTCTCTTAAACGATAGTTCTTTTCTCTTAAACCTAAAAAACGATAGTTCTTTCTCTTAAACGGATTGCTAACCAAACACGATAGTTCTTTCTCTTAAACGTGGATTGCTAACCAAAACACGATAGTTCTTTTTCTTAAACGGATTGCTAACCAAAACACGATAGTTCTTTCTTAAACGGATTGCTAAAACACGATATTTCTTTCTCTTAAACGGATTGCTAACAAAACACGATAGTTCTTTCTCTTAAACGGATTGCTAACCAAAACACGATATTTCTTTCACTTAAACATATTGCTAACCAAAACACGATAGTTCTTTCTCTTAAACGGATTGCTAACCATGGTTCTTTCTCTTAGTTGGATTGCTAACAAAAACGTGCTTTCTTTCTTGCTAACCAAAACACGATAGTTCTTTCTCTTAAACGGATTGCTAACCAAAACACGATATTTCTTTCTCTTAAACATATTGCTAACCAAAACACGATAGTTCTTTCTCTTAAACGGATTGCTAACCAAACCTCATAGTTCTTTCTCTTAAACGGATTTTAACCAAAACACGATAGTTCTTTCTCTTAAACGGATTGCAAACCAAACACGATAGTTCTTTCTCTTAAACGGATTGCTAACCAAAACACGATAGTTCTTTCTCTTAAACGGATTGCTAATCAAAACACGATATTTCTTTCTCTTAAACGGATTGCTAACCAAACACGATAGTTCTTTCTCTTAAACGGATTGCTAACCAAAACACGATAGTTCTTTCTCTTAAACGGATTGCTAATCAAACGATATTTCTTTCTCTTAAACGGATTGCTAACCAAAACACGATAGTTCTTTCTCTTAAACGGATTGCTAACCCAAAACACGATAGTTCTTTCTCTTAAACGTACTAGCAAAAGCACGATAGTTCTTTCTCTTAAACGGATTGCTAACCAAAAGAACGATATTTTTTCTCTTAAACGGATTGCTAACCAAAACACGATAGTTCTTTCTCTTAAACGGATTGCTAACCAAAACACGATATTTCTTTCTCTTAAACGGATTGCTAGCAAAAACACGATAGTTCTTTTTCTTAAACGGATTGCTAAAGCACGATATTGCTCTTAAAGCGATTGCAAAACAGGATAGTTCTTTCTCTTAAACGGATTGCTAACCAAAAACACGATAGTTCTTTCTCTTAAACGGATAGCAAAACACGATAGTTCTTTCTCTTAATGGATTGCTAACAAAACGATAGTTTCTTACTCTTAAACTGATTGCTAACCAAAAGACGATAGTTCTTTCTCTTAAAAGGATTGCTAACCAAAACACGATATTTCTTTCACTTAAACGTATTGCTAACCAAAGCAGGATAGTTCTTTCACTTAAACGGATTGCTGACCATAGCACGATAGTTCTTTCTCTTAAACAGTTTGCTAACTAAAACACGATAATTCTTTCACTTAAACGGATTGCTAACCAAAAAACGAGAGTTCTTTCACTTAAACGGATTGCTAACCAAAGCACGATAGTTCTTTCTCTTAAACGGATTGCTAACCAAAACACGATATTTCTTTCTCTTAAACGGATTGCTAACCAAAACACGATAGTTCTTTCTCTTAAATGGATTGCTAACCAAAACACGATAGTTTTTTCTCTTAAACGGATTGCTAATCAAAACACGATAGTTCTTTTCTTAAACGGATTAACCAAAACACGATAGTTCTTTCTCTTAAACGGATTGCTAGCAAAACACGATAGTTCTTTCTCTTAAACGGATTGCTAACAAAACGATAGTTCTTTCTCTTAAACGGATTGCTACCAAAACACGATATTTCTTTCTCTTAAACGGATTGCTAACCAAAACACGATAGTTCTTTCTCTTAAACGGATTGCTAAACCAAAACACGATATTTCTTTTCTTAAACGGTTTAAACACGATAGTTCTTTCTCTTAAAATTCTAAAAAACGATAGTTCTTTCTCTTAAACGGATTGCTAACATGTTGCTAACCAAAACACGATAGTTCTTTCTCTTAAACGGATTGCTAACCAAAACACGATAGGTTCTTTCTCTTAAACGGATTGCTAACCAAAACACGATAGTTCTTTCTCTTAAACATTGCTAACCAAACACGATATTTCTTTCTCTTAAACGGATTGCTAACCAAAACACGATAGTTCTTTCTCTTAAACTTAAAACGCGATAGGATTTGCAACAAAACACGATAGTTCTTTCTCTTAAACGGATTGCTAACAAAAACACGATATTTCTTTCTCTTAAACGGATTGCTAAATCAAAACACGATATTTCTTTCTCTTAAACGGATTGCTACAAAAGAACGATAGTTCTTTCTAAAACTAACAAAACACGATAGTTCTTTCTCTTAAACGGATTGCTAACCAAACACGATATTTCTTTTCTCTTAAACGGATTGCTAACCCAAAACACGATAGTTCTTTCTCGTATTTTAACCAAAACGGATTGCTAACCAAGCACGATGGTTCTTTCTCTTAAACGGATTTCAAAACACGATATTTCTTTCTTAAACGGATTGCTAACAAAACACGATAGTTCTTTCTCTTAAACGGATTGCTAACCAAAAGCACGATAGTTCTTTCTCTTAAACGGATTGCTAACCAAAACACGATAGTTCTTTCTCTTAAACGGATTTCATGAAACTGAAAGCACGATAGTTCTTTCTCTTAAACGGATTGCTAACCAAAACACGATAGTTCTTTCTCTTAAACGGATTGCTAACCAAAAAACGATATTTCTTTTCTTAAACGGATTGCTAACAAAACACGATAGTTCTTTCTCTTAAACGGATTGCTAACCAAAACACGATATTTCTTTCTCTTAAACGATTTGCTAACCAAAACACGATAGTTCTTTCTCTTAAACGGTTTAATCAAAAACGATAGTTCTTACTCTTAAACGGATTGCTAACCAAAGCACGATAGTTCTTTCTTAAACGGATTGACGATAGTTCTTTTCTTAAATGGTTTGCTACCCAAACACGATAGTTCTTTCTCTTAAACGTATTGCTAACCAAAACACGATAGTTCTTTTCTTAAACGGATTGCTAACCAAAACACGATAGTTCTTTCTCTTAAACGGATTGCTAACAAAACACGATAGTTCTTTCTCTTAAACGGATTGCTAGCAAAACACGATAGTTCTTTCTCTTAAATGGATTGCCAAAACACGATAAACGGATTCTAACAAAAACACGATATTTCTTTCTCTTAAACGGATTGCTAAACCAAAACACGATAGTTCTTTCTCTTAAACGGATTGCTAACCAAAGCACGATATTTCTTTCTCTTAAAACGGATTGCTAACCAAAACACGATAGTTCTTTCTCTTAAACGGATTGCTCTTAAAAACGATATTTCTTTCTCTTAAACATATTGCTAACCAAAACACGATAGTTCTTTCTCTTAAACGGATTGCTAACCATATTGCTAACCAAAGAACGATAGTTCTTTCTCTTAAACGGATTGCCTAACCAAACACAAAACACGATAGTTCTTTCTCTTAAACGGATTGCTAACCAAAACACGATATTTCTTTCTCTTAAACGGATTGCTAACAAAACACGATAGTTCTTTCTCTTAAACGGATTGCTAACCAAAACACGATATTTCTTTCTCTTAAATGGATTGCTAACCAAAACGATATTTCTTTCTCTTAAACGGATTGCTAACCAAAACACGATATTTCTTCTTAAACTCTTAAACATATTGCTAAAACCAAAAGAACGATAGTTCTTTCTTAACATGGATTGCTGACAAAAACACGATAGTTCTTTCTCTTAAACCTAACAAACACGATAGTTCTTTCTCTTAAACGGATTGCTAACCAAAACACGATAGTTCTTTCTCTTAAACGGATTGCTAACCAAAACACGATAGTTCTTTCTCTTAAACGGATTGCTAACCAAAGAACGATATTTCTTTCCTTAAACATATTGCTAACCAAAGCAGGATAGTTCTTTCTCTTAAACAGTTTTTCTTTCCAAGTTCTTCTCTTAAAAACACGATAGTTCTTTCTCTTAAACAGATTGCTAACCAAAAACACGATAGTTCTTTCTCTTAAATGGATAAATAACGACGATTTCCAACCTTAAAATTGCTAACAAACGATAGTTCTTTCTCTTAAACGGATTGCTAACCAAAAACACGATAGTTCTTTCTCTTAAACGGATTGCTAACCAAAACACGATAGTTCTTTCTCTTAAACGGATTGCTAACCAAAACACGTTCTTATTTCTTTCTCTTAAACGGATTGCTAACCAAAACACGATATTTCTTTCTCTTAAACATATTGCTAACCAAAACACGATAGTTCTTTCTCTTAAACGGATTGCTAACAAAACACGATAGTTCTTTCTCTTAAACAGTTGCTATCAAAAGCACGATAGTTCTTTCTCTTAAACGGATTGCTAACAAAAACACGATATTTCTTTTCTTAAACGTATTAGGATACTTAAAACGGATTGCTAACCAAAACACTATAGTTCTTTCTCTTAAACGGATTCTTACCATAGTTCTTTCTCTTAAACGGATTGCTAACAAAACACGAAATTTTCTCTTAAAATGATTGCTAACCGGATAAAGTTCTTTCTATTAAACAGATTACTAACCAATGATCGAATATTATTTCTCTTAAACGGATTGCTAACCAAAATACGATATTTCTTTCTCTTAAAAGTTGCTTGCAAACCTCGGAATTCTTTCTCTTAAACGGATTCTAACAAAGCACGATTTTCTTTCTCTTAAACTGATTGCTCACCAAAGAATATTCTTTCTCTTAAACTTTGCTAACCAAACACGATATTTCTTTCTCTTAAACTGATTGCTAACCAAAGCACGATATTTCTTTCTTAAACAGATTGCTCACCAAACGGATTGCTTAAACGGATTGCTAAAAAGCAGGATAGTTCTTTCTCTTAAACGGATTGCTCACCCAAAGCTTTGATAGTTCTTTCTCTTAAACAGATTGCTAACAAAACACGATATTTCTTTCTCTTAAACGGATTGCTAAATAAAATACGATAGTTCTTTCTCTTAAACGGATTGCTAACCAAAAGCAGGATAGTTCTTTTCACTTAAACGGATTGCTAAAGCAAAACACGATAGTTCTTTCTTTAAATTGCTAACCAAAAGCACGATATTTCTTTCTCTTAAACGGATTGCTAACCAAAACACGATAGTTCTTTTCTCTTAAAACGGATTCTTAAACGATAGTTTCTCTTAAATGGAAAAACGATATTTCTTTCTCTTAAACGGATTGCTAACCAAAACACGATATTTCTTTCTCTTAAACGGATTGCTAACCAAAACACGATAGTTCTTTCTCTTAAACGGATTCTCTAACCAAAACACGATAGTTCTTTCTCTTAAACGGATTGCTAACAAAACACGATAGTTCTTTCTCTTAAACGGATTGCTAACCAAAACACGATATTTCTTTCTCTTAAACGTATTGCTAACCAAAACACGATAGTTCTTTCTCTTAAACGGATTTCTTAAAGCACGATAGTTCTTTCTCTTAAAAACACGATATTTCTTTCTAAATAAAAACGAGGTTCTTTAAACATATTTCTTTAACCAAACCAAAACGATAGTTCTTTCTCTTAAACGGATTGCTAACCAAAACACGATATTTCTTTCACTTAAACATATTGCTAACCAAAGAACGATAGTTCTTTCTCTTAAACAGTTTACTAACCGCAAAACGGATTCTTTCTCTTAAACGGATTGCTAAAAAACACGATAGTTCTTTCTCTTAAACGGATTGCTAGCAAAACACGATATCTCTTTCTCTTAAACGGATTGCTAACCAAAACACGATAGTTCTTTCTCTTAAATGGATTGCTAACCAAAACACGATATCTCTTTCTCTTAAACGGATTGCTAACCAAAACACGATATTTCTTTCACTTAAACATATTGCTAACCAAAGAACGATAGTTCTTTCTGTTAAACGGATTGCTAACCAAAACACGATAGTACTTTCTCTTAAACGGATTGCTAACCAAAGCACGATAGTTCTTTCTCTTAAACGGATTGCTAACCAAAGCACGATAGTTCTTTCTCTTAAACGGATTGCTAACCAAAGCACGATAGTTCTTTCTCTTAAAAGGATTGCTAACCAAAACACGATATTTCTTTCTCTTAAACGTATTGCTAACCAAAGCAGGATAGTTCTTTCACTTAAACGGATTGCTAACCAAAACACTATAGTTCTTGCTCTTAAACTGATTGCTAACCAAAACCAAAACACCATAGTTCCTTCTCTTAAACGGATTGCTAACCAAAGCACGAGAAATTTTTCTCTTAAAATGATTGCTAACCGGATATCGGAAGTTCTTTCTATTAAACGAATTACTAACCAATGATCGAATATTATTTCTCTTAGACTGATTGTTAACCAAAATACGATATTTCTTTCTCTTAAACAGATTGCTCACCAAACCTCAAGAATTCTTTCTCTTAGACGGATTGCTAACGAAACCTTGAGAGTTTTTTCTCTTAAACTGATTGCTCACCAAAGCTTGAGAGTTCTTTCTCTTAAACAGATTGCTAACCAAAGCTAATGATTTCTTTCTCGTAGACTGATTGCTAACCAAAGCTCGAAACTTCCTTCTATTAAACGGATTGTTAACCGTAGCTAGATAATTGCTAACCAAAGGTCGAGTGTTTTTTCTCTTAATCGGATAGCTTACCAAAGGTCGAAAGTTCTTTCTCTTAAACTGATTACTAACCAAATCTCAAGAGGTCTTGCTTTTAAACAAAATCTTGAGCGTTCTTTCTCTTAGACTGATTGCTAACGAAATCTTAAGAGTTCTTTCTCTGTAACGGACTGTTAACCAAAGCTAATGAGTTCTTTCTCTTAGACTGATTGCTAACCAAGTTTCGTGACTTCTTCCTATTAGATTGTTCTTTCTCTTAGACTGCTAACCAAAGCTAGGGAGTTCTTTCTATTAGACTGGGTCTAATTAATGCTCGGTAGTTTTTTCTCTTACACTGATTGCTATCCAAAACTCGTGAGTTCTTTCTCTTAAACGGATTGTTAACCAAAGCTCGAGATTTCTTTCTCTTAAACTGACTGCTTATCAAAGCTCAAGAGTCCTTTCTCTCAGTCTGATTTTTAGCCAAAGCTCGAGAATTCTTTCTCTTAGACTGCTAACCAAAGCTAAAAAGTTCTTTCCCTTAAACTGATTGCTAACCAAACACAAGAGTTCTTTTTCTCACACTGATTGCTAACCAAAGCTAATGAGTTTTTCTATTAGACCGATTGCTAACCAAAACTCGTGTGTTCTTTCTCTTAGATCCATTGTTAACCAAAGCTAGAGAGTTCTTTCTCTTAAACTGCTAAACAAAGTTAGAGAATTCATTCTACCTTGATTTTTTTTCTTTATCCTAAATTCTAGTAATATTTACGCATGTTTGTCTATTTCAATACGCCTTTAGATTTCAGTTTTGCACTTTCCGTCCTCTGTTAAAACACTTCCTGGGTATTTAAATTTTTGAACTTGTTTGATTTTGGAATCTTCAATTTGCAATTAGCACATTGGACTTATCTTTTTACTAACAATCTTGCTTTTTCTCTTCTTGCAGTTGATGTTTAATTGAATATTATCACCAAAACCAGACATTCCTTGTGATAAAGGTATTCACAAATTTACAGTATTAATATTGTAGGTTTTTAAAACACACCATTTAAAATATTATTGATATATCATTTAATTTTTAATTTTCTTACATATTTTATTTCGTTCTCGTTTGTTTTTACAGAATAAACTTGAATTTTTTTTCATTTTGAAAAATTGAAATAAAAGGCTTCTATTAAAAAATGAATTTTTACATTTCAAAAGTTCAAAAATGAAAAATGAATTTTAGTTTATTTTCAGTAAACAAATAAAACCATTTGTAACTTACACAAATATCATGACTAAAAACGAGAAAATCTTTGTAGTTCCAGAGGTATTCAGAAAGCTACTAATTATCAAAAATTGATTTGGTTTGGTTTGGTTTATTTTACGACATATCAACCTCAATGGATTATTTAATGCCGATAAAAAAAACTTTATTACTGGTAATATTTTTTCAGAAGTGTATTGCTGGTAATAATGTATTTCTGGGAATATTTTTTTTACAAAAAGTTTCTCTGATATTAAAACCTGTTTTTACACTTTCATAGTGTTTTGACCCCAGTTTAGCGGTTATCTATTTTCCCATAGCTGGGACCCTAACAGGTGCTACCACCCCGGGTCAGGGTGAACCTGGGAACACTAGCAGTTAAGACGTGGTTCCATACGCCTTAAAACCTCCTGATCTCATTGTTGGACGTAGTTTATCGTCTTACCTAAGACGCAGATGTAGTTTATCGTCATAGGCAGGACGGTGAAAATTTGACTTGCCACATTTTTTTTTGGGGGGGTGCTTATTTTTAGAATCGATTTCACCCCAAGCAACGCAGTAAAAACTCTAAAACACAGGGGGTTTACTGGATGTGGAAAATTAGTAAACACACATTATATATGAATTAGAAAACGCTACTTATATATTTTATTCGATGTTTTTGTTTTTACAGAATAACCCTGAAAATGTTTGTTTTTTTTGGTGGGGGGGGGAATAAAAGGCCTATATTAAAAATAGAACTGCTTGTAATTTGCGCAAATAGTGTGACTAAAACCAGAAACTCCTTGTAGTTACTTGAGAGAGTGGTTCAGAGTACCACTCGACTAATCATGAAAATTTGACTTCCTTCTTGGGAATATTAAGGAAAAACATTTTTATAAGGAGTTCAAACAATCCACGATACAAGTTGCGTTTTAATAAAAATCAAATTATTATCAAAGTGTATATTCTTCGAAATTATTTTTTTTTTTTTTTTTTTTTGTTTTTCCAGAACCGAGTCAGCTTTCGCCTACGCACATTTGCATATTTTAACAAACGTTATTAAGAACTGCGACACACAACGATGCCATCCATGGTGTTCTAAACGGTATGCGCGAACAGTTTACAATAATTACACAATTGCGCAGAACCTGTAATTAAATTCGCTTAGTCATCGACAAAAAAAAATGTAGGGACGTAAAAAAAAAAAATAAAAATCTGAAAAAACCGGTTCCTAATTTCATAAGCAAAATATTTGAGGCTTAAACGAAGAGATACCTCTTAAGAAAAAAAAATTTGCATCTTACCACTGGCTACACGAGATCGCATTACAAGTACGAAGTTGCAAGAAATAGCATTACAATGACGACGATGGCAGACTGACTGCATAATTCTAAGAGACATGACGAGAAAACAGGTCATTTCGGGAAACCAGAAAGATTAGAAATATATAGTTGGAAGAATTTTAAAAAATCGTTATTAAAATTTTCAATATAAACCAACAAAATGATATATATAAAAAAATATAATGTTTGGAAATTGTCGAGTTACGAACAAACATTTTGAAGCAATGAAACATTTTGAACTCTGCCGTAATCTATTTTTAATCTAAAGATTAAAAATAGATTATGGCAGAATTTCTGAGATTATATGACGTCTGATCAAAAAGTATTTTTAAAAAGAGAACTTAATACTGAGCCGTTACGTGACATCTGTTCTTCTTTACGGCAGCGAATGTTGGACGATTTCCTCAAAGATGAAGAAAAGACTCAAGGCGATAGAGATGTGGTTCTACAGAAGGATGCTAAGGATATCATGAACCGTTGGCGGTCACAATCTTAACACCATAAGATACGCAGATGACATAGTACTGATAGCAGATACGGACAAGAACAAAATCTCCTACAGAAGGTAGCGAAGGAGAGCGAGAAGAAAGGACTAAGCATAAACTACAAGAAGACAGAATGCATGGTCATCAGTAAGAGGATGAGCCCGAAATGGGATTTGCAGGTCGGGGACACTAGAATCAAGCGGACGCGGAAGTTTAAATATCTGGGAAGTGTTTTGACAGAGGACGGTAAATGCGACACTGAAATCCATAGACATATTGGGATGGCCAAGGACACATTCCAAATGCTGGGCAGAGTATTGAGAGACAGGAGGATTTCTTTGGTAACAAAGAAAAGAATACTGAGATGTTACGTGACATCTGTCCTTCTTTAGGGCAGCGAATGTTCGACGATTTCCTCAAAGATGAAGAAGAGACTTGAGGATACGGAGTTGTGGTTCTACAGAAGGATGCTAAGGATATCATGGACCGTTGGCGGCCACAATCTTGACAACATAAGATACGCAGATGACAGAGTACTGACAGCAGATACGGAAAAGAACAAAATCTCCTACAGAAGGTAGCGACGGAGAGTGAGAAGAAAGGACTAAGTATAAACTGCAAGAAGACAGAATGCATGGTCGTCAGTAAGAGGATGAGCCTGAAATGAGATTTACAGGTCGGGGACACTAGAATCAAGCAGACGCGGAAGTTTAAATATCTGGGAAGCTTTTTACAGAGGACGGTAAGTGAGACACTGAGATCCGTAGACATATTGGGATGGCTAAGGACACATTCCAGAAACTGGACAGAGTATGGCGAGACAAGAGGATTTCTTTGGTCACAAATAAAAGAATACTGAGTTGTTAGGTGACATCTGTCCTTCTTTACGGCAGAGAATGTTGGACGATTTCCTCAAAGATGAAGAAGAGACTCGAGACGAGGGAGATATGGTTCTACAGAAGGATGCTAAGGATATCATGGACCGAGCATGTGTTAAGGAGGTTGCAAACAAGGAGAAGGCTTATACTTAACATCAGTAAGAGGCAGCTGAAGTTTCTGGGACACATAATGTGGAAGAAGGGTCTAGAGAATCTGATACTCACAGGTCGAATAGAGGGAAAGAGAGACAAGAGAAAGCAGCGCGTGACATACGTGACGAGCTTGAGCAGGTGGATGACAGAACGTGTTCTGGGGGAGGAAGCAGACAGAAGGAGCTTGCTGAGAGCTGGATAGAGGGAGATGGAGAGCCATGATCGCCTACGCCCTGAAAGGACATGACACATAAAAAGAAAGTAAAGAATATAATATATGAATGACTACAATAGGGATGAAGACAATAAAAGAACTTTGGAAAGTTAATTTTTATATAAAACAATTTCTAACCTTCAGGAGAGTCACTCATTGTGCCTAAATTTAGCAAATCTTAATCTAATTTCGATACACACGTATTTTCAGTTTTGATATTTCTCCATTAATATATGCGTCACTCAGGAATCTATCCTTAGACCTATGTTGCTCCTTATTTTCTTGATGCCGTCGTTCGTTGATGGCATCAATTCTTAATTTCGTATCTAGACCGATGACACAACTATTTACCCCCTGTCTTAATAGTAAGAATTTGATCAGTTCGTTAAAGGTAAATCAGCAGTTGACCTAAAAAAAATGACCTATAATCTGCTGTTACTTGAGGCAAGGAACGACTTTATTAATTTGAACACCTCCAAAATGTTGAAACTTTATTAAGAATCTCTAGCTTTCTATCTTCAATCAGCATGGCTGATGCTAACCTCCAGGAGAGTAACTCTTTACGCCTTCTCGGGCTAACAATTTTCCGCCGACATGAAATGGAAAGATTATATTGAATCAATCGCTAAGTCTTAATGCTAGGAAAGTTTGTTCACTGTTTCGTGCTGGACAATTTCTCTTGACAGAATCTAACATATTTATAGGTTTACTATTCGTCCATGCTGCGAAAATTGCTGCCATGTGTTCCTTAGTATTTTCTTTCTTTCTTTCTTTCTTTCTTTCTTTTTTTTCACTCTGTTCTTTAAAATGTTCTTTCTTTCTCTCTTCCTTAGTCTGTTCTTTCTTTCTTTCTTTTTTTTCCACTCTGTTCTTTAAAATGTTTCTTTCTTTCTCTCTTCCTTAGTCTGTTCTTTTCTTTCTTTTTTTTTTTCCTCTGTTCTTTAAAATGTTCTTTCTTTCTCTCTTCCTTAGTCTGTTCTTTCTTTCTTTTTTTTTTTCCACTCTGTTCTTTAAAATGTTCTTTCTTTCTCTCTTCCTTAGTCTGTTCTTTCTTTCTTTCTTTTTTTTCCACTCTGTTCTTTAAAATGTTCTTTCTTTCTCTCTTCCTTAGTATGTTCTTTCTTTCTTTCTTTCTTTCTTTCTTTCTTTCTTTTTTCCCATTCTGTTCCTTTAAAATGTTCTTTCTTTCTTTGTTCCTTCGTATGTTCTTTTTTTCTTTCTCACTAAAACAAGACATTGTCCCTGACAGATCGTTTTCCCGCCTTTCCTCGCAATCAAATCGGAATGCTCCATTATTTATCTGAGATAATCGCAGGGCGTAACGCACGGCCACACGAACTTATAGTTATTTTCCAAGCGTAGCTTAGATGTGGCACAAGGCCGAAAGTATGGGGCACCCAGTGAGGATCGAACTCACTACCCAGTCGTAATTGTTCTAGCGAGACAGGCTTGCTAACTATTACACCGCCTCGAGGTATAGTGATTTTCTAAGCGCTGCTTAGATGTGGCACAAGGCTGGAAGTATGGAGCACCCAGTGAGGATCGAACTCACTACTCAGTCGTAATTGATCTAGCGAGACAAGCTTGTTAACCATTACACCACGCCGAGGTGCCCTGGTGCCCCTGTTGTATATTTAGAGATTCTTAATAAAGATCCAAAGAAGAATCTGCAATGTTATTGGTCCTGACCTAACCAGAACTGACATCTCGGTATTTATTCAAGACCTCCCCACTAGACGAAATGTGGCACAAGGTCGTTTTTTAACGTGGGGTGATTCCAAATCCAGAGCCTCGTTTAGGCTGCTTTCTGCACGGAGGCAAAAAGGTCGGCAACATAGCTTAGATGTGGCACAAGGCCGAAAATATGGCGCACCCACTGAGGCTCGAACTCACGACACAGATGTAATTGTTCTAGCGAATCAAGCTAGCTAACCATTACACCACGTCGAAGTACCAACCAGACCTGACATCTCGGCATGACTCACTTTCCTCCAGGCGTAATATAGCTCTTCGCAACCGTAAGTGGATTATCCCCCTTGACTGATAATGGCTTTGTTACAGATTTCTATGTACCAGTGTTTGTCATTTCTAACAAAACTTTCTACGTTTCAAAAATTATGTATGCAATACATAAAAACTTGGCGTACAGTTTCGGAATACTAATAGGAACCTTGCCTCAAGAAAAGACTTTTTTTTCTAAATGTCTACTTAATTTCTTAGGCAAAACAAATAGGAAAGACAAGCCAAGTTACGTTGCTATGACAATATCATATACAGCGTAACCCGGATATAAGAGACCCGCATATAAGAGAAACCCGGATATAAGAGAGATTTTCTCTGGTCCCAAAGTGTTCCCATACTTACCTAAACAAAATAGACCAAACCCGGATATAAGAGAAAGCCGGATATAAGAGACTTCTCCGGTCCCGACAACTCTCTTATATCCGGGTTACACTGTATATATGCACAGGGGTTAGTTACTGACCCTGTCGTCACGACAGATATGATCGCCTCCATGACCGGAAGCGTTGCCTGAAGGAAGTAGAAGCGATTTCCGCCTTTTGGTGTTGTAATCCCTCCAGTTCTTGTTCATTTTTGTTTTCTTTACATTTTTCACCTCTTCTTTCTTGAAAAGACGCAGGTATTATCTTTTCTTCTGTTTTCACCCTCTATCTCAGGAAGATGCAGTGAATCTGCTTTTTTTTTTTCCTTTATTTATATTTGCCTTCTGTTCCACAGTTCGGTGGTTGAGTTTTCCCGTTTCAACTCAGTCCTTGCTTTGTTTGAATTCTTTTTTGTTGCTTTATTCATTGCTTTTTGCATGTTAATTCTCTTAACGTTCATTCACCAGATACACCATCATGATGGCCCATGCTACCATGTTTGGCTACCTAGCAACTATACCAGTTTGGCGCCTTTTTCATCGGTATATCGCCATTTTGAATTCAACCTAGCATCATGGCATCTTCATTTGGTTTCGCGCCAAATCTCTGGATTTATGTCGCGACATGCCACATGTGACATCTTTATCAGCACGCCGCCATTTTTGGACTCCTAAGTCACATCATTCAAGTGATTCCTTTTGAGTTTAACTTCTCCTTTTATCAAGGACCGTAGCACACGAACATTCCAAAGACTAGGTAATTGCATGTGGTTACCATGCTATTTTTCTGGACTACTAATTTAACCACATTTGCATATCCACACACTCATAATTTGGAACATTATTACATGTTTTTAATATTAACCCCTGTGACTCCTTTCAGTTCTTGGAAATCAACAAAGGTAGATATTTGTAATTAAGTTCGTTTTTGTCTATATTGCTGTGATGAGGTATTATGATTACTTATATTCACAACGTTCGAAGGGTTCGGTTCGAAATTCCAATCACCTGAAGAAGGCCGAAGCGTACAACGGCCGAAACATTGTGAATATGGCAATGAAGATAAGGATAAGAGTTCAAATAATGTAAATAATGTAAGTTATTAGTTGTTTGCCAATAATAAAACTTTGGCATTTTTATTAAGAAGTTTGCCTTTGTTGTAACTCATTTATTGTTGTCAATATTTTCCTGCATATTCTTCATATTAAGAATTCCTGATAAAAGAGCAGCGACCCCTCAGTGGGTCGCTACAAATGTAATTACTTACTCTCCTACAATGGTTTTTACATAAAACAAAGCAAAATATTTGCAGCGTATGGTATTTGCTGATCACTTATTGTCATGCAATATTTGGTGACTGCATGGTAGACATTTTTATATTCAGCTTATTCTGAGACTTCAAATAGTAAAAAAAAATACTTTCGGAAAAGAAATATCAAAACCATATATTTCAAAACGTCGAAACAAAGCAAACTATTTGGAGCGCATGGTATTTGCTGATCACTTATTGTCATGCAATATTTGGTGACTGCATCATAGACATTTTATATTCAACTTATTCTGAGACTTCAAATAGTAAAAAATACTTTCGGAAAAAAATATCAAAACCATATATTTCAAAACGTCGAAACAAAAGCAAAATATTTGGAGCGTATGGTATTTGCTGATCACTTATTGTCATGCAATATTTGGTGACTGCATCATAGACATTTTATATTCAACTTATTCTGAGACTTCAAATAGTAAAAAAAATACTTTCGGAAAAGAAATATCAAAACCATATATTTCAAAACGTCGAAACAAAGCAAAATATTTGGAGCGTATGGTATTTGCTGATCACTTATTGTCATGCAATATTTGGTGACTGCATCATAGACATTTTTATATTCAACTTATTCTGAGACTTCAAATAGTAAAAAAAATACTTTCGGAAAAGAAATATCAAAACCATATATTTCAAAACGTCGAAACAAAGCAAAATATTTGGAGCGCATGGTATTTGCTGATCACTTATTGTCATACAATATTTGGTGACTGCATCATAGACATTTTATATTCAACTTATTCTGAGACTTCAAATAGTAAAAAAAAAATACTTTCGGAAAAGAAATATCAAAACCATATATTTCAAAACGTCGAAACAAACAAAATATTTGCAGCGCATGGTATTTGCTGATCACTTATTTGTCATGCAATATTTGGTGACTGCATCATAGACATTTTATATTCAACTTATTCTGAGACTTAAATAGTAAAAAAAAATACTTTCGGAAAAGAAATATCAAAACCATATATTTCAAAACGTCGAAACAAAGCAAAATATTTGCAGCGCATGGTATTTGCTGATCACTTATTATCATGCAATATTTGGTGACTGCATCATAGACATTTTATATTCAACTTATTCTGAGACTTCAAATAGTAAAAAATACTTTCGGAAAAGAAATATCAAAACCATATATTTCAAAACGTCGAAACAAAGCAAAATATTTGCAGCGCATGGTATTTTGCTGATCACTTATTGTCATACAATATTTGGTGACTGCATCATAGACATTTTATATTCAACTTATTCTGAGACTTCAAATAGTAAAAAAATACTTTCGGAAAAGAAATATCAAAACCATATATTTCAAAACGTCGAAACAAAGCAAAATATTTGCAGCGCATGGTATTTGCTGATCACTTATTAATCATGCAATATTTGGTGACTGCATCATAGACATTTTATATTCAACTTATTCTGAGACTTCAAATAGTAAAAAATACTTTCGGAAAGAAATATCAAAACCATATATTTCAAAACGTCGAAACAAAGCAAAATATTTGCAGCGCATGGTATTTGCTGATCACTTATTGTCATGCAATATTTGGTGACTGCATCATAGACATTTTTATATTCAACTTATTCTGAGACTTCAAATAGTAAAAAAAATACTTTCGGAAAAAATATCAAAACCATATATTTCAAAACGTCGAAACAAAAGCAAAATATTTGCAGCGCATGGTATTTGCTGATCACTTATTGTCATGCAATATTTGGTGACTGCATCATAGACATTTTTATATTCAACTTATTCTGAGACTTCAAATAGTAAAAAAAATACTTTCGGAAAAGAAATATCAAAACCATATATTTCAAAACGTCGAAACAAAGCAAAATATTTGCAGCGCATGGTATTTGCTGATCACTTATTGTCATGCAATATTTGGTGACTGCATCATAGACATTTTTATATTCAACTTATTCTGAGACTTCAAATAGTAAAAAAAATACTTTCGGAAAAGAAATATCAAAACCATATATTTCAAAACGTCGAAACAAAGCAAAATATTTGCAGCGCATGGTATTTGCTGATCACTTATTGTCATGCAATATTTGGTGACTGCATCGTAGACATTTTTATATTCAACTTATTCTGAGACTTCAAATAGTAAAAAAAATACTTTCGGAAAAGAAATATCAAAACCATATATTTCAAAACGTCGAAACAAAGCAAAATATTTGGAGCGTATGGTATTTGCTGATCACTTATTGCTGATCACATATATTTCAAAACGACGAAACAAATTTTATATAATAATAATAATAATGATAATAATAATAATAATAATGTAAGTTGTTGGTTGTTTGCCAATACGAAAACATTGGCTTTTTTTTATTAAGAATTCTGTCTTTGCTGTAATTCAGTTTTTGGTGTCAGTATTTTTTTGTATATTCTTCATATTAAGAATTCCTAATAAAACAACAGCGACACTCAGGGGGCCTCTACAAGCTTCCCTGTTCTTTCCCTTTCCACAAATACTTTGATGGTAATTGTTCTGATAAACTTTTTTCTATTCTACCTAAATTTCATAAATTTAAACGAAGTAATAGATTGACAATAAGGTCATCTGATTTTTACAGTTGAAATAGCTAGCTGCAACCGTAAGCTCTATGCTATCAGTTTCTTCTATCGCACTTCTTGCTTGCGGAAATCTCTTCCGGCTTCTTGCTTCCTGGTCAACTTTGACCTTCAAAAATGTAAATGCAATGTCAATCGTTATCTTCTGTCTTCTTAATACTTGTACTTTTTATTGTTCTCATTCCTTAATGGAGTTTTTTTACTCATATTCTCTACCACTCAGTAACCCCTTGCGTCTTAGTGGCTTTATTGCCTTGACTGGCGGTGAAATGATTAATATATATATATATATATATATATATATATATATATATATATATATATATATATATATACATATATATATATATATATATATACATATATATATATATATATATATATATATATATATATATATACATACATATATATACACATATATATATACACACATATATATATATACACACATATAGATACACATATATATACATACATATATATACACACACATATATATACATACATATACACATATATATATATACATAAATATATATACACACACATATATATACATACATATACACATATATATATACATACATATATATACACACACATATATATACACGCATATATATGTATATACACACATATAGACACATATTTATACATACATATATATATACACACATACAGGCCTCTTTTCGGAAGATTGGATGTTTTCAGGAGAGTGGAACCACTTCATACTGTTGTTCCCAGTCCCACCCTGACTGGGGGTGGTAGCACCAGTTAGGGGGTCTCAGCTATGGGCAAATAGGCAACCCCCAAACATTATGAAACTTTAGAAATGATTTTTTTTTTTTTTAGTAAAAATAACAACGATACATTTTTATAGTAAAATTTCCAACAATATATTTTTAAAGCAGAATTTCCAACAATACATTTTATAGCTAAAAGGACCCACATTGCATTTTTATATGTTGTCGGTTCCATAAAAATATTTAGATTTGATAAAAAAAATATTTAGATTTCGGAATTAAATAACCCAAAGAGGTGTTGATATGCCGCTAAACGAAAATCAAAGAAACAAAAAGACGCATTGGTAAAGCCCGACAGAGGACAAAAAGCGTCGGCTAAGGTAAGTTTTCCTTCTGTTTTTATTATTGCTATTGTCTTTTTACAGATATACACTATCTGAAATTTTTACACACATATATATATATATATATATATATATATATATATATATATATATATATATATATATATATAAATTACATATATTAAAATAATAAGAAAGAACAGGAAAATTTATAATCTGGTGTTTTATTTTTTAAAAACAGTGCTCAATATATATATATATATATATATATATATATATATATATATATATATATATAATTATTTATTTAAAGATATGATTCCAACGCTACATAAGAGTTCTCATGTTTCAAAACAAGAGCCGAAAATTTGATGATGTCGGCAAAAAACTGTTAACTCCTGTCTATTGTTTAATAGATTTTTATTATTTAGAAACTTAATAATGTGTAGTTTTTCATGTAGGCATAAAGGGCATGGGTCATCCCAAGTTTTACAAGTTCTAGTTTTGTTACCTATTTTCTATATATTTTTACACACACACACACACACACACACATATATATATATATCGAGCACTGTTTATATACCTATAATTTAGGGATTGCAAACATATATATATATATATATATATATATATATATATATATATATATATATGTATATATTCATTCCTAAAAAAATATGTTTCGGCTTTAAATAGCCCACAAAAGGTTGATAATCCGTAAAAAGTAAATCAACTAATCTCATACAATTCGTTTTCATTTTCTTAATTGAGTTTTTTTTTTGTTGTTGTTTTTTTTTAAGTTAAAACTGATTTATGCTGACAAACAACTTTTAAAAAGAATGAAACGAAAGAAAAAATTCACTATCAATTACTAAAATAATTAAAATTCCCTTGAGTTTGGGGTTTGTGTGCTTGGTTGGAAAAATGGCCAATCTTCCCTGGATTATATTACAAGGATATTATAAGTTATTTGAATTCTGCAAAGAATTATTTTCAATTCATTAATTTCTAATGTATTTCCTGTCATGTAAGAAAAATCAAACTGCGACCTATACACTGATAATTCGAATTTTAATCCTAGGCCTAATACCGTCACCTTCTTGCATGTGCCGTAACCCTTTAAGGACATAACCGGTTATAGCCCTCCACTACTGCCTGTCGCTTATAAAGTTTGTCCTTTTGCTATTTCTCATATTCCCTGTTCGGCCAAGCATTTATAAAAACATATTAGGCAATGAATTCGCTGTTCCTCTTGCATTCACTATGCCCTTCTGAGTATCAAATTTTCTAATCCTGCTTTCCTCATTATGTACCCTAGAAATTTGAACTATCTTTTTCTGATACAAAAGATGTCCTTTTTATTTCCATTTTCTCTAAAACTTCATTATTGCTCACATTGTAATTTTATTGTATTCTCAGCATCCTTCTGTAGAACTACATTTCTGTTGGCTCAAGTCTCTTTTTATCTGTGATGAGATTGTCCAGTATTCACTGTCATATAGGAGGAGTGATATTACATAAGGGTCCCGTACTCTTATCTTTGATTCTAACGAAAGTTTCTAACGAAATATGAAATATTTATATACAAATCTTCCTGTAAAGAAATGCCTAAATTTACTAAAAATACACTTAACAATAGCAAAAATAAAATTACCTTTTACTACACATAAGATCATGAAAAAGTGTCATTTATTCAATACGAGCTTAGAAGAAAAAATCACTAAACGCTTAAACTTAATTCATATTTAAATATTATTGAAACACCCTTTATTTTCAACAGCCTTCTGTAGAAGCATATTTCTTTTGCCTTAAGTTTCTTCCATATAGGAGGACTAAGTGTCCCGTACTCTTTTCTTTGTCTCTAACGAAAGTTTCTAACAAAATATAAAATATTTATATACAAAATTATATATATATATATATATATATATATATATATATATATATATATATATATATATATATATATATATATATATATATATATATAGATATGTGTGTGTGTGAGAGAGAGATAGAGATAGAGAGAGAGAAATGAATTACAAAAGTGCTTATATGCTCTATAATAAATATATTGAGCTCTCTTTTGTGGATATTTTTAATATTTTGTATTATTACTTATCCACGGATTTATATTATATATATATATTTATATATATATATATGTGTGTGTGTGTGTGTGTGTGTGTGTGTGTGTGTGTGTATATATATATATATATATATATATATATATATATATATTAGACGAACACATGAGAAATTATATACAAAAACTCAAATATCACCCCTTGTCAATTGTTTTCCCACTAAACTAGCATAAAAGGGACTGCTGCTTAAATACAATATATATATATATATATATGTGTGTGTGTGTGTGTGTATATATATATATATATATATAGGAATCTAAATGGAATAATAAAAAAAAAAACGAAAGAATATTAATCTACAACCCAGTGTGTCTAAAAGATTTTAATTTTTATTTTCTTATTGTTCAATATATATATATATATATATATATATATATATATATATATACACATATATGTCTCTCTGTGTGCGTGTGTGTGTGTTTATGAGTATATGCTTTTGTGTATGTATTTGTGTGTCTGCTCGTGCGCTTGCGCAGGAAAAGTGATAAACCACGTTTTCATAAAAAAAATGAAATGGCGTTCTAATAATTTGTGACGTATCAAATTCTGCCATTTTTCTTCATTGTCAACGAATTAGAATCTCCTTATTTTTAACTTTCTCGATCGTCTTCTCGTCTCATCTCCATTGTCTGTTGCACTCAGAAACATTAAACAGACGACGACAACAACAAAAAAGAAGTCTTATTAAAACGACAACAAAAAAAAATTAATCGCCCATCTGTCGTCCCTATTACCCTTCCTAGCCATATCTATCGACAACATCCTTCATTCCCTCCCCCGGCACCAATCTATCCCTTTCTGCTTTAAACGATTCATCTTATCTAAGCGACAAGATCATTTTTTATTTAATTCCATATCGCAGCTTCGCTAGTCATTTTTAAAATCCACTTCAAGTCTTTTCCATTTTTTTAAGGTCATTGCTATTTCCGCGGGAAGTGCTCGGGCGAACGACATTCCCTGCTTCCACCAAGTGAAGCCTTCACGGCAAAAAAACGACATGCCACTTACATAGTAGTAAACCACCTACATTCCTTCTGTATTCCATCGATAAGTTCCACTGGTGCAGCTTCTTCACGCGAACCGCTGCCCTGTGGAACCGACTCCCAAAAGGACATTTCCCGATCAGTACAATCTTAACCTGCTCAAAGCTGGTGTTAACCGCTGCCTTCCACTACTATACACACAAATAGCCTCTTAAAGTAAACCTATCGCTCGCGTGTCTTCCGGGCTTTGTAAAAAGGCGAACCTCAATGTAAATATATATATATATATATATATATATATATATATATATATATATATAGAGAGAGAGAGAGAGAGAGAGATTGTTAAACATTTAACAGAAAATAATGGTATAATCAAGATTTTGATGTTCCACACCACTTCAAATAAAAGGTCCGGAAGGAAACCCACCATCAATACTGGAAAGAGCGATAACAGCTACTGGACTTGAGAAACGTGTTTTCCTAAAAGCATGACATAATCAAGATGTTAACATTTCACACTCTTTCACACTAAAAGGTCCGGAAGGAAACCCACCATCAATACTGGAAAGAACTATAACAGCTACTGGACTTGAGAAACGTGTTTTCCTAAAAGCATGACATAATCAAGATGTTAACATTTCACACTCTTTCGCAATAAAAAGGTCCGGAAGGAAACCCACCATCAATAGTGGAAGAGCGAAAACAGCTACTGGACTTGAGAAACGTGTTTTCCTAAAAGCATGGCATAATCAAGATGTTAACATTTCACACTCTTTCACAACAAAAAGTCCGGAAGGAAACCCACCATTTTGTTTAAACAATTTGACAGTATTAAGAAGATCTAAATAAAAATTGGTCTGAGAAAACTGTTGTATATAAATGATATGAATAAAAACAATAGGAAAACTTATCTCAGGGATTTTATCAATGCAAATGTAAGTAAATGTGATACCGCTACGAGCCTAATGGCTCGCGATCGCAGGCTAAATAACCCCATTTGGGCCAGAGTTATAATCAAAGTCCTTTAACTTTAATTACTGCATTTTTAGCAAAACATCTATTATTTGAAAAACTTCCTCTTGTCATTCTTTTAAGCCCACGTGAATTTCCTACTCTGGACATAACTTCAGAGAACTGACCGTAAGAGAAACATTTGAAGAATCTTTTAATACTTGTATCTATATATATAAAGTTATTCAAGCATATATTGTTGAACATAACAGACAGCGAATGTCTATTATGTTTGATGATGAGCCGTTCTTACCTTTGTATAGTGGCTTTAGTTTCGGGAGAAAATAAGACAAAAACTGTCCAACGTTTGGATATTTTTTAATATGATGTCCTCGATCTAAGCTTTCGGCTCACATGAGTCATCATCAGAATGCTTATATGGACATTACATTAAACGATTCAATAGGGAGTATTGCTGCCATATATGGTCTGGAACCCCTTCTGTTTACCTCGGAGTTCTTGACAAGATCCAGAAACGGATATGTAATATAATTGGCCCTGATCTGGCATCTCGTCTACAGTCACTCTCTCACAGACGCGCCGTCGCCTCTCTCTGTCTTTTCTACAAATACTTTCATGGTAATTGCTCCGATGAGCTGCTTTCACTGGTTCCCAGACTCCATGAATTCAAGCGCCCTACGAGGCTGGCATCCCGCTCTCACCCTTACACTGTAGAAACTTTTAAATGTAGCCGTCTATTCTACTCCAATAGCTTCATACCTCGCACCTCTCGCCTGTGGAACACCCTTCCCAATTACTGTTTCCCTGAGGCTATAATCTCCAACTATTCAAATGTAATGTCAATCGACATCTCAGTTACCTTGATCTACCACTATCCTTCTCCTCATCCTTTCTTCTATCACTCTTATCTGCTCTTGCTCCCAAATCTTCTGCAACCCCCTGCATCATAGTGGCTTCACGCCTTGCTCAGGGCGTAATGCTTAAAAACAATATATTGATCTTCTGCCCAAATACACTAAATTCAAGTTATATATAAAGTTGTAGCCACTGTCCGTCTGTTTGTCGAACTCCTCCTAGTGTTTTGGAGATAGACCTCCACAACTATATATATTCTGAAAGCACATTATCCAGGGTACTTGGATAAGTATATTTCATTTTGATCAAAGGGGATCCGGGGGGGGGCATAACTCCCCGAAAATCTTTTTCTCTTTCATATAAATTAAATTTAATGTTGAACAAGGCAATGACTCCTTAGAAAATTATTTTGCGGCTGTACCTCCCTCATTGGTTTAGAGAAGGGGGATCAGTAGTCCTTGCGAGGCCAGCGCAACCAACGGGCAATTTGGGGCTGTGGCCCAGGTGGCCGCGCTCGGGTTCCCCACATTAAATCCGACCTTGTGCCACATCTCCTCTCAGTGGGGAGACTGGGATAAATAATAATTGGATGTGGTGTAATGTTTAGCAAGCTTGTCTCGCTAGATTAATTACGACTGAGGCGTGAGTTCGATCCTCTTTGGATGTTCCTAACTTTCGGCCTTGTGCCACCTCCAAATTGTGCTTAATAAATGACCATGGCATATTAATACGACCTATTTTCTTTGGCTGTCTTCAGACATTACGCGAAAAGGCTTCCAGGAATGCCTGATACGGGGATTTCAATCTTTGCTACTGCACCTTCTTCCTCACACTAAAGATATAAGATTGGTCAAGCGGCAAATTTTTGTTCTGGGCCCCTATGTACGCATATGGTCACCTCACTTCTATCATATCGCTGGGTGGGGCGAGTAAATAGAGCTACCAATGCGTGTTGTTTTGTTCTGCTGATATAAAACGGGGGATTCTTCTTCTATGTGTCGTGTCCTTTCGGAACATGAACGATCATGGCTCTCCACAACTTTCTCTCTCTTAACAGTTTTTTCTCTTTTTGCTAAGGCTATCGTTCCCCCTCGCGTTCCGCTATCCATTCGCACAAGCTCGTCAGGTAAGTGGCTTGCTTCCTTCCTTTAGCTCTCTTGCTCTCTACCCTGTGAGTGTTGAGTTTTCCAATCCCTCCTTCCTCGTTATTTATCCAAGGAATTTCAACTGTTTCTGAGTATAAGTTCTTTTTGTTGCCATTTGCTTTAAGATTTCTTTCTTGCTTACTTGTTCCGTCAATTCTCAGTAAGTTTCTGTAGAAGTACATTTCTACAGCCACCATTTTTCTCCTTCTCCGCGCTGAGATTGTCACGCATTCGCGGCTATATAGGATGCTGGATGCCGCATAGCAGTCCAGCAATCTTCTCTTTGTTTCTAACGAATTTCTTTCCGTATTTTTCGCACCTTGCTTACCTTTTGGAACGCACCTCGTCTAACGCATGCTTCGGATTTCGGTATCACATTATCGATCCTTTATTAAACACTTGAGCTTTTCCTCATGCTGATGACCATTCTTTCTCTCTTCTTCACAATTGATAGTCTCTTTTTCTCTTTTACTACGCTCTCACGGGGCCCCTGTAGTTTTCTTTCCGTGTCAGTCATGAACACAGTGTCATCTGCTTACATTATATTGTTAAGATGACGTCCACCGGTAATAAATTCCGGTGGAGTCTCCAGTTCACTTAGAATAGCCTCAGGGTAAAAGTTGAATACATTTGGGGAGAAGCGATATTCTTGACTTACGCCTCTTTCTATATTTTTGGTAGCTACTCAACAGATTTTCTATCCGGATGCAGATGGTTCGCTCCCAGTATAAGTTATATGACATACTTTCTAAATGGATCTAGATTTCCTAACAGTATGGGAACACACAGACAAAACTGGGCCATACACAAAATTATAAAAGATTATCTGGTAACTGCTATGACTTCTCGGGAAAGATAATAACATAATACATAGTCTTTCTCCCTTCAAGACATAGGCAATTATGGCTCTCCACATGTTCCTATTCTTTATTATCTGTGAATTATCATGATTTATTGGGAAATATAGTACAGTGATTTCAAATTGCCTTCTCTGCACTTTTCAATTAATACCCTTTCTTTTTTGTTTCCATTTTCCTTAAAACTTCATTAATTATGATGTAGAGACTTAAGACTACAGAGATATAGTTCTACGGTAGGTGCTGAGAACGCCATGAGCGGAGCGCGTAAGCCAAGAGGAAGTTCTGTAGAAAATGGAAACTAAAAGTACACTTATATTCCAAAAAGGGACAATTGAAATTTCAACTGTACTTAATGAGGAAAGAGGGCTTAGAGATTTTAACATTCACAAGACGTATTGAAAGCAGAAGAAAGAAGGATGCGAGTAATGTGTAAATGGTTTACAGAACAAGAAGTGGATGGGTTAGCGAAAAGACAAACCTTACTACAAAGAATAGGAAGTTGTGGAGAGTCGTGATCACTCATGTCCAGAAGAGACATGGCACATGGAAGAAGAAGAAGAAGAAGAAGAAGAAATCTTTTTTCCTGATTATCTGGAAGTCTTCAACTCAAAAACATTCAGACATGCTAAAAATGTTGATATAAAATAAATAAAATGATAAAATTAATCCGAATAAAAAAAAGCAATAATTAAATTTAATTAACAGTGTTCGAAAAGTAATTAATGATTTCAGCGCTATGAATTATGAGTCAACCAGGCAAGGCAAGCAATCTTCTAGGCGCCGTACCTTTTCATTTTTTTTTTTTTTTTTGTATCAGATTGGAAAATATCATCTTATTGCTCTCTCAATTCGTCCTATAGAGAAATGATTATGCTAAAATTCGGCGCATGCCGCGAAACATTATATTTTACATTAACGTATAAAGCACAGTTGAGTGTTGTATGTTAATATAAAATAGATAGATAGATAGATAGATAGATAGATAGATA